GCCCACATGGGATCCCCAGAGGCCGCCCACAACACCCACCCACACCTCTAACAGGCCGCCCACACCTACAGAAGAGCCACGCCACGAGTCCCAAACAGGGCGAGTCTTGAGGGACCTTCCACCACCACCACAAGTAAATAACTCACTTATAATAATCACAAAAATTAATCAATTAATAAAATGAATAAGAAATATTAAAATATAACAATGTCGAAAATAAATACAACAATAAGAGAAAAACTTCCACAAATATACTGAACTACGAATGGCCAAATAACTACAAACATTTATTTACAAAAAAAATATATACATTTAAGAATACAATTTACGATTACATGGATAAGTGTAATGTCGAGATAAACTATTACATAATAAATACAATTACCATGGTGATATAAAATAGAGGTGTCAACCTTACTAATGACATAGGAGGGCACTGGGGGGGCATGAGGAGGCTGGGAGAACACAGGAGGGTGAGGGCACTGGGGGGCATGAGGAGGTGAGAACACAGGGTGGGGGGCACTGGGGGCATGAGGAGGGCTGAGAACACAGGGAGGGTGAGGGCACTGGGGGGGCATGAGGGGGGCTGAGAGAACACAGGAGGGTGAGCACTGGGGGGCATGGGAGGGCTGAGAACACAGGAGGGTGAAGGCACTGGGGGGCATGAGGAGGGCTGAGAACACAGGAGGGTGGGGCACTAGGGGGGGCATGAGGAGGGGGGAGCTGGGAGGGGGGTGAAGGCACTGAAGGGGGCGACCTTCAGTGACTGTTCCTGCTCACAATGACCAAACAGTATATGGGCATGAGTGGAGGGGTGTGGCAGGGACGTGGGGTATGGGGCGTGGTAGAGGACGTGGGGGTATGGGGGCGTGGCGGAGAGGACGTGGGGGTATGGGGGCGTGGTAGAGAGGACGTGGGGTATGGGGCGTGGAGAGGACGTGGGGTAGGGGGTGGGGAGAGGACGTGGGGTATGGGGGCGTGGTAGAGGACGTGGGGGTATGGGGCGTGGTAGGGACGTGGGGTATGGGGCGTGGCGGAGAGGACGTGGGGGGTATGGGGGCGTGGCGGAGAGGACGTGGGGGTATGGGGGCGTGGCGGAGGACGTGGGGGGTATGGGGCGTGGTAGAGGACGTAGGGGGGTATGGAGGTGGTTGAGAGGACGTAGGGGGTATGGGGCGTGGTAGAGGACGTGGGGGTATGGGGCGTGGTAGAGAGGACGTGGGGGTATGGGGCGTGGTAGAGATGACGTGTGCGTATGGGGCATGGTGGAAGGACAAGTCAGTGGTGGTGGAGTAGGGATGGGCAGAGCCGACTGGGGGAAGAATGTACACGGTGAGCCTCAGTGTTGTTTAATATGCTGCCTGTACCATCATACCACCACCCCCTGCTGACGGAGGAGGAGACGAAGCTGGTTTGAATATCCTGTATGGAGTGTAAACCTTGTGTGTGTGTGTGAGAGGAGTGTAAACCTTCTGTGTGTGTGTGTGTGTGTGTGTGTGTGTGTGTGAGAGGAGTGTAAACCTTCTGTGTGTGTGTGTGTGAGAGTGTAAACCTTGTGTGTGTGTGTGCGTGTGTGTGTGAGGAGTGTAAACCTTCTGTGTGTGTGTGAGTGTGTGTGTGGAGGTGTAAACCTTCTGTGTGTGTGTGTGTGTGTGTGAGGAGTGTAAACCTTGTGTGTGTGTGCGTGTGTGAGAGAGAGGAGTGTAAACCTTGTGTGTGTGTGTGTGAGAGAGGAGTGTAAACCTTGTGTGTGTGTGTGTGTGAGATTTAACCCCGTATGTAAGATAACTTAATCCTCTGAGTACATTAATTTAACCCCTTGAATATGATGACTTAACTACTTGAGTACAATGGGTTAATCCTTTGTGTACGATGACAGTCCCTTGAGTACGATGATTTAACCCCTTGAGTACGATGATTTAACCCCTTGATTACGATGATTTAACCCTGTTACGATGATTTAACCCCTCGAGTACGATGATTTAACCCTCGAGTACGATGATTTAACCCTCGAGTACGATTTAACCCCTTGAGTACGATGATTTAACTTGATTACGATGATTTAACCTTGATTACGATGATTTAACCCCTTGATTACGATGATTTATGAGTACGATGATTTAACCTCAGTAGAATGTACCACAACCTCATCCCCCACAAAATAATGTTAGGTTCAGTTAATTAATCTTGAATTGAAATAAGCTGGGGTGGAGATTCTTCAGGTGATGCGCATTAAAAATTATAATCTTTACTAACAGAGATGCTTGAAGAAATGTCATGGCCGCTACCTACCAGGAACCACCGTCCAAGATCTGAGAGAAGTTACCTACCAGGAACCACCGTCCAAGATCTGAGAGAAGTTACCTACCAGGAACCACCGTCCAAGATCTGAGAGAAGTTACCTACCAGGAACCACCGTCCAAGATCTGAAGTTACCTACAAGGAACCACCGTCCAAGATCTGAGAAAGTTACCTACCAGGAACCACCGTCCAAGATCTGAGAGAAAGTTACCTACCAGGAACCACCGTCCAAGATCTGAGAGAAGTTACCTACCAGGAACCACCGTCCAAGATCTGAGAGAAGTTACCTACCAGGAACCACCGTCCAAGATCTGAGAGAAGTTACCTACCAGGAACCACCGTCCAAGATCTGAGAGAAGTTACCTACCAGGAACCACCGTCCAAGATCTGAGAGAAGTTACCTAATGAAGAACCACCGTCCAAGATCTGAGAGAAGTTACTACCAGGAACCACCGTCCAAGATCTGAGAGAAGTTACCTATCAGGAACCACCGTCCAAGATCTGGAGAGAAGTTACCTACCAGGAACTACCGTCCAAGATCTGAGAAGATTTATCAGGAACCACCGTCCAAGATCTGAGAGAAGTTACCTACCAGGAACCACCGTCCAAGATCTGAGAGGTGAAAGAAAGGAAAAAATATATACAAGTAGATATGACCTTCATTCTCCCCCCTCCCTCCCTAATTTAATTCACCTGTAGATTAAATACCGTAATGCTACACCTGGTGGACGGGAGGGGGGGGGTGGTAGGTTAGGTTAGGTTTGGTTATGTTAATATAGGTTATGTTAAATAGAGCTAGGGTTTAGGTTAGGTTAACATTAGACTAGGGTGGTTTAATCAGGAGTTAAAATAATCCGGGTTGTCTAATCTTCTTTAAGTGATTCAAATATTTCTGTTAACTTTAATCTTAATGAAGAGAATCAGTTAATATATTCGTCCTGTCGTAACACTAACTGGTTCTAACTGGACACATCTACTTAACTGTCAGTCTGGTCTATGTTATCTTTAAACCGTCAATCGTGTAACTACGTCTTGGCCCCAGTCCACCAGTTAGAGTGGCTGTTTATATCTCCATCTACCGGGGCACTCTTCACGGCAGGGACCTCAACACTGCACCAGCGTCGTCTGTGGACTTCAACGGCAACACAAACACCAGCCTCCCCCAGCCCTACGTTAATTGTTGACCGTGATAACAGTATTTTTCCTCGCTGTGTTGACGTTAGGTTAGTAAACAGTGTGTGTTATACAGCACGTGTTCACCAGGGTGGAATGAACACACTGATAAAGGGGGTAACGAACCTAAAGTTATATTTGTTCTCCCTCATGTTTTAGGTTTGTGATCACCGTGAGTGTTGTGTTCTGAGCTGCACCAAAACACATGGGTGTATACAAACACCTTAGGAATGTGAATTTGCCGGAGCGTGTGTGTGTGTGTGTGTGTGTGTGTGTGTGTGTGTGTGTGTGTGTGTGTGTGTGTGTGTGTGTGTACCTGCTCAGAAAGCTTGTTTATAAGTTATTGTGTGGGCGGCCGAGGTAATTATAATACTGGGTTGTATTTTTTCTGTGGGTGATGATAATGCAGGTAAACACAGGCCCACACTATCCCCCACCTCTGCCCACGCCCACACTACCACCTCTGCCCATGTCCATATTATCACCACAGCCTACGCTATCCCCACCACAGCCCACGCCCACAACCCGTTGCCCACGCCCACACTACAACCACAAACCGCTGCCCACACCCACACTACCACAACCCGCTGCCCACGCCCACACTACCACAACCCGCTGCCCACACCCACACTACCACAACCCGCTGCCCACACCCACACTACCACAACCTGCCCACACCCACACTACCACAACCCGCTGCCCACACCCACACTACCGCAACCCGCTGCCCACGCCCACACTACCACAACCCGCTGCCCACGCTACCACAACCCGCTGCCCACGCCCACACTACCACAACCCGTTGCCCACGCCCACACTACCACAACCCGCTACCCACGCCCACACATCCTTTTAAAAACTGGTCGGCCCAAAAATAGAGGTGACTGGTGTTAGGTGTGGAAGGCGGTAGAGAGGACCCGCTGTTACCTCCCGGCCTTGACGGACCTCCTAGAGCCCACCATACCCACCAGGCTGCCCACCATACCCACCAGGCTGCCCACCATACCCATCAGGCTGCCCACCATACCCATCAGGCTGCCCATCATACCCACCAGGCTGCCCACCATACCCCACCAGGCTGCCCCATCATGCCATCAGGCTGCCTATCATTTACCAGCTGTATCATACCACCAGGCTGCCCTGCACCCCACCAGGCTGCCCACCATACCCACAGGCTGCCCATCACTTACCCCACCCAGGCTGCCCACCGCCACCCACCAGGCTGCCCATCACCCCAGGCTGCCCATCATACCCACCAGGCTGCCCACCATACCCATCAGGCTGCCCATCATACCCACCAGGCTGCCCATCATACCCACCAGTGAGGGAGAACAAGTCCTCAACACGTGAATAATTAATATGAGGTATGAGTGAGTGAGTGAGTGTCAGGTTACAGCGCCAGGCAGGTAGTGTTTACTGTGTGGCGGCTCCTGCATGACCCAGCTGGTGACACTGTCCTCACCACCTGAGTCATACTGATAAGAGAGAGGTGCCTGCCTGCCTGGGCGCGCGTAGGTGTGACCTACCTGGAGTGTGTGAGCAGGTGCGAGGCGCCTGGCCCGCTGCCTTATACGGCGGCCAGCCTGCACCGCCCACCTCACACACGCTGCCTCTACCTCAGCTGGCCTGGGCGGCTCTTCCTTCAAAAAGAGTGGTGGTGGAACACGTGTGAGGGGCAAGGACGTCTTCTCTACACCTGGATGCGTCAAACAGTCGCTACTTGTACACTGTAACAATTCACAAGTCAACACTATCAACACTGAGGCAACAGCATGTGTCGTCGTTAAAGGTACATCCGCGGGGCCAGCGTGGGCGACCAGTGTAACACAGGTACCGCGAGGCTGGCGGCACACACCACACCACACGACCACTCGTGAGCAGCTCCGCAGGATGACTGAGGCTGGCTCGCTCACTCACCCGCCAGCCAACCAGTCCACGAGCTTCCCACTCATATCACCTTAACCATCAAAATATCATAATTACCAGCCAGTTATGATCACCTATCATAACAAGTGAGTAATTCTAGTCATGTGATTACAGAAACACAGGAAGGTGAGGTGATGGTAATGAGGCAGGTGAATGTTCATCACCAACCTCGCTCTGGGGTCAGGGGCAGTGCCATCACGTTGTCATCACCCGCCCTTCTGCCAACACCACCACCCCTCTAGTGCCACCACCACCACCACCACCCCTCTAGTGCCACCATCACCACCACCCCTCTAGTGCCACCATCACCACCACCCCTCTAGTGCCACCATCACCACCACCCACCTCCTGGTGCCACCACCATCACCACCACCCCTCTAGTGCCACCATCCACGCCCACCCCTCCGTTACCACCATCACCCACCACCCCTCCCCAGGCACACCATCACCCACCACACCCCTCTAGTGCCACCATCACCACCACCCCCTCTGGTGCCACCACCCTTCTGGTGCCACCATCACCCACCCCTCCTAGTGCCACCATCACCCCACCCCTCTGGTGCCACCATCACCACCACCCCTCTGGTGCCACCATCACACCACCCCTCCTGGTGCCACCATCACCACCACCCCTCTGGTGCCACCACCCTTCTAGTGCCACCATCACCACCCTCTAGTGCCATCACCACCACCCCTCTAGTGCCACCATCACCACCCCTCTAGTGCCACCATCACCACCCCTGAATAAGACATCAGGGGACCAGTTTAGGAATCACCCCCAAAAAACTTCGAGTCAGGGATAGGCCAACCTATCTGCCTGTTGCACTACATGTAGGCCTAAGGCTTGTCTAGAATGAGGGGCGCGGCTAGACTACACACGGGGGCTACAAATCACATCGTTACACAAGACTACACGTCACACCGAGGGCGTCACACTAGGATACACTTAACACCGAGGGCGTCACACTAGGATACACTTAACACCGAGGGCGTCACACTAGGATACACTTAACACCGAGGGCGTCACACTAGGATACACTTCTGCAGGGGCGTCACAAGGATACACTTAACACCGGGCGTCACACTGAGATACACTTAACACCGAGGGCGTCACACAGGATACACTTAACACCGAGGGCGTACACAAGGATACACTTAACACCGAGGGCGTCACACTGGGATACGCATAACACCGGGGCGTCACTAGGATACATAACACCGGGGCGTCACGCTAGGATACACTTAACACCGAGGCGTCACTGGGATGCACTTAACACCAGAGGAATCACACTGGGATACGCACTTAACACCGAGGGCGTCACACACTAGGATACACTTAACACCGAGGGCGTCACACTAGGATACACTTAACACCGAGGGCGTCACACTAGGATACACTTAACACCGAGGGCGTCACACTAGGATACACTTAACACCGAGGGCGTCACACTTTGGTCGTTCACAATAACTAAACGTGATGAGGTTGTGGAAACTTTTCAGATAACTCATTATTAGCACCAAGTGGAGGTCACCACGTTATCTGAGTATAGTCGATGCCGAACCCTGTTGGCTATTCATACCTTTCACAATTACCAACCTAACCTAACCTAACCAAAAAAACCTAAGGAACCAAACCTAACGACTCATATCAGGATACTATAAATTATTTTTAAAACACGAAAATAGCCAACATGGGGCCGTCACATTAAAGAATATTTCCCAGAATAAAAACAGATAAGCTTACCTCCATATATTTGCCTAACTGTCTTCTTAAACTTAAAATATTCTTCTAAGACACTGAAGGATAGCCAGGACCACAAAATAAGAGAGGCCGTGGAGTTTATCACCAACACGTCAGACATTTTCACCCGGGAGGAGTTTCAGCGCCAAAAGTGACGTCACAATATCAAAGTCCGTGTTCTAAACTCCTATTATTCTGTCCTGTGATTGTTTGCTTTATTTAGTGGCAGATTTCGGTATAAGTTAGTAAAAGTTGTCCAAAGTAAAAGTAAATTTCTAAGAAGTCGATCGTAAGATAAATGTTTAAGTTTACAAAAGATATTTAATTATAGTTAATTTAATACTTCAATATCGAGCAAGGATTCGAACACTAAAATTCCAGCCAATCACCATCGAGAACAATGATATTCCAGCCAATCACCATCGAGAACAATGTTATTCCAGCCAATCACCATCGAGAACAATATTTACAAGATTATGGCGGCAGATATGAAACGACTCGTATTCTCGGTAAAGGAAACATCTCTCCTTGTTAGTTTAGCGGTCGAAAACAGGGTCATAGAATAAAAAAAACAGATGCTGCGTTGATCATATGTAAGACAAACAAGTGAACGGAGTTAACGAACCACACAACCCAATGAGGAACGACAGCAATTTCGAACCTGTTAGATAAATGAGATCCAAAGCAAGGAAGTATATTGACAGGTGAGTTTTGTAAATGTTATCATCATTATAACCTTAATTATTTAGTCATATGGATAATGTTGCTGATGATAGTGATAATAGCGAAGACCTTTAACCTATCAGTGTCATCGTCTTATCCTTAATTAAACATAAGTAATAGTTAAGAAAATACACTCACGAGTCACTTATTTCTGTTCCATCATAATTAAGTACATGAATGTGTACTTACAATTCGCTCAAACTCAGACTGTGGGTCATATTAATACAGTAATATTGTTTATAAATAACTACAGTTGCACGTGAAGGAATGAGTAGAGATACGGATTTTTTTATAAAAGAAAAGAGGATTATAATGAAGGTAACAATACAACATGACACTGGGGACAACAAAATATTAACAACTTATTTATTAAGACAATTAATGTGAAAACAAACGTGATGTTCTATATCACAGAAAATATTGAGAAAATCTACCTCACTGAACCTGTTGTGGTGTATGGCGCCGACCTGTGGTGTATGGCGCCGACCTGTGGTGTATGGCGCCGACCTGTGGTGTATGGCGCCGACCTGTGGTGTATGGCGCCGACCTGTGGTGTAATGGTCAGCATCCTAGTGTACCCACATACAGACTCTTGCTCAGGTGGTTTATTCTCTGTCTGGTGTTACAACGAGCCTCCCACATTCTTGAGTACACAAGCCCCAAACACATTCTAACTTCGGTAAGAAGTAACAATACTGTATAAAGGCAGCATATAAACATACACGTACAGTATATAACACCCAGCAGTAATTGGGAACCTGGATGTTAATCGATTTGTGGATCGTATTCCGGGGTAATGGTTAGCCAGTGCAGTTGGCGAGTTGTCCGGTCAACTCGGATTATTCCTTGACACTGGGTGCCGAACCCTGTTCGTTAACTTAGGGTGTGGTTGTTGTGTTGGCGACAGCTTCTACACCTTAAACAAATTCACGTCTAGGAGGCCCTTGGGCCGGCCATCCTCGATTTCGAGGGGCTTCCATTATTTATTTATTTATGGCGTCAGTATACTACAAGGCGTGAGGTGGGGTGGTGCTTAGTTTATATCATTAAAACAAGGCAATCCACCTTCTGGCGCTCGTGCTGTTGATCCAGTTAAGAGATTTATAAACAAAAAGCCGGACAATATGTGAAAGAAAACATGATTTATAGCACAAAAAATAATGCCCTGTGAGTGACTAGTTTGTGTACACCCACCACGGTACAAGCGTCGCACCGCCCACCCTGCCATCACTGCGTCACTCACAACACCGTGGCGGCACGAGTCAACCTCCTCACATCATTTACATTTTGAAAAACAAATGAAATACAACAAAGGCAGAGAATTCCATTGTACACCAAGACTTGGGTGATGCGTGTGCACGATTTACACACCCAACACAGATAGATATATAGATAGATAGACAAACAGACAGACATGTGATAGATAAATAGAAAAGCCTCAGGAGAGCACTTTGTGGTGTACTCTGGAATGTACGGCTATTAAAATCTGTTAAATTCCCTGATACAGCAAATATCACCGTGGCTGTGTTAACATGACCCAGCGCCCTCGAGGGGTTTATGTGAACTAATATTTGCTGTAAGTTGTTGGCTACGTTAAGTTTTTAGAATAGGTGAGGTTAGGGTAGGGTAAATTAGGTGAGGGTAGGGTACGTTAGGTGAGGGTAGGGTACGTTACGTGAGGGTAGGGTACGTTAGGTGAGGGTAGGGTACGTTAGGTGAGGGTAGGGTACGTTAGGTTAGGGTAGGGTACGTTAGGTGAGGGTAGGGTACGTTAGGTGAGGGTAGGGTAAGTTGGGTTAGGGTAGGGTAAGTTAGGTTAGGGTAGGGTAAGTTAGGTTAGGGTAGGGTAAGTTAAATTAGATTATGTTAAGGGAAGTTAGGTTAAAATTGATTAGGTTAACAGAATTTTAAACAAGATTTCACACACACACACACACACACACACACACACACACACACACACACACACGGGAGATTAATTGCTGTATATACCAATAAGGTTGAGAGTTATTGCTCCAGGTGCTGCCACACACATCCCATCGTAACAACAATGACTTGGACGCCAATTACCAAGACCACAAGTTGGCTGAGACAATTCTAGGTCACGAACACAACATTAAAAAAAATAATAACATTCACACCGTTACCAGAATCAAGATTATTAAAGACGATCACCTGAAAATTAGACACCCTAGCTTATTTCACCTGAACATTAGACATCCTCAAATTATTTCACCTGAACATTAGACCAACACTAAACATCTGTGCTGAGCAAACAAGAAACATCGCTGGACAAAACACTAAACATCACTATGGACAAAATGAAACCCGAAACATCAACACTGGACAAAACACAAACCCTAAACATCTGTACTGGACAAAATGAAACCGGAAACATCTTCTACGCTAGACAAAAACAAAAACACTGGACAAAACCCTAAACATCTGTACTGGACACAAACCTTGAAACTAACAGAACAAAGGTATGGAGAGCAGAGACGTAGAAGGAAGCCGTGTGTGTGTAGGGGCGTGGCTGAACTCACCTCATACCCAAATCATCTCGCTACACTTCTCCCGTATACTAGTGATATACTTACACCCAAACACCAGTAGTATTAACTCTAGCTAATTACCAGTATCACCTACACCGATAAGAATGATAAGAGAGTAATTAAGGAAAGTAAGGTTGGTGTAACAGGTGTGTGAGTGAGTGGTGGCTTCAAGGTGCTTCTGCCCACACATCTGCCGCCCACACTCTACCCACACCAGTATCCAATTTGCCTCTTATACTCCACCGTACAAACACTACTACTGCTTTTCTGTCACTCGGAATCAAGTATGACGATCATCCAGCTATTATGCAATGATATGAGTTATAAAGGATGTCACCTTCGTTGGAAAACTCTGAAGTGACTCGAGAGGTCAATACGGGACTGGCAGGGTCGTCCACCTGGTAATTAGACACACTTAACACTGCATGGGAATTGAAGTAGGTTAGTTTGGGTCCGGTTAGGCTAAGTAAGATTAGTTTAGGTTAAAGATAAGTTAGCTTACGTGAGGTTAGAGTGCTTAATCTTCAGGTTAAATAAGCTGGGGTACTTAATCTTCAGGTGAAATAAGCTGGGGTACTTAATCTTCAGGTTAAATAAGCTGGGGTACTTAATCTTCAGGTGAAATAAGCTGAGGAGATTAATCTTCAGGTTAAATAAGCTGGGGTACTTAATCTTCAGGTGAAATAAGCTGAGGAGATTAATCTTCAGGTTAAATAAGCTGGGGTACTTAATCTTCAGGTGAAATAAGCTGAGGAGATTAATCTTCAGGTGTTGTACCGTGAATGCTTTCTGATTCACGAGTCGTCGATACTCTCGGGGTCCACACAAACACACACACACACACACCTCACGGAGAGGACTAATATTGTTGACCTCGCTGAGTGTACTAGTGGTAAATGACCCCAACTGTATACATACATTCTTTATATACATGTTGAACTGTATACCTGCATTGTTTTTATACACGCTGAATGTATATGATTACTGGATCTCTCTCCCTCCGCCCATTCATTATTGTTAGTATTTCTCCTTACGTTGCCTCTTCCTCCCCCCATCAGAGCCACAAAACAACGATAATTAAAGAGAAATTAAAGTAGATTTGAACTGGATAGAGGAAGTGACCTTGAGAGGCCAATGACAATGTTCTTCAGGTCAGAGGTGAAGGCGGTGGAGCAGCCTCGCTACTCTCGCTTACTTTCTCTTACATTCAGTCTGCTTTTCCCATTCTCTCTCTCACTCTCTTTATCTCTCTTTGCTTATTGTCTGTTTCTTTCTATATGCTACTGAGAGATGACACATGTTAGCCATAATTTGTGGGTGTCAGGAGGTGTCAGCACTATAACTTGTGGGTGTCAGGAGGTGTCAGGACTATAACTTGTGGGTGTCAGGAGGTGTCAGCACTATAACTTGTGGATGTCAGGAGGTGTCAGCACTATAGCTTGTAGGTGTCAGGAGGTGTCAGCACTATAACTTGGGTGTCAGGTGTATCATCTAGCTGTGGATGTCAGGAGGTGTCAGCACTATAACTTGTGGATGTCCAGTGTCAGCACTATAGCTTGTAGGTGTCAGCACTATAACTTGTGGATGTCAGGAGGTGTCAGCACTGTAACTTGTGGGTGTCAGACTCTCTTTGACTATAGGTTTGGTTGAATTTTATTAGATCAGGCTAGTTCAGGTCATGCTACATAAGGTCAGGTTAGGTTAAATAAGCATTTAGGCGGTTAATCTTCTGGTGGGGATTATACTCATCATTAACTTTGTATCTATCTCACTCATTCTCATCTACTGAACAGACCAGACACGATACAACAGCCCCTTGCCTTGGATACAGACAGTGAACTTGAGTGTGCAGCATTAAGGTGTGGAATGGAAACAAGACGCTATAAATCACTGTCTCGTGTGTGTTTATATATATTTCACCCTAAGATATGTAAATATTTGGGAGGTGAGGCATTGTAACTTGACACCAACATTGACTATTTATGGTGCAGGTGTGGGCAACAAGGTCACTCAGTCTCTACCTTACCTCACCATGAAATTATTACGGAACAGATATTTTCTCAAGTTCTTTCAATAATATATATTTTTTTTCACCTATCCACTGTTTATAGAAGCCATAAGTTCAGTAAATGGTGAGGTATTGTTTTTAAGTGAGAACTGTGATGTATTGGAATAATTATCTGCCAGAGTATTTAAAGTCGTGATGGCGAATCTGGAAAAGTGTCACATAAAAAAAATCATCTAACCTCACCTAACCAAGCTAAAGTTTGTCTTTTACTGAAATTAAACGTGACGCTCTTCTCAAATATGTCCTCCATCCTGGGTCAAATGCGAGAGGGAGGTCAATTATCTAGTGTGACCCGACCAGCCATGGCAGGTTTTTCTCCATAGTTTCTGCCTGGACAATGAAGGGCGTAAAAGTGTCAGATCAACCGGTCTTAAGCTCTCAAATAATGGATATGATAAATAGAAAAAAAAGCCATTGAGGATAAAAGTAAATAAAAAAGATAGCTGGATGATGCAAGACGAATAATGTTGGAAAATCATGCAGAACAAGACTAAATACATTTATGTATATATTTTAATTATATAAATATTAGAACAATATATTATAATTGTTTTATCTTTGTGTAATTTTTGGGGTTAATTTAAAGTTTTTGCTCCTTTTTGTGGAAGAAATTAATAGTTTAACCTTGTTGTCGTAGTTGTTATTTAACATTAAGCATATTGCCGTCAGTGTTGTTTACTTGGAGTCTTCTGAAATACAAAAACTTACTAATATTAATAAACGTTAATATTAATGTTCTGAGACACATTTATTATCTAATTGTGAGTAAACTTCTTAAGTATATCAAGGACTAATAGACTTAGGAGATTAAAACACTATTTTTCTGAAATATGAAAGGTTGTCCATATTTTTTATGAATATTAATTTTATCTGTCCATTTCCTAAGCAAAAATAATAAAGTTTTGTTATATATTTCAGACTCCTTTAAGTACGAATATTGATATTATACAAAATTCTTCTTTATTTTACTATAGCTGGGATGTTTTCGTAGTTCAGGAGAGGAAGAGAGAGGCAAGACACCGCCTCATCATGTTGTGGGATAAGTTAACAAAACCCTTCATTAGAATCATAAGTCTCCAGAACAACACCATAGAGAGATTGATTAACTTCTCTAAACCAAAGATAATAGCAGAGGGTTATAGTGGAGTGTGTGGTGCTGGTTCCTCTGGTCACAGGTGGATGGTGACCTCAACAGCCATTAATGAATACTTGTTAAGGTCAAGTTATATGGGATGTAGACACCACTACCTCCATTTTCTGAAGACATTAGGAGACAAAGATTGGAGGAAGAGTAAATGGAAGGAGAGAGGACCCCCCATGAGCGTGGCGGTGGTGACGGCCTTCTGTTGGGAACTAAACAGAGAACAAAAGATAAATGAGAGAGAATTCCTCCTGGCTGCCATGGTGGGCAACATTGACCGCATGAAGGTGAGGAACACGTTTGTGTAAGTCTTTAATTATTTAATGACAGTAAAGTGGTGTGGCGGCTAAGTGGATATGACACTTGCCTCCTGTCCTAAGGGTCATTAGTTTGCACCCAGGACACTCTTAGTCCACCCAGCTGTGAGTGTGTACCCAACTTTACCAGAAGCTCAGTACAGTATAATGTCACCTGTGTGCACGCTGCCTCTATGGGGACAATATTTTAATGGAAATAAGATTTTATTGATAATATTTCTTGGGTTTTCTTGGCTTAAATCAACGGTAATTTATTAGGAAACCATTACCCCCAGAAGGAGTTAATACTTTTCACAGACGGTAATTTAAAAGAGGCAACAACTTTTTTTTAATTATAAGTATTTTTTTTTCTCAATCTGCGATCATATATCACCAGTAGTGGGCAGGGCATGAAGGGTGAGGTAAACTGGGGTAAAACATGGTTAAAAAACTGATCATATGACACTAAAATGATGTCTCTCATGTGGTTTGTATGCGAAGAAAGTAATTACCGGTAGTGATGGGAAATATTCATCCATTGTGATATTGTATCGATGAGAAAAGGGGCCGATACTTTTCTGGAAGAGTGTACATAATGGAACCAATGTCACTTGTTTAGTACACTACTTGTTCTTCTTTTACAGGAGTTCTTAAAGAAAGGAGTTGACGTAAACTGCTGTCATCCTTATGGGTGGACGGCACTGCACGCTGCCGCCATCAATGCGCGGTCCAAAGCTGTCAAGTTTCTGCTGGATAATGGAGCGGATCCCAACCTTCCTGACAACTTCTCCAGCATATTTCAGGTGAGACGCTTCATTGATGTTACAACTATTTATTTATGCAGAAACATGCAGCTACAAAGTGAACAATAATGATAATACTCACCTGACTGATGATTTGAATTTATTTTGTAAAGATTCATACAATATATTGTATATAATGTAGGCAGACATACAAACACTTACCAAGCATAACACTTAAAGGTGCTACTACAATGTGCACCCTACAAAGGCCTAACATAACCTAATGTAAACCCTCATTAATAATAGGGTGATTAATCTTAAGGTGAAATAAGCTTCAGGTGATCCTTGCAGTTAGATAGATACCTGGTGAATTATATCTATGTTATATACTTGTACAATGCTGTTAATCTGTCAAATACCTTCTCAAGTGAGCCTGTACCGTACACCCATTACAGGTTGCACGTGAGAACAGGACGTCACCCATCAGCGTTGAAGTGATCCGGGAGGGAGAGTTCAGCACCCGTCTCAACCACAACCAGATGTTCCGTGGATGTACAGCTCTTCACTACGCTGTTCTTGCTGATGACCAGGAGAGTGTTCAGTCGCTACTAGACGCTGGAGCCAACCCAATGGTAGTGAATGAATACCGTTTTAAGCCGGAAGACTACAGCAGAGACATTGGCATGAGAACGATGATGCAGAAACACTCGGAGAAGTATCTCGCCAAGGAGAAACGGAAAGAAATGGAGGAGAGGCGGAAGTTTCCCCTGGAGCAGAGGATTAAACAGAGGATCATCGGCCAAGAGGGAGCCATAACCACCGTGTGCGGCGCCATCAGACGTAAAGAGAACGGTTGGTACGATGAAGAGCACCCTCTAGTGTTTCTCTTCCTCGGGTCGTCCGGCATCGGTAAAACAGAACTGGCGAAACAAATTGCTGAATATCTCCACAAAGGAAAGAAATCCTCATTTATCAGAATAGACATGTCAGAGTACCAGCAGAAACACGAAGTGGCCAAGTTTATCGGCTCACCTCCGGGCTATGTCGGCCACGAGGATGGTGGACAGTTAACTAAGAGGTTGAAAGCCTATCCCAATGCTGTCGTTTTATTTGACGAAGTCGAGAAAGCTCATCCCGACGTGTTGACTATATTGTTGCAACTGTTTGATGAAGGCCGACTGACAGATGGCAAAGGGAAGACTATTGAGTGTAAGGTAAACCAGCTGTTGTGTGAACCTTTAGCTAGGTCATTAGTGTACAGGTACTGCCAGTTGTTAAGTAGTACTGTACTGCCATTAGGGCTCAGACATGAACATTACCAACTAGATTAGAGTAACTTAAGTGTATGATGGAGATGTAGTTTGATTTATTTTATATGATACAACCTCACACGTAGTCTATATATTTTACAGGATGCAATATTTATCATGACGTCCAACTTAGCCAGTGATGAGATTGCAGAGTACGGTATGCAGCTGAGGGCAGAGGCGGACAAGATCACACAACAGCGGTACGAGGGAGAGCCACAGGACTTAGAGATAACAGAAACCATCACCATATCACGCAGGTTTGTTGTCTTTGTTGTTGTCTTGAGCCTCAGAACCAAACACAGGATTAATATCATTTACAGTTCAGTACTTTGGTAAAACAGGTGTTGGTGAGTGATATGGTTAAGAATAGTCTTTACATTGATATTATTTGTGTATGGGAGTCAGGTAGAGGGGTGTGTGGCTGTGGCAAGGCTGGAGTAAGGAATCCTCAGCCACTGGTTAGGTTTTAATATCAGAATTTGTGTTTAAATTAGAATGAAATGAAGAATATCTCAAGGGTGAGTTATGATCTTCGTTACCCTGTACTGTACTGTACGGTAGAGTCTGGTTAAGGGGAAAAAACAACAATGACAGCGTAGTTTTTATTATATTCATCATGGTATTAATGGTATACAGTACCTGTATGTATTTTTTATTTCGTTGCTGTATTTTTTTGCTTATTAGTTTTACTGTATGTTTTTCTCAACCAGATTTAAAGAACATATTATTCGTCCTATCCTGAAAAACCACTTCCAGAGGGACGAATTTCTGGGAAGAATTAATGAGATCGTTTACTTTGTTCCGTTCTCACGATTGGAATTGTTAAAACTGGTTCGCATTGAGCTTGACAAGTGGTCTAAACAGGTGAGTGTTTGTTATGTTTCACCAGTCATTCACTTAACAATGTGAAGGTTAGTTTAATGAAAGATTTCATCATTCTCATAATTACTTACACTCCTTTCTTGTGTAACCATTTCTTACATCTTGATTTGTTTAGGCCAATAAGCTATGAGTATTTATGTGATGTTATTATGAGTGTGACTCCTGACTCAGTGGTGCTGTAGTTATTGGCCTTGCTATTGAATGGTCTTGGGTTCAGTTCCTGCCTGGACTCTTGGACTGGATTCACTCATTACACACAAAACCTTTACACAATTATTTATAATTGACAACATCACTGGGTGCACTTTCCTGTGGTGGGCGAGCATCCTACTAAGGATGTGAGGTACTCCATTAACTGCTGGTAGTTAAGCATCAAGTAACCAGTGCATGTCTGGGCTCCTCACTAGATCTTAGGTCAACCATAGGTTCAACCTAAGTCAATATGACCCTGGATGAATTGGATGACCATACTGAAGCATAATCTGATGTTGTTACCTGCCTTTAAGATACAGTAATAGTTTGTATCTCACAAGTTATTCACATCTTCCCCTTAATCATAAAGTGATTTCCATGTTTGAATCCTTGAAATCTTTGTTCATTTCTCTACAGTGAGTACAAACGTTTTTTTCTAATATTAAAATATAGTTTATTTGAAGACTAAAGACTTCTCCAACCTTTGTCATATTATATATCAGATTAATTATTCTTTGTTTCATTTTTTATATACAGTATTGTTATATATTTTTACCCCTCAGGCCCGTGAGAAACACAGCATAGAGCTAAAGTGGGACCCCATGGTGCTGGATGTGTTGGCTGATGGCTACAATGTTTATTATGGTGCTCGATCCATTAAACATGAGGTAGGTAACACTCTATAATTTTCTCTCATTCACAATTATCTCCAGACTTTAATTTTCAGTTGTTGTAGTTAAGAGGGAAAACTGTGTACTGTTTACGGCTTCACTTGATAAAATTGTTTATTACTTTACGCCTTTTTAATTGATCACATTAATTATGGCTTGTACAGTATTTTGTGTGTTTTTTTTTTTAACTGCAAGACCAGCATTATGGTTACCAATTCTGACAAACTTTTTGGGTTGCAGGATATGGTTGAGTCTTGACAGGTACAGCGGGTCATGAAAGTTAGGTTGAGTGGGTTGTTACATGAATCCAAGATGGTTGACCTGTAATGGCAGGCTGGAGGTGTAAGATCTCTTACTCTTATGAACAATTACCATCTCGCCAGTTTCCTACTTTTAATTGATAACTTTTCACTTTCCCAATTGTCCCATTTAAGGGAGATGGTAGTAATAGAAAGATATATAAACTGTAATTAATGTTGGTGACTCCCAGGGTGTTACTCCTATAAACCTAGTGAGGGCATCGTATGAGGTACCAAGCTGTCATAAATGGGATTTCAGTATCAGTCTCACTAAACTTCCTGGAAAAATAGTCACAAGCGTTCATATAATTTTTCTTACAAAACTTAATGTAATGATAAATAGTACTGTATAGTTCCTGTGCTACCTGTAATAGGGACCAAAGATATCCCCAAACTGTAACCAGACAAGTTTACAGATTTACCGAAGATAAAATGTTGTGAAAAAGTGGCAACAAAATGGAAAGTACTGCACAGTATTTTAAGGTATCGTCAAGAAAGTGTGTTTTGTATAGTTTAGTCTATGGTGTTTATTCAAGATTGGTATAAAGCTTCATTGTATTATTATTATTATTTGTTTATACATTTCACATTAACAACACAATTGGTGGATGGTAGGTACAGTATATTGGTAACTGAAGTACAGTACAATATTATAGATTGAATGGTACCATAGGTACCGTATTTTGGTAATGGACACAATTTACTCTTCTGTGACACAGGTTGGATGGGGATGTTAGTTAAAAGTCATCTTGGATGATCAGTTTATTATGTATACAGTACAGGTGTATCCTCTTATAGGTTGAGCGGCGACTGGTGAATCAGCTGGCCATGGCATATGAGAGTGGACTGATCACTCCAGGCTGTACAGTGTTCGTGTACACAGACGTCCCCACCTCAGAGGCTGACAAGGCCAAGCTACAAGACTCGCCGTCACCGATCAAGATCCGTGTTAAGACAGAGGGAACCGATAGTTTCACTGATGTTGACCCGAGTGAACACTTGAAACAGAGCGCAGGAAAGTGATATAAAAATTATGGTAGTCAGTAAAATTAGTTTGTGTATCTACAGTAATCTCTCGGTATAACGGACACCCTATATGTGCATCAGATTCCAGTTACAGTGGACCCCCCCAAAAAAACATGAGACAAACCCTCAGGGTAATGGACAGGGTCTTATCCAGTACAGTACATGAATACTGTACTGAGGGGAAGAACTGTAATATGCAAAAAAAAATAACAGACACGCACAAAATTTGTGAAAACTTGAGCACTAAACAGCCATTATCACACATTCTCTACTCCTCACTACACTTGTCACCTGTTCCTTTATCCTGGGCTTGCTTACCATAACCCAGATCTCACTACCAGACTGAGACAGAGATCAACAACCATTCCCTACCTGTATGTTATAGTTTTTTTTTAAACTTGTAATTTCATGTAGATCTAGTTATGTAATTTTCATTTTTTTTCCTCGTGTGCACACACAATCCTACATACAGATAATGTGAATGAGTTCCGTGGTCAGAAGTTATGCGGTGTGGAGCACTGATGCTGGGGATAGGCAGCGTCCCAACTGGGCTGTGTCCCTGAGGCAAGTGTTGGGGCGACCAGCATCCCTGAGACTGTCACACTGTGTACTGTATATATTGACTTGTATCATTTTGCTCATTTTATGCTTTTCATCATTTCTATTTATATTCTTTCATTATTGTTGTTTACATGCCTACAATTTAAATTTTTAATGTTACAGTCAACAGTTAGTCTAATGATCTGAACAGAGGCTAATGTGCATATTTATGGACAATATATATATATATATATATATATATTTATTTATTTTTTATTTTTTTATTTTTTCAATAATCAGAAATTTTAAGGATATACCTTAAGCATTTATGGAGGATTAATGTGAAATATATTGCTATTATGAATGTATTTCAAATTTATACAATAGTAACTGCAGCTTTAACAACCAAGGTCTTCCCCCAATTAGTCCGTTGTCCTGAGGGTTTACTGTATTTAAATAAAACATGACTTCTGTGATAAATTGTTCATACTGTAGTAAAAAATATGTCTAATTTAGGCTATGATTCTTATTCAGAATTAATGACACTACCTCGAGGTAATCTGAGTCTCCGTCCTCAGTGATTCACACAACAATTTTACCTTAACTGGTAATAAAAACATCAAGTTGTAGTTTATTTGTTGTGTAGTGATGACGTCATCTTGGCAGCCAACTTTGTGTTGCGACTCAAGTGAGAAAATTGGATAAGTTCTCACAACGCCAATTAACCTTACTTAAATGGCAGCCATCATCAGTGGAAGGGGACAACGGCCATCATCAATAGAGGCTTCAAGTAATTTTATGTACAGTATATAGGGAGTCAAGGAAGAAGTTTAACATATGAATAAATCTGAGAATCCTGACCCGCATAAACTTCCTGCCACATTTCTATCTGAGCAGAATTACATCAAGGTGCGGTGTACAGTACTACCCAACACTCATGATTTTGTAGAGTGCTTCACCATAGTAACTATATACACAATGTACTGACCAGAGTTCCCTAAACATGATTACCATTAACACCAGTTTTTCCATTATACAAGACACAACAGTAGCGAAAGTTGAGGTAAAACTGACTAGCAGTGCCGTGGCTTAGCATGGAAAGAACAACAGAGATGGTCTTCATTCACCTCCACACTAGCCTCCCGCCTCCCCTAAACAAACACACAGTTCTGCCAGGGATCACCTTCACTAAAGCAAAAAATCATCTTCATGGTTAGAGCCACATAGGTCAAGGGTGATCCTGGGTCACCTCACTAGGACATGATCCTATCTGAGGGGTTGAGTTGAAGCTGGGTCACCTCACTAGGGCATGACCACCTGCCACTTGGTGACGACCACGCCAGAAGGGTTGACACTGAAGGTCAGCTGGCCGTCTGGCAGTACGGTGCCGTGATTGACGTTTGTGTACAGGTCCACCACCTCGTACCCTGCTGGGTAGGTCAGGCCCAGGGAGCTGGGCTTTACCGTCACCTGCAACACAAGATAGTTAAATATTTAAGCTGTAAAACCATCCTACAAGTTTACACTGATTCAGCATGTACTACATTACAGTATATAAACAGTGCAAGTATACAAACTGCAGTCTGCTGGTATGAAAACAATATATCTGTACAGTACGTAGACAGTAAGTCTATGGTAAACAGTAAGTCGATTCGACCAAGGAAAGCCAAGAAAGCTATCAGATGATTATGATTAATATATGTGGTTTATATGTGTCCACGGTACTGACCATGGCAGGGGTACCGTCAGACCCCTGGTTGAGGACAACAAGGGCATAGGAGCGGTTTCCTTCATGAACGGGAGTGATCGGACGAGTCCACATCTCTGTGTGTCCCGCCTGAAGGTGAGAGATAATGATGATGATAATAGTAATAATAATTATTCAGTAAAATAATCATCGCTTTGCAATTAGTTTGGCATGTATGTAGGAATACAGTTCACCATGAGTAAAACACTGCAGGCACTGAATATGGTGTACATTATAGTTTCCAATGTACTGCACCTAGCCATTGCTTGATGCTTATTTCCAGTTGGGTCCTTTGCTTAGGTTTGGCTACTAATCAGTAATTGTACATCTACAGGAGTAAATGTAAAAGTTTTTCGATATATATAACAAGAATTACATTTAACACCAGGTACCATAAAATTGTGTGAACCCCAAGCAAAGGATCCTACAGGCATCAGTTAAGAGACATTTAACAGTTCTCTAGAGTCACTTTATCCTGGCATATGTATCTTATCATGACCTAAAAGAAAGAATGTCAATATAAATTAATATGAAGAAGAATGAAGGTTTTAAGCTATAAATAACTTAACCCTCTTTATATATTATTTAACCCATTAATTACAGTATACTTAATCCACATTATAGATCATGCTCTTACACACACAACACACACTCTTACACACAACACACACATACACACCCATATACACACTCATGTACACCAACCTTGTAAACTCTCCTGCCTTGGATGCCCAGTTCGTCCTGATTGACAGCTATGAGTGCCTTGTTCTGCAGGATGGCCTTATATTCCTCCCTCAGGTCACGAAGGTCTACAGACATGAGCAGAGGGGCCGCCATCACCGCCCAAATTGCCATCTGGGTCTTGGATTGTTCGTAGCTCAAGCCGAAGTTGCCGATGATCAGCTGCCGAAGGTGGATAGTTGTTGAGGGGGTGAGGGAGGAAGGGAAGCAGTTGAGTGAGAGAAAGAGAGGAAGTTGTTTGAATGCCAAGCTAAATTACAATTATTTTATCACCTAGGAAGCAGTGAGATCCTGAGCCATGAGCTAATTTAAGCAATATCTGCTAAATTGTTAAATATCAACTGTTTTATCATGTTAAAAGTTACTTACAACTCATGAGCCACTTTAAGAAATCCCTGCTAACTTATAACAACTTGTTCTAGTATGTTAAAAGTTACTTACAACTCATGAGCCACTTTAAGAAATCCCTGCTAACTTATAACAACTTGTTCTAGTATGTTAAAAGTTACTTACAACTCATGAGCCACTTTAAGAAATCCCTGCTAACTTATAACAACTTGTTCTAGTATGTTAAAAGTTACTTTAGATTGATTTGCTACTTTAATCAACTTGCTAAAGACGAATTGTTTATCATGAGTAACTGATGATGTAAGAGACAGGCAGCATATAAAGGGGAGGAGTAAGCTTACAGAGGACAGTATAAGAAGTTACTTAGTAGGAAGAGGATCTGAGCAACTGACCTTTACAGCAAGATGGGACTAAAGTTATACGAAGAAGGAGGTTGATATTAAGGAAGATCAAGAAGACAACATTACCATATCAGGATCGTTCCAGTGTCCAGGGCCAGCATTGGGGACGATTTTGTCCTGGTTGTCGCCATAGTGGTTGATGATGTTTGCTACCGACGACCACGAGTCCTGTATGTCGTTGTAGTTCCTCCATAAGTTACAAGTCTCGATGATGGACGTCCAGTTAGGCTGCAACAAAACCATAGTGATGTTGTAATGTATCGCTGAGCTTCAACAACAAAGGTCAAGGTTTCATAATTATCTATCTCTATTTATATATCTATATCTATCTACCTACCTACCTATATCTATCTATCTGTCTAACTATCTATTTATTTATCTGTCCATATCCAACAGCTGATTTTATTATGTGCGACAAATTCTTTCAAAGTTTGTGGAGAGAAAGGGATGAGGGAGAGAGAGTCACAGATAGAAATAAGAGACATAGATGAGAGAATAGCAAGGTGTAAGAGAGAGAGAGACAGACTGACCGTAATGCCACTGTCTTGCTGGTAGACGGGCCAGGAACAAGAGTACACCATAGGTCGACCAGTCTTGTTGAGGTAGTCACCAAACGATGGGTAACCTGACAACGATAAATAAGGTGATTAATCGAATAGAAACTGGAAGATAAATAATGAAAATTGTCGTTCAGTTAAATATAGCAAAAAGACATTGGGTTGGGTTAGGTTATGCTAGGTTAAGTTAGGTTAGGTTTATGCCAGGTTAGGTTAGGGTAGGTTAGGGTTGTGAGTTATTTACCTTCATCCATATCTTTTGGATCAGCGTTGCAGCCATCCAGTTTAACATAGTCAACGCCCCAGTCAGCGAAGGTCTGGGCATCAGTCTCCAGATGTCCCAGGATGCCCGGGTACCCACCACAAGTCAGTGTCCCGTAGTCTTCATAGATCCCAAACTTAAGACCTCGCTCATGCATCTGAAGGAGTCACAACGAGTGTTTGTTAAGGTAGCGTCTTAGTATAGTTTTGTCTCCTAGTTGGTGTTAAGGTAGAGTCTCAGTATAATTTTGTCTCCTAGCTGGTGTAAAGTGACTGTATCTAGTTAAGGTAGAGTCTTAGTATAATTTTGTCTCCTAGTTGGTGTTAAGGTAGAGTCTCAGTATAATTTTATCTCCTAGCTGGTGTTAGTATAATTTTATCTCCTAGTGGTGTAGTGAATGTATCTAGTTAAGTATGTCTCAGTATATTTTTTTGTGGTGTTAAGTGAATGTATCTTGTTAAGGTAGAGTCTCAGTATAATTTTGTCTCTAGTTGGTGTTAAGGTAGAGTCTCAGTATAATTTTATCTCCTAGCTGGTGTAAAGTGAATGTATCTAGTTAAGGTATAGTCTCAGTATAATTTTATCTCCTAGCTGGTGTTAAGTGAATGTATCTAGTTAAGGTAGAGTCTCAGTATAATTTTGTCTCCTAGTTGGTGTTAAGGTAGAGTCTCAGTATAATTTTGTCTCCTAGTTAGTGTTAAGTGAATGTATCTAGTTAAGGTAGAGTCTCAGTATAATTTTGTCTCCTAGTTGGTGTTAAGTGAGTGTACCTAATGGAGGTTGAATCAGTGTGATTTTTATGTAATTTTTGGATGTTATTTTGGTTCCTTAGCTTAAGTCAGTCAACACAATTAACTAAAATCCCTACTGGACACACACACACACACACACACACACTCACATAGTCAGCCAGGGCACCCAGACCAGATGGGAAGCGCTGGGGGTCAGGCTGCAACTTGCCGTCTTGGTCACGTTCATGGGCGGGCCAGCAGTCATCTAGGGAGACCACGTTGTACCCCAGGTCACGGTAGCCCTCACTCACCATCATGTCGGCCATATTCTTCAATAGCGACTCACTAAAGAGACAAGCAGTACAGTATATAGACCGAGTAAGAATGCTTAAATACTTATATACTCAGTTGTACCACCTTAAGAATGCTGGAGAGATATCCATACGTTTATAAGAATATCAAGAAGACATCTATACACAACCCATAAAACACTAAAAAGATATTCTATATGCATCACTTTCAACAGCGAAAACAATTTTTACTGTACCATATATTTACCTCCTGAAGAACCTGAGATTAATCACTCCAGTGTTAGTGAAATGGCACTAAGTTGACTCAGTAATAAAGTGTGTAAAACATAACATAAATTTATCAATATATATATATATATATATATATATATATATATATATATATATATATATATATATATATATATATATATATATATATATATATATATATATATATATATATATATATATATATATATATATATATATATATATATATATATATATATATATATATATACACTATATATATATATATATATATATATATATATATATATATATATATATATATATATATACTATATATATACTGTATATATATATATATATATATATATATATATATATATATATATATATATATATATATACTGTATATATATATATATATATATATATATATATATATATATATATATATATATATATATATATATATATATATATATATATATATATATATATATATATATATATATATATATATATATATATATATATATATATATATATATACTGTAGTAACATCCATACATACTTGATGATATTCTGATCTAACATATGACAGAGTAACTCAGCCCTTATTGAAACTGTTGCACTGAGAGATTGACTATGCCCAGCACTATACTTGGCAACAGTAAGTAACAGAGAGCCCGTACTTACCAATGGTGTGTAACATAAGTCATACATGCCAACAATATATATACTATGAACTTACCTAATACAGTTGTGAGGGTCGTTTTCACAGTCAATATTACAGCGGAACCTCTCCCAGGCGAGCCATCCCATAGGTGGTGTCCTCGCTAACCCATTGTCAAGGGCAGCCACCATCCCCACCATCACCATACACACTAATACCTGTACCTTCATTCTGTAATATACTCGTTGAAATTAAAACATGTGGATTATACTTTAAACATCTAGTGCTGGAATGAACAAGACCAATCAATAGTCACAAGAATCAAGAATACTGTACATGATATTATTATTGTCCAACTGAAAATAAATTAACACAAAAACCACTGTAGCCAAAATATTTGATAAAAGAGAGGAATCAAAAGTACAGTACAGTACCTATATAGATAATACTGTACAGGTATGTTTAGTTCAGCATGTTTATAGATAATGGAGGTACAGTAACAGGTACTGTATACAAACAATGTATCTTGACAGTACGGTACTGTGCAGGTATACAGACAATATACAGTACCAGGTTGACAACCCCTTATCCGAAATTCCAAAAACTAAAAGTTTTTCATCGAGCATCACTCGTGTGCATGACATACCCCGATTTTTTTGTTCAGGGATTATTGCACCCGGGCACAGGTCACCGACCCGCATCGGGGCCTGGGGGGCGAAATTTTAATAATAATAAAAAATAAAAAATAAGAATTCTCAAATCCGAAAAATTACGAAATCCAAAACACATCTGGCCCCAAGGATTTTGGATAAGGAATTGTCAATCTACTGTACCTAGACAATGCAGGTACAGTATTAACTGTTCAGGCACGTAAATACATAAAATTACAATTCTTGAATGTTGTTCTAGCTTATATTAGACTACCATAGTATGATAGGTCAGCAGGGGTCATTAACACTGAGAAATGCCTAGTAACAGCTATCTTAAGAGGAGTATCAAGCATTGTGTCTTATCTGTGGGAATGGTACCACATGATGAGTCTTATTTTTATGTCCGATTATTACAAAACTATATAAAAAAAGTGTCTTGTCATTTATAACATTTAAAGTTAAATTCCTTGAGCAGAAAATTAATTAAGGTTTTTAAAATCTATCTTCTAAAATATTTAAACTTGTAGAAACTGATAATTTTTATATGCTTGTAGTTATAGTGTTATTATTGTTATAAAACTGTGCCTGCAAACAACAGATTTCTTTAACGCTTATTTTGAGATTAGTTCACACACACGTCACCAAAAACTAACATTTAAAACTGATACAACAATTATATATACAGTATATCTAGAAGAACTCTGGCCTATGTTACCTTTACACCAAGACTGATGAGTGATGAGCGCTTGGTAACTCCTATTGGTTTATATACTGGTGTACAGTACGCGTGGTGCCAGGCTGTGTCACCCTACATGACGCTGTACTGTGGCCCTTACCTGGCTTGCTTCCGACCCCACTGTTAATAGTCCCATTGTGTGATGACTGTGATTGTGGTGAATGTGTGGGCTGTGGTGAATGTGTGAGCTGTGGTGATTGTGTGAGCTGTGGTGACTGCAATGACTGTAGACTGGTGAATGTGTGGGCTGTGGTGATTGTGGTTATGATTGTAATAACTGTGGTGACTGTGATGACTGTAATGACTGTTTGGTGACTAATGGCTGTGGTGACTGTGTAATGGCTGTGTGGTGACTGTGATGACTGTGGTAACTAAGCAATGGCTGTGTGATGACTGTGATGACTGTGGTAACAAAGCAATGGCTGTGTGGTGACTGGTAACTGTGTAATGGCTGTGTGATGACTGGTAACTAAGCAATGGCTGTGTGGTGACTGGTAACTGTGTAATGGCTGTGTAGTGGCTGTGTGATGACTGTGGTAACTAAGCAATGGCTGTGTGGTGACTGGTAACTGTGTAATGGCTGTGTGATGACTGTGGTAGGCTGTGCTGGTAACTGTGTAATGGCTGTGTGATGACTGTGCAACTAAGCAATGGCTGTGTGGTGACTGGTAACTGTGTAATGGCTGTGTACTGGCAATGGCTGTGTGGTGACTGGTAACTGTGTAATGGCTGTGTGATGACTGGTAACTAAGCAATGGCTGTGTGGTGACTGGTAACTGTAATGTGTGTGATGACTGGTAACTAAGCAATGGCTGTGTGGTGACTGGTAACAACTGTAATGGCTGTGTGATGTGAACTAAGCCAATGGCTGTGTGGTGACTGGTAACTGTGTAATGTGTGTGTTGACTGTGTGATGACTGTGGTAACTAAGCAATGGCTGTGTGGTGACTGGTAACTGTGTAATGGCTGTGTGTGTGACTGTGTAACTGTGAATGGCTGTGTGATGACTGTGATGACTGTGGTAACTAAGCAATGGCTGTGTGGTGACTGTAACTGTGTAATGGCTGTGTGGTGACTGTGATGACTGTGGTAACTACAATGGCTGTGTGGTACTGGTAACTGTAATGGCTGTGGTGTGTGTGACTGTGTGACTGTGGTGACTGTGGTAACTAAGCAATGGCTGTGTGATTGGTAACTGTGTAGTGGCTGTGTGACTGTGATGACTGTGGTAACTAACAACAGGCTGTGTGATGACTGGTAACTGTAATGGCTGTGGTGACTGGTAACTGTGTAGTGGCTGTGTGGTGACTGTGGTAACTAAGCAATGGCTGTGTGGTGACTGGTAACTGTGTAATGGCTGTGTGGTGACTGTGGTAACTGCAATGGCTGTGTGGTGACTGGTAACTGTAATGGCTGTGGTAACTGGCTGTGTGACTGGTAACCGTGTAATGGCTGTGTGGTGACTGTGTGATGACTAAACTGTAGCTGTGTGTGACTGGTAACTAATGGCTGTGGTGACTGGTAACTGTGTAGTGGTTGTGTGGTGACTGTGGTAACTAAGCAATGGCTGTGTGGTGAAACTGTGTAGTGGCTATGTGATGACTGTGGTAACTAAGCAATGGCTGTGGTGACTGAATGGCTGTGTGGTGACTGGTACTGTGTGGCTGTGTGGTGACTGGTAACTGTAATGGCTGTGTGGTGACTGTGATGACTGTGGTAACCAAGCAATGGCTGTGTGGTGACTGGTAACTGTGTACAATGGCTGTGTGAATGTAATGGCTGTGTGGTGACTGTGTGATGACTGTGGTAACTGCTGTAATAGCTGTGGTGACTGGTAACTGTGTGGATGTGTGACTGGTAACTGTAGTCTGTGGTAAGCTGGCTGTGTGGTGACTGTAACTGTAATGGCTGTGTGGTGACTGTGATGACTGTGGTAACCGCAATGGCTGTGTGGTGACTGTAACTGTGTGGTAACTGTGTGGACTGTGTGATGACTGTAACTGTGTAATGGTGTGGTGACTGTGTAACTGTAATGGCTGTGTGGGCTGTGGTAACTAATGCTGTAACTGGCTGTGTGGTGACTGGTAACTGTGTAATGTGTGTGTGCTGTGTGATGACTGTGGTAACTAAGCAATGGCTGTGTGGTGACTGTAACTGTGTAATGGCTGTGGTAACTGTTTAGTGGCTGTGATGACTGTAGTAACTGCAATAGCTGTGTGGTGACTGGTAACTGTGTTAATGGCTGTGTGGTGACTGTGTGATGACTGTAGTAACTGCAATAGCTGTGTGGTGACTGGTAACTGTGTAATGGCTGTGTGATGACTGTGGTAACTGTAATGGCTGTGTGGTGACTGTGGTAACTGCAGTGGCTGTGTGGTGACTGTGGTAACTGTAATGGCTGTGTGGTAACTGTAATGGCTGTGTGATGACTGTGGTAACTGTAATGGCTGTGTGGTGACTGTGGTAACTGTAATGGCTGTGTGGTAACTGTAATGGCTGTGTGGTAACTGTAATGGCTGTGTGGTAACTGTAATGGCTGTGTGGTAACTGCAATGGCTGTGTGGTAACTGTAATGGCTGTGTGGTAACTGTAATGGCTGTGTGGTAACTGCAATGGCTGTGTGGTAACTGTAATGGCTGTGTGGTAACTGCAATGGCTGTGTGGTAACTGTAATGGCTGTGTGGTAACTGCAATGGCTGTACGATAACTGGTTTCGTCACTATCAGCTTACTAGCCGCTTGGGCGTTGCATCCAGTGACTGTGTTGACTGTTAATGTGACTGTTTTATGACTGAGGCGCTTTGTTTGCTGTCCTTGGTCGATTTTTTAACAGTGTTTGTACCGTACAATGGTTGCTGGTGTAGGTATATTGCTCTAGGTAGTAAGTACAGTGTTTGTATACCCAGGAGAGAAGTTCTCTTTGACTCGAGTGTTTCCTTCGCTGTCATACAATAATGCATCCACATGTTAAGATACTTTCACCAAATACCTAATGTAACAGAGCCCGGACATGACAGGTCCTTTACCGCCTATTACAGTGTCCTCACATTGCACCATAACAAACTAATCACCTGAGCGGTCAGTAAGGTAATAAGTGTTGAAAACAATCATTATAAGTTAAACAAAATCGAATAAGGCGGAGAATGAACCTCAAACTCAATGAGCTAGGAATATATATTTTTTAAATTATGCCCTGCAACAGTTAGCGTATCAGAGTTATATAAAGGTAGCAGTATTAATTTTAAACATGCACATTATATATTATAGAGTATATATATATATATATTTGGGTATTGGCAGATTAAATTAAAATTAATACAAATTGAATTATTTTGGCCCTGTTCTCTCATATAAAAAATGCGCTCACGCAGCAGCTGGTGACGTAGAGAGCTTAAAAGAAAAGCTGTGATTGGTCTATTCAAGTCTCCTCCAAATATACAAAGGACAGTTTGGCCAATCAGTTTGTTGTATGAGAGTCAGACAATAAGGTGTCTTGCTATTGGTGGAAAGAAAATTTTGCCGCGCTTTTCGCCTATTTCATCTGGGTTCCCGCGCACTGACACACATTGTGAACAAGAGGTGAGGTGGGTGGAAGTGAACAACATTGTGTGGCAGACATTTGTCTACTTTTACTCCTCCAACGGCTTGAAATGTCTCAGCAGGCAGAGAAGATGTGGTCCAAGATGTATGTCCTGAAGCGAGGTGTGTATTTACAGTGTTTTATTCAAGAATTATTACTTAAATAGTATTGGTTTACTTCAACAAGTTTTCCATTCCCATACAAAGTCTAGATCTCTTTACCGTAAGTCAAAATATTGTCAATACTCATCGGTGTATAGTTATTTGAACAAATGTAAAGTATGTTAGTTATAATATGCAAATAATTAAAACCGCTGAGTTAATTGAACATCATTTAATTACACAAACCAACGGTTGCTGTGAATTGTAACTGCCAAACTGGTTTCCTGTTAACAAGTAGTTCACCTGATGGTTCATAATACTTGAAATGTGTAACGATACTGGTGTCCTACATGTAAGTATAATTGCTGGAATGGTTGTTATTTTGGGAAGAATATTGGCTTTGGTAGAAATAAGCAATGTACCTAGAGCAGGGTGTGGCTACCTTCTACTATCTGTATCTTGAAGCGAGAGCTCTTGAGTTACACATTGTAATTTTTAATTGTTCATGGACAAGTGTCATTACTAGTCTTGGGATGCACTTAAAGACCCGAGGTGTAGAAGAGCAGTTTACTCAATGTTGATGAGCCACACCAACTTATAATGAGCAAGAAGCCAAGTCTGGATTACCTGATTAGCCACCAGTTTATTTCTGATAAACCCCTTTTGGATAGGTTCTCACTGAGCTGAATAAAATCTGGCATTAGCCAAATGGGTAAATATTCATATATTGGCTGTCCTCGGGTTTTGGTACAAAAGTGGGTTTTTTGACGGTTTGGGGTGTTTTGCTAAAATCTGACCATCATTTCTTTTGCAAATTGGCTTTTTTTTTTTTTTTGCAAAAAAAAAAATATTCAATTTGAACAAACTACGAATTTGCACAAAAGGGGAAGTCAAATTTGAGTAAAACACCAAAAATTCTCATACCAAAGGAACCAACTTACCTAACCTAACCTACAAGGAGGAAGAGGTAAGGATGAGACAACTGACTCTTAAGGAAGGAGTATAACCTCGGGTAGACATGGCAGGAACTTGCCGACAGCCAATGGATGAATACCTGTATTGACTGCCAAATAAAATATTAAAGTGGGGTCCCTGCACTGAAGGCATTAACTGCCCTAATGCTGCCTGGAGGTGGGGAGGGATAAAAGACCCCATACATGGTTATTCAGTGATATACCCCATGCACAGGTAAAGAAATTACACATTCTTTAGTTCGTGTCAGTCGTGCAGCTGGATAGGAGTGAAGCTGCTTGTACTATACCACTGTTTAACACCAATTCCTCCTTGGGGAAACAGATGAACCAAGGAAAAAACCCAAGAATTTGGATGAAAGAATAACATAAGAAACTACCCTGTTGTATTTCTTGAACCTGTTGGAATTTTAGATATTCAAAATACCATAATGGTGTGTAAATATCAACACTCCCAGCCCCTGATTTTTTGCTGCTAATATGTTTCATCAATTCTTGCTAGTACAGTACAGTAGTTGGAGAGGAAGGTACGGTAATTATTTTCTTGGTCACCATTTTCCTATTTGCATTTGGTTCAATTTCACGAGCTTATCCACTAACTTATCTTGGCACTCGTTCGCCATGGTTGCAAGTACAAGACTGAATATGGTTGTGCAAGTGTCATGATTTGCAAAAAAATTCAGTGTTTGATTATCCTTCAGTAGTTTGCACAAGCGTCAGTCATCCCCACACACCACAATGATTGACCGTGTATGGGGACTTTTAGCGCTGTTAAACTTGAGGTGAAATAAACTGGGGGTTAAGTGATGGCTCGGGTCACAGGTATGGTGTGAGAGAGAGACTTGTGTAATTACAAAGATTTATATTGTCATGTTTTACAGATGGGCGTCAAGAACCAGTTATGTTTGACAAGATTACCTCGCGCGTCCAGAAACTTTGCTATGGACTCAACATGGAGTTTATTGATCCGGTAATACTTCTGATGGGTTTTGTTTTTGGAGTAGAATACAGTATGTGATACGGGTCACTATTATGGGGCTTTAGTGTACATTGGGGGGGGGGGGGTTATTTTGTTAAATCATTAAACTCGCCTTTATGGTCTTTTACTTATAGAACATTTAATGTATTTGTACAAAATAGTCATGATTTTTGTTATTTGCCTCTAATTAAATATAAAATAATGGGGCAAGATAGTCATTAAGTAGTTACACTAATATACTATGTTTGCCATTGTATGTAATTCTTGGGAGGAAAATGATTAGGGGTCATATAACAAAATTACCATTGTTGCCAAACAATATTTGCCCTTCCATTTTGTCAGATGGCTGTGGTCTACACCATGTTGTGGTTTTTAGGAGGATCAGACCACTGAAGATTGTGGTTAAGCTTTAATTATTTGTAATTTTCTGACAGATCCAGCACAAGACCCGTTGTCTAAAGTAGATTCAGGTTATAACGGTTCTATAAACTGTAAAACTTATAGTACAGTACAGTGGTGCTCCTCTTGTTTTTCTTCATTGTACTACACAACTTCTGCCAAACTGGTGTATGAGAGCTGCACAACTTAACACCTTGGAAATTAAAAGCAGAAATTGGCTGCTGATGCACACCTCCTTCTGGCAGGTCTTGAAGTGACAGTTTTCAAATTACAGTAGAACAAATTGGTTCTTTAGATGGCATGAAATTTCATCATTTTATTTTTCAGCCGGCAATCACCCTGAAGGTGATAAATGGACTTTACTCTGGAGTAACAACAGTGGAGTTGGACAACCTTACAGCAGAAACTGTTGCCACCATGACCACCAAACATCCGGACTACGCTGTTTTGGCAGCAAGGATCGCTGTGTCGAACCTTCACAAGGAGACCAAGAAATGTTTCAGTGGTAAGTTTGTGTTGTCATGAGAAGCAGAGATATGCAGCAGTTGTAGTTAAGTATATTTGTGATCCTGGTACAGTAAGATGGTAGACTGACAAAACACAAGAGCTGAGGTTCAAGTATTGTTCATAATGAGGCTTGTGTTGACAGAGGTGATGACTGATCTGTACAACATGGTTGACAAGGAGAATGGACTGAAGATTCCAATGATTGGTGAGAAATATTACAAGATAATAATGGACAATGCAGATAAACTGAACTCTGCCATCATCTATGACCGAGACTTCTCCTACAACTACTTCGGCTTCAAGGTCGGTAAATGATGCAGCACTTCATTGAGTTTTTGGTGCGAGTTGAATACAGTTCTGTGACATTTCTACTGGAATGAATTAATATTTATAAAGTAAAAATTGTATGAAGATGTATAAAGACACGGCTGCTGGTCTTTGGGGGGATAGAGGTTATTTTTCACTACTGTACTTGTGATGCAGAGTACTGTACTGTGTGTAAACTTGAGAGGGAGACAATTGCATTTTTGCCGTGACTGGCTAAGTTCCTGCTAATGCTATTTGACTGAGTGCTCTCTGATTGGCTAATTGTCCATCACCAGCGATGAATGCGAGAACAATATGGGACCGTGACTGGCGGCATTTTGGCATTTATTTTGCCGTGAGTGGATTGTTGTGTAGCTGTACATCCATAGTATGACACTAAGAGAAGAATTACTGTATTTACTAATGTACTATGAATCTTAGCAATCATTAATTTTGAGTACAGTGTAGGTTTTAATGGATGATTTTCTCACCCAGACTCTGGAACGTTCTTATCTACTGAAAATTGGTGGGAAAGTAGCAGAGCTTCCCCAACACATGCTGATGAGGGTGGCAATAGGTATCCATGGCGAAGACATTGATGCTGCCATTGAGACGTACAACTTGTTATCGGAGAAATGGTTCACTCATGCATCACCAACTCTATTCAATGCTGCTACTTGTCGGCCACAGTTGTCAAGGTATTACAGTTCACTACTTTTCTGTTCTAAGAAACTGACAGGTTTATTGTGATAAAACTCAGTTGGTCTTACTGTAGATGGTACATTGTTAGGTATACCATGTAGGGAGATGCTTCGTATCGCTGTAAGATTATCCTCGGCTTTTCTACCTGAATGTTAATAATCGTGACCCTAACCTAACCTAACCTTTGAACAGCTGTTTCTTGCTGACAATGAAGGATGACAGCATCGAAGGTATTTATGACACCTTAAAGCAGTGTGCGCTCATATCGAAGTCGGCAGGAGGCATTGGTCTCAACGTGCACTGTATCCGAGGCACTGGGAGCTACATTGCCGGTACTAATGGTACATCTAACGGCCTGGTGCCTATGCTCCGAGTGTACAACAACACAGGTAATATAATGTTTGGTTTGAGAGTTTTTTAAGACTGCGGTCATTCAGTTGGAGATAAGTTTTGGGGCCGTGTTACTTGGTAGCTTTATTTTTTCTAGAACCTTAAATCATTATCTACACAATATGATCAGACTTTATTCTTACTGATTTTTAGGTTCTTATTCCTACTGATTTTAGGTTCCTGTTTATTGCATGTCTTAAAATATACTGGAGGTTTAGTTAGGGTTCTAGAATTAAAAAATTACTATGGTATAGTACAGTATTAGTTGGTTGTACAGTTGGTAAAAGCAAGAAGCTTCTGGGAAAAAATAGATGGAATGTAAGCTTAAAAGAGTGTAGGAAGTCGGGTATTCTATATTTTAATGGTATTTATACTGGGTAGTTATATATTAAGATGTTTGTACCTGATGGTTATTAAGTGTAGTGTCTAGTTACCTGTACAGTATATTGACTGAGGATGTTTGTAGTTATATAAACTGATAATCATTGTTACACCATCAGCTCGTTATGTTGACCAGGGAGGGAATAAGAGGCCAGGTGCGTTTGCCATATACCTGGAGCCCTGGCACCCAGACGTCTTTGATTTCCTAGAATTACGCAAGAACACTGGTAAAGTAAGTCATGTATGGTGCTGTGCTGTGACTATCCTTGACATGTAGTGAGTTACCATAATTACCTTGACACACACTAGCAGTTTATGAAGTGACCTAATACAATGCATCCAGTCCCCAAGTTACAAATGGGTTTACATTCCTTGACCCTGTATGTCAGTAATGTTAATTCCTGTGATGATAAAGTACTGTAAATAAATGGTATTTTAGTTGTCTTGTAATGAATATACAGTATTGGGATCCCGTTAGTGTGGTGGGCTTTAGTAACTTGGGGACTGCCTGTATTAGTGGTAGTCCTCCTTATCTAAGAAAGTGCTGTATTAGTACTGCACGAGCCTTCATATAATAGTACCCAATGGAAGAACACTCAAAGTATATTACTCGCTGACCTAACTTTTTGTATAATAGGAAGAACAGAGGGCCCGTGACCTGTTCTTTGCCCTGTGGATCCCTGACCTCTTCATGCGACGTGTGGAGGAGGGTGGAGACTGGTGCCTGATGTGCCCTCATAAGTGTCCTGGTCTACATGACACTTGGGGTAAGCTTTAATAGATAGTGTTGGGTCAGAGTAAACTTTGCTGTGCAAGATGTTTATTTTGAATGTTGAAAGACTAAGAAAAATAAATAAAATCCGTTTACATTAAGTTTAAATTAACAGGTGAGAAATTTGAGGAGCTGTATATGAAGTACGAGAAAGAGGGACGCTACATTCGTAAAGTGCCGGCTCATAAGCTGTGGTATGCCATCATTGAATCGCAGGTGAGTTCTGGTTGTGAGGATCAACAGCTTTTACTTGTCTATAAAAATGTCTGAAATTTATTTTCGAAGTGATGGATAGGAATAGAATTAATTTTCTTGTAAAGATGATAGTGGGAAGGAAACTGAGCAGATTACAAATACTGTTCAGTATTGTTTACACATTCTTTATCCTACTGTATACAGGTAGAGACAGGTACTCCCTACATGCTGTATAAGGATGCTTGTAACAGCAAGAGCAATCAGCAGAATCTTGGCACCATCAAGTGCTCTAATCTTTGCACAGAGATTGTACAGTATTCATCCCCAGATGAGGTAAGTAGGGTGCAGTTTGTGTGGTGAAGTTGGGGATAGCAATAGTAAGGTGTACAGTGCATTACATGTTGTAAGCTTGTATTGAAAGATGAGGATAATGGATGGGATTTCAATCATACAGTTGACCATGGACATAATGGTAGTAGTTAAGAGGTGGTGAAGAGGAATTGACTGGTGAGGAGAGAAGGTATGGGAGACTTACCGAGGCAAAAACCTGCATATTGTATTATATCTTGAATAAATTTTTAAGATTAACACCCTCTGCTTTTTGGAACTTAGAAAATGGACAGGATCAATAACAAACATTCTCCCTTTATTTACTATCTTGCACTCGTTCTTAAAGCTGTAATGGGTGTATTACTACTGTGGTTATTCCCTTTCAATGTAATCTTAAATATATACAGTACAGTATGTAGTTTAACTCGCTTCACAGGACACCGCATCGCCCATCAGCAGCATTCAAAATTCACTCGACATTTCTGAGCTATTTAGTCATTAATGCACAGTGCTGCTTCTTGAGTATGTTCATCACCTTTGGTGTGTCCTTCACCCCAGCCTTCCTATCCGCTGTATGGACTACAGATGTATTATTAGTTTTTAATTTCCTGAATACCCAGTCGAATTTTATTTTACATCCGCTACCCTTTGGACATTTAAGTGGATACTGAATACAGTACAGCATTCACAAACAAAAGCTCCCTCCCTAACCGAGTTAGTAAATACCCCAAATGAGATAAACCCGAATACATACTTGCACCAAATGACCATCGGTTAGACCATTCCTGTGACTGGTCTTGCCACCGGGTGAAAGTTTGTTGATGACTGTACGTACTTGTGTAATTTTCGTAGTTTTATAATAGTTGTTTTTATTCACAGGTTGCTGTTTGTAATTTGGCATCCCTTGCTCTTAACATGTATGTTAATCCAGATAAGACCTACAACTTCTCAAAGCTGAAAGAGGTCACCAAGGTAAGACTATAAGGTTTGAGTTTTTATTAATTCCCTACACTGTGGATAGTGATTTTTTAATCTTATACATATTGTAACCTGGTGGAGGGGGGGGGGGTGTCCAGCCTAAGTGGATGCTTTTATATACATACTCGCATGTTGGCATATTTCTTGTAGGTGGTCACTAAAAATCTCAACAAGATCATTGATGTGAACTTCTACCCCGTGGAAGAAGCTCGACTCTCTAACATGCGACATCGCCCCATTGGAATTGGCGTTCAAGGTTTGGCCGATGCCTTCATCCTCATGAGGTGCTTAAAACTGGTTGTCTTGTGAACTTTTTGGGATAATGTATAAAAGTTTTAAGCATATTATGTTTCTTGGGATTCATTTAATCTATAAATAATGTTTAGATTCTTGTGCATATCTTTCAGTTTTATGAGAATATGTTGGTCACTTGTCACCTTTATTGCACATTATTGATTTGTAAGTTTCACCATCCTCCTTTTTGTTGCAGATATCCCTTTGATTCTGAGGAAGCCAAGCTCTTGAACAAACAAATATTTGAAACCATGTACTACGGAGCCATGGAGGCCAGCTGTGAACTGGCGGAGAAAGAAGGTCCGTACGAGACTTATGAAGGATCGCCAGTCAGTAAAGGAGTAAGTTTATCCTTGTTGAGAACACTGTCCGGATAATACATTAATCTAAATACTAATTGTATACTTTTGATCAATTTATCAGTTAAAATTTTCTTGGATCATGTGAAGATTAGGGGCCAGCTTATTTCACCTTAAGATTTAACTACTTTAACTTAACCCTCCAGGATATTTAATCAGGAGAAGTAAGCTGGAGTAACTAACCATAAGTGATTCGGTGGTTTTGACCCTCCGCCAAGACTTCTATTGTGGAGAGTTGAATCTGACTTGCTCTTAATTTGCAGTTTTTCCAGTATGACATGTGGAAAGTGACCCCCACAGACCTTCATGACTGGACTGCCCTCAAGGCTAAAGTGGCTAAGTTTGGTGTGCGTAACTCTCTGCTCCTTGCCCCCATGCCTACTGCTTCCACTGCCCAGATCCTTGGAAATAATGAAGCGATTGAGGCGTTCACCTCTAACATATACACTCGAAGAGTGCTCTCAGGAGAGTTCCAGGTTAGTTGTTGGCAAAGTGTTGGGGGTAGAGTATCCTGAGAAGCAGGTGTTTGTCCATCATTGACTGATCAATTCTTGTCATGTGTAATTGTAGTGTTGGGACGGCACACACTCTAGCTACGCCCCTGTACCCAAATTTTTATGTCTAGTGCAAATTACAGCTTATGTTCAAATTAATTACTATATTACAAGAATACCAGCAATGTAAATTATATTCTCCCAGGTCATTTCAGTGGCATTTTATAAGATAAAAACTCACTCTTAAGGACTAATAAATAAACACACATTAGACCTTTGGAGCCAACTGTCAAACATATCACCTCACCTTCCCTCCTCCTACCCCGTCTGCCCAGCCAGGGTTTGTCTTAATATTTTTTTATCTTATAAAATATCAGACTAATGTTAGGAGAATATAATTTGCATTGCTGGAATCCTTGCAAGACAATAAATTGAATAAAACGTCATCTGTTTTGCACATTACCGTAGATGATTAAGAGTTCTAGTGTATATGTAAGTGTGTGTATATAGTGATTTAGGGGATTTTTAGGGGTGTTTCTGACTTATTGCATTTTTTGGCTTTACTTTGTATATACTTTTTCTGAGTTGGAACCAATTACCAAATATCCCATTGGAATAGTAGATTCAGTTACCGAAATTTTTGGTTAACAAATGACTGGAACCAATTGTGCTCGTTAATCGAGGGACTACTGTTTTATAGTTTGGTAAATAACCTTATACTGTAAGAGGTGGCTGGGCCAGTGAATCGGTGACGTAGTTATAGCCAAGGCCTTAGTTTTAGTCCACTGCCTCCACACACATTGTTCCCATACAAATCCATGCTCTTCATTTTTCTTATTTATAGTTTTATATATTTTTATTTCTAAGCCACATTTATCTGAAGTAATTGTTAAAGTTCGTTTTTCTGAGACACGAATTTGCATTGTAGGATTTATTGGGGAGTCCCAAGAGTGAGTTTCAACTAATCGAAGAAAGTTTATCCAGCACTTCAATCCCCGTAGATGCTGGATAACTGGGGTTCTACTATAATTTGTTTATTGAATACATTTTTACTTTAGTTTCTTGGTGTTCAGTCCTTCTAGGTTAATAATTAATGAATGTGACTTTGTCTTGTAATTACCAACTTCTTGATCAGATTGTCAACCATCACCTCTTGCGAGACCTGACTGAGCTTGGACTGTGGGACGACAACACCAAGAATGAGATAATTTCCCATAATGGTTCTGTCCAGGTAAGTTTATATAATATCTAGAACTGTTATGCTGATAGAATGGTTGTGGGAAGAAGTTGTAATATATGTTGGATGCCCTGGAGTTGATTTGTCTTTGCTTATAGTTTATCTTATATCTGTGGTATCTTTAGTTTCTGATCTTGGCTTATTATTTCAGAACATTGCGAAAATTCCAGATGATCTAAAGGCTTTGTATAAGACAGTGTGGGAGATTTCACAGAAGGTCGTTATTCAGATGGCAGCAGATCGTGGGGCCTTCATCGACCAGAGTCAGTCACTCAACATACATATTGCAGAACCTAATTATGGCAAGCTGTCCTCCATGCACTTTTATGCTTGGAAAAGGGTAAGTGTTTTATTGTATTATAGGATAAACAAGTGAATATGTTGATTTTTCCTACAATTACAGCATTTTTCTTACTTGTGAGACACCCACCAGAATAATGCCAATGTTAATCTTGGAATATGAGGAACTACTGTGAAAGAAATTGTGCCTTTAGGTTATTCTATTGTAGTTAGATTTTGTTTAAAATAGCAATATACCGGTAAGTACTCCTGAGCTTGCTGATTCGGAATATGGTCTACAACCTGATTGCAGGGTAATTAGTGGCTGTAATGATGCTTGGAAGATTTTAGAAAAAATTTTTCTTGATCACTTGCCAACTATGGGTTTGGGGTGCCATTTATTTAATTTTTTTTTTATTCTGGAAGTATTTAATTAGTTAAAATGTATGACCCCACTCTGACTTGCCCAACCTTCGTTAATTCCCTGGTGACCCACTTGGGGGGGGTGTGTCTTGTGATGAAACCCCATTTTTCCCATAAGGTAGTTGAATTGTTCATGTATGTGCTTATCATGGCAATTTTCTAGTCTAACACCCGCAAATGTTGAGGATAGGTGATACATGAGGTGGTGTCTGACTGGCCAGAAACCTATCCCATTGAAGCCTATGCTATAAGACTCCTGATTTGTTGGGTTTCTCTGGAACCTAAACCCACTTGTAAATTGGGAGAACCTGTACAACATTGTTAAAAAAAGGCCTTTGTTATTCTTTTTTTTTTTTATTAGTTATATGTTTAATATTCTTGGGTGATTTCTAACGAATTTACTCAATCAACAGGGATTAAAGACTGGAATGTATTACCTCCGCACAAGGCCAGCTGCCAGTGCTATTCAGTTTACAGTTGATAAAACCAAGCTGAAATCAACTGCTGGTGCCACTACTAAGATCAATGAAACAACAAATGGAACTGTTAGTGGCATTGCTACCAATGTTTAATATTCTTGGGTGATTTCTAATGAATTTACTCAATCAACAGGGATTAAAGACTGGAATGTATTACCTCCGCACAAGGCCAGCTGCCAGTGCTATTCAGTTTACAGTTGATAAAACCAAGCTGAAATCAACTGCTGGTGCCACTACTAAGATCAATGAAACAACAAATGGAACTGTTATTGGCATTGCTACCAATGGTGAAGAGAAGAACATGGCTGCCATGGTGTGCTCGCTTGAGAACAAGGATGACTGCTTTATGTGTGGGTCATAAATTTGAACCTGCCAGAGAGTATATAAGGTGCAAGAATTTGTTTTTATTTTCTTTGCTTTAATTATGGATCTATATTTTCATGTACTATTTAAGTTCCTCATTATACAATCTGTGATTTATTTTTATTCTCTTGCATATTAACCCTTTTGTCGGCTATGTGTGTGGACCAAATCTCGCTCATAGACCGGCCAATGACACTGCAAAATTTATAGATTTATAGAGATGCAAATTGGGTCATCAGCCAGCTAAAGGGTTAATAATATATGTACATAAAAGGTCATATTTTCAATAGGATATCTGTGAACTGGCAACCTGTGGTTGAAAGTTGTGCTTCATATGTTTAATTCAATTATTATTTCTTTTTGTTCTCGTGCAAGGTAGCTGGAGTACAGCTGCTCCTCGACTTATGACGGGGTTAGGTCGTTCGTTAACCGAAACCATTCTTTCAATGGGATTTTGGATAATCTGTTTCAGCTCACTGAAAATTACATAAAAAGTAAAAATAAATGCATTTAAGTACACTTACTTTGAGGTGTGTATGTAGAAGGCTCCTGGTTGATAATGATGGGAATTAGAAGTGGGGGTGGAGGAGAAGGGAGAAGAGAAGGAAGTGGGGATGGAAGAGAAATCACCCTATGATTCATGCAGTCATTTCACCCATAAAATTTTAAGTTCACTTGGTGTAATTCAAGATTTTCTCTAAATCAACAGTGCACTGCACTATATACAGGTATTGTCAATATGTAAAATAAATTTCAGAATGACCAATAACGGTAATGTAAAAATGTAAAATTATTTATGTTCAAGAGTCTCAAGCAAGATATTACCTCTACTGACAGACACAAACTGGCGCCTGTTGGGTGCGCTAAAAACTAGTTTCATGTACTTCAATTATGTTCAGTAATTGTTAAAATGACTAAAAAAATTAATATAAAACTTGGAAAATATTGAATAGTACAACCTTAATATTTACTCAAATGGGAACGAATTTAAGTTCTAGAACCGCCGATTACTGTATTGGCGGACTACTATTCCAGCTGGTGAGCAAGCGAAAACATGTTAAGAATTTAACAAAATTGAAGATGGTTATGGAAGGTAATTTGTTAACCGAGGGATCACTGTATACGTACATTACATATACACTAGAACTCGTAAATCACTACAGGTGATTAATTTTTATGGCGTGCAAAATGACATTTATATTCAAATTATTCACTGTCTTGCAAAGATTCCAGCAATGCAAATTATATTCTAACTTTAGTCTGATATTATACAAGATAAAAACTAGCCTAAAACCACCAAACCCTGGCTGGACGGGAGGAGACAGTGACATGTTTGACAGTTGGTACCAAATGTCTAGTGAAGTGTTTGTCCTTTTAGATTTTTTTTTTTTTTTTGGCTTGTAAAATGTCATGGAAGTGACTGGGGCTTGCCTGCCATTTTAAAGGGTTTCACAAACGAAAATTTTGTCAGTGCAATCACTAACGTTGGGACTCAAAAATACTTAATTTATATTCTTTTGTACAACTGGGGTGGTCGAGTGTGTCGTAAGTTGAGGAGTAGCTGTAGTTATAATACTTAGTTTGTTCACTAGGTTTAGTGGTTATTTCATATTCTCTTGGTAAAGGCAATTGTAGTTTTATTCTATGCTGTATATTGCTTTTAGTATTTTAAGTTGTGCATTCACACATGTGCCTTATGAAATCAGCACAACACAACCGAGAGCTTACATATCACTGCCACTATTTGTATATAATCCTAGATCTATACAATTACGATTAAATTTTATGTTGAGTATCCTGTACTTTGTTTTAAAATTATTCATCCACATATGAACTAGTAATAAATTTCATTGATCATAATCAACTGAAAGTATTTAAAAGTTTTGCCAGATGACTTCTGCAATTGGGGGGGGGCAAAAGACGTCAAAACTACTTTATTGGTGTTTCAAGGGGAAAGTCTTGCTTCACACACACGTTTCCCAACCTTGAAAGTTTACTGGTTAATTTCTTCACTATATACAAACTTGGGAAGATCAGTCATTAAAACTCATTGGTCAATACAGGTACAGTATATAATTGTATATTCTTTATAATCTTGTGTTTGTATTACAAAGTATAAAAATTACCAATATTAACTTGTCAGATTAAAGGATAATAATCCTGAATAGGTTATCTGAAAGTGTATTAGTCCCTGTCTTATAGGCAGAAGCATTTAAATAAATGCGGGTTAATTACATTACTCTTATAACTATCACCCCCTGTAACTTAGATCTAGCTATGAGGCTCATGTTCAGAGCACGTGATAAGATGTGCCCACAGGAGTCGCGTTACTTAGTGCTGAGCTAAGGAATAAGTGACTGTCTCCTTGGACACTTACTGTGGGCAATAGTTTGATGCTACTCACGAGAGTAAGATGTTATTTAGACACATCATTGCTTTTGTCTTCCCTTGAGGGAGGACATAGGATATATTTCCGTTCTCCCTTGAGGGTCCCGACTCGAGATCACTGTCTCGCATCAATTGGGCTTGTTTAGCAGAGCTACTATAAGATAGCCTCTGTCCCTATGTAACACTCATAGCTATGGTGATAAATCTTTTTTTGGAAGTGTACATGGAAACCTTTATAATAAATGAAGAAAGAACATATTGGATTTCACTACAGAAAATCCAATAAACTTAACTATATTTTAGTAGGTAGTGGTAATAGGCAGCTACCAAACGGATGTTCTACTGCCTGGGGAAGATATTGGAAGCATACTGTGCTATCTATGGTAGATCCTGATGCCATATGGCATCACAAAAATTGTGACCGAGTCCCAGGTTGCTGATCTGACTTTCTGCCTCATTTACACACAATTGCAGGGGTCTCAATTGTTTCTCTTACTATTGACAACACAACATACATATATTGTTTCATTTTTTTTTTTTTTGTAAGTCTTTATGGTTCATTATTATTACACTTTCGCCCCCCAGGCCCAAAGATATTGTTACATACTTGGCAAAGCATAGCTTAAGAGGACCCAGTTTACAGTTAGTCAAGTGTACTCCAAGTAACTGTGACAATTTTGGTAACAAGTTATTCATCATACTGGAGAGAGAATCTGTTACTCATACTGTTTTATATATAAAGAAAATTAAGTAGTTAAATAAATATATACCTGTACTTTAAAAATTAAGATATTTTTGAGGTTGCGAGCAAATATACAGTATTTATGGCGAGCTTATTCACAACATGCACTTAGAAATTTGGTATAATATTTAATAAATTATCTACAAGATGTTCAAATAATAGATCCTTTAAATATTTTGACATATATAATGATGGGCTACTTCATTCTTTTGTCAATGAAATGAATTCTAATTAAGTTGGAACTTCAATTTTATTTTACCCAAATAATCTTTAATAGTTTATCTAAATGTTTTGTTAAAAAAATATACTGTATTGTACAATTGAGCGAGACATGAATGGTACACAAACCCCACTACACGTACAATACTGAAAACAAAAATGCACAAAATCAAATGTATACTTGCCAGCAGATGCTGTTATATGAGCTTGTGATGCCAGCAGTTAGAAAAGTCAAAAGATTGCAAATACACCTGAAAAGTTATAATAATTAAACATGCACAATTATATGAGGTGCTCCAGGTTAAAGTGCCAAATATATCAACTCACAAAATATCACTTGTCACAACACATTCATGAAGCCATTTCTCTGTCCAATCCACATGTGCTTGTTGGAGAGGGTGTGGATCAAAATATATTTGGTGAGAAGTTGCACTGGGAATGCATCCTCCCTATTTACATTAATTTTTATGGGGAAAATTTCCCGGATATTTGCAGTTTCAATATTCGCAATGACTTTCAGGAACGTATCCCTTACAATAACTTGGGTATTCGTGTACAGTATTTTTGTTTTTCAAGTGTTTGACTAGTGTTTCGACTGCTAGTGAATTATTGAGAAGAACTGGTACTGTTGATTAACAAAAGACTAGCTACAGGTTGTACCTCTAGTCCGGCATTCTGTGGTCCAGAACGATTTTAGTTTGCCCATGGAGAAAATTAATTTGAATCTGGTACTTTTGATGTTTGGCTAAATTTTGCCTTATTTACCCTACTTTTTTGGTGAATTACTACCTCTAATAAAGCAACAACCTAATAAACCAACGAAAATAACCGATAGTTAAATAAAAACACACAGGAAAAGTTTTTATGTTCTACAGCTTCAGCTAGAGTTGAACTTGACGACTTTGCAACTTCGTCATCTGAGTAAAAACACACACAACAACATTGGCTGTCCTTATGTTTTCAACTTTACCACCACTGGTGGGTAGAATTTGTTTTAAATTCAGAAACATGAATTAAAATATATATATGAACAGTAAATAAGTTTTGCATTCATATTCTTATGTAGAGTGATGACGATATGTTTTCACGTGCTCACTTACATACGCTCAGTCTCACTTTTTTCTTTACCATTAATGGTTAGCTACTTTTATTGTTCCATTAATAACATTACTTATAACAACCATATTAATTTTACTACAGCTACAACCAGGGTCTTATTTTCTTCAGTTTTATATGTAGAACAGGTCAGTCGCTGGTTTTGTAAACAACGAAAACAATGCCGTCTCGTCTCCGCGTGTTTTAATATTCTACGTATTATTAATGAATTGTATTGTTCATTTTGCACACAAAAATTAATTCAATCAAAAAGACATTCAGTAATTAACAATAATGAGTCTTTTGTACATAAGAGAAATGACACTGTTTACACGATTTGTGGACATTGGCGGGCCGCTCAAACCGGTCGAAATTTTAAATTGTGTAGTGTGGATTTTTTTGTGTCCAAATAAAAAAAAACGTTGAATTAAAAACTCAAAATTTGAGAACCTACTGTACAACAAAGCAGTGAAAGTGGTGCTAGGGCTTCCAAGTGTTAGCCCAAGTCACTATCTATCCAGGAAAAGGGTGAATTTCCATGGTCCGGCACCGGTCTAATTAAATATATAATTCATGAGAGTATATACAGTACATTATGGAATAATAATATTACATTTTCGCCCCGGCCCTGATGTGGGTTAGTGACCTGTGCCCAGGTGGGCTAATCCCCGCAAAAAAATAAGTAAAAAGTTGTATGTTAAATAATTCTAAAAAATAAATAATTCACCTTCCTTGATAAAACATCAGGTCATTGGTTAAGAAGATGACTACAGTATTGGTCACTGGTGTAATACAGACATGACTAGTATGCTTATCAAGAGCTCAAACTATCATCTAAAACTTATCATGATGAGCTAAAACTTTTGGTGTATTAAATATGTAACTTTCACATCACATTTACAAGTGTCAAGTGCACTGAATTTATTTCAGATTTTAATATTTATATTATTGTCGCCCGACATTTATATTATTGCCGTCATACGACAAACTAATAAAGCAAAACCAAACGTTGACCATTAAAATATATCTGGACTTAATATATAGCATGCTGTAATAAGTTTTACAGCATTGTTGGAGTTATTTAACAAATGGTATTTAAGTACTGTAGATAGTTAATGCACATAGTACTGTTTAATACTACATATCTTGAGCTGTTGAAGTTTACGAAGTTAGTTAATGATCTCTTTCGTGGGGCGGCCGATACTCAAGTCCAAGATGCTCAAAGATGGATTGTTCAGTGGGAGTCTCCAGGAGATGTCCATCAGTCAGCTTCTCCCGACCCTAAGATACAATTAAAATACTACAGTATACATATAAAACTTCTACCCCTTAACAGGCAGCTAAGTACAGTACTGTATTCCCTATTGTGTCCTCACATGTGGGAAAATGGGCTGCAAGGAATCAGAAATATCCACTGGTGATGGCTGCTGTTTGATGGTTAATAGGAATACAAAGTGAATCTTATTCAATTTCTGTCCTCCTTAAGTCACATGTTACAATGTTTGGGATCAAGTAGACCTTCACACAGTACAGAGTTAAAGCCTCTCACAGTTCGCTCTCTGTTGTGTTGACAATCTTCTGTTATCCCATTTTACAGCATAACTCATTATTACAGTACTGGAAGTTTCATTGTATAATATTTCTGGTAGCCATACCTGTCTCACGATCCCTGCACGAAGGCCATGTTCAGAGAGACTCATCCCCATCTTGATTGCCAGAAGCCTCATTGACCTGTAAAACCATTTCTTTCCTGACATAATGTTACAACAAAATGCTATACATAAGAATGATATATTAAATTACCGGCCACCTGCATAAACAGAATTAAAATAACACTGGAGTGAACATAATGTAAACTCAATATACGTAAGTTAATAAAAAACCCAACCTATTAAAATGTGCAGATCCTGTGAAGTACATGGTGGCTGGAGCAAACTCTGCATATGGCACTATGATAACATCCAGACGTCTGTGCTGGTGAAGAAAAAACAAATATTATTGCCCAATACTTTAATAATGATTGCCCCTCGTGTAATGAGGATGGCATTAATTTGTTTAAGGTGTAAAAACTGTCGCCAACACAACAACCTAAGTTAACGAGCTGCATGACCCAGTGTCAAGGAATAGTCTGAGAAGACCGAACAACTCGCTAACCATTACCCCGGAATACGATCCGCAAATCGATTAACATCCAAGTTCCCAATTACTGCTGGGTAGACAGGCAAATGGCATAAAGAAACTTGCCCAAAGTTTCAGCCTACCCGGGTCCATTCGTTTGCAAGGCGAGCATGCTGACCATTACACCACAGGTTGCCTTTACTCCCCCCTCCAGTGTCTGTCTCCCAGTTTCCTACATTTTTAGCTAATCCAAAACTTATTTAATGTTGTCTTATTATCAGCCTCTAAAACTGTGTGAAGATTGATGCAAAAACATCCTGAGGCTTCTGAATCAATGAGAAGTTAAGGAAAATTGAAAAAAGAATGAGTATATAAATAGCACTTTAAATACTTTGTTTACTCTCATCTGACAACAAAACCAAACTTCCACAGAAAGCCTTGAAATAATTACCTTTCGACCTTCCCCCGGTAACCTGCACACACCAAGATACTTTAGTTGGTTTCCATTGTCTTCCTGAGTTACAAGGTCATCAGTTATAAACCCTGAAATATAAATCAATATTACTAATTACTGAAGAAGTGAATCTTATGACCAAAGACAATAAAAGAAAACCAATTTTCAGTACAGTAAGTGCACAGTTTGCATGAGCTGTGTTCAAGTGAATTACTAATAACACATACAGTACAGTACTTTGTGTGAAGCTACATCATGAAACACTTTATACAAGACAAAGTACTAACATAATACCTTAGTATAACAGGTTATGTCACAAGACCCTGTACAGTACAATAGGGGGAAAATTTGCTTTCTGAGCATCACTCTCAGCCAGTGGTTAGCCAATGGTCATTGTCACTATTGAACTGTATATATTAATACTGTACATTGGAAGATAAATTAAGATGACTGGGTAGGGAAGCAGTCTAGTCCTGGGCATCTAACCTTCAGGTGATCTGGTACCTATCCTCAGGGGACACAGACTTTGACCCCAGGGATGTAAACAAATGATAAACCCGGGCTATAAAACAACAATATTTCAACAGGTACAGTACTACATATATCTAGGTGCACTTAATATAAATTATACTACAATAAACAATCAATAGATGATGAAATGTCTTACTTATTATTAACTTCTTGGTGCAGTTTACCTGTTTCTTTGAGGCAGCTGAGAAGAGGCTTAAATAGGTGTTGGTGTGAGTGCCCGTCTGGGTGTGTGATAAGAACATCTACGTCTCCACAGTTGAGTTTGCCACGACGATATGACCCACACACCATAACAATCAGACCTTTCTTGAGGCTTAGAGCAGCGTACCGAACCTACAGCCACAAGTAAAGGATAAGAGATATTTTCTGTGCACCATTACTAACAGTACAGTACTACACTATATACAGTATAGATAAAAAACAAAGAATACTAACTACAATACTGCATTAAGAGCAACAAGATTGGCCGTCAATAGCTGATGGCAGTTCTCCTTGATGACTAGATGGTCCTCTACAGTATAAATGAAACATCTATTTCCATTCATTACAACAAAAATATCAATTATAAGGTTACCAAGTTAATTACCAAGCACACAGTCTTGCCACACACACTGGTTCACCAAGATGTCACAGAGAACAATACAACAACAATATGTTTTGTAATCATTGTAAGACGGTTAAAGTATGAGTAATTATTGACACAAAGTGAATCAGATGACTTCAACATGCTTCCTGATGGTGATCTGCCCCGGGATTTCCGCCCAACGGTCTTGTCAGGAATTACACAAGTCATCTCAGCCAGGCCTCAGGTAACAACACTTACGTAGTCTTCAATTTCAGCCACTTCCTCTCGAGGTATACGAGTGTTGATGTCATCATAGTGTTTGAGGCCAATCTGCTGGTGGCGGGTAAGTGTGGCCTTAAGTTGTAAGTCTTGTAGAGTCCTGAACCCCTGTTTAATAAAGTATTTGTCAGTTTATTAATACAGTGCAGTATGTCCATCGTACTATACCTACTACAAGAACGTTAATGAAAAAAAATAGGCACAGGTAAAATCAAACCAATCCAAGGTATAGTATTACACAAAGATGAAGGTTTAATTAGGAAGGAAAACACAGTTGTGTTCCTCCCTCAGAAAAGTATGTAACAAGAGGTTCATTTCCACTGTGGCCTTGGGAGGTGTTAAGCAAGTAATATTCACTTTTTCACACAGGTAGAAATAATTGATCAATATTTTATTCGCGTTAAATCGTTTATACATGTATTTATACACAGTGGTACAGCAGGAATATGCTTATCGCTGACGACTGTGTCCTGGCTTCAATCCCAACCTGGCACAGATGTGAGAAAGCAGTGCAGCACTAATACACACTGATGAAAGTCAGTCCCCACTATAGAAACAGACTTTACATAACTAATAATTGAACAATCTGTTGATAAATACTATACTGTATAGCCTTTTCATGTTTAAATAAGCAGATTATGGTACATATGATGGTAAATGAAGGACATCATAAGGTTCACTGGGGATATTAACTACAGTAATGGATGGTTTGGTGGCATCTGAAACTTTTTATGATATTTTTCCAGAACAATATTTCATGTACAGTATTTGCTTATGGGTGATTTTGCATTTATACGAACCCCTCAGAGATGCAATCTATCACATCACACATGCAGTCTACGTCCTAACAAATCCCACCAGCAAAAGACCTCGTGATGTGTGTGACAAAACACAAAGACTACTGTATAGAGTAGAGTGAAGCCACTGTAGGACAGCATGATGGACAAGTTGTGCTGCATAGGTGTACTCTGAGTGTTGTGCAACCATCATCCTGCCTGGACCAGTAACACTCTTATCAGTTCTCATAAGATGGATTCATTTTCAGTCGTAGATTATAACCTAAATAAGAGGATGACTCTCTATCGTACAGCACTGTCCTCTAGTGAGCATGAACAGAACAAATGTCTTGGAATGTAAACCAATAGTAAGGATATAGTGAAATAGCAACTGACCTGTGTGTACCAACTCTGGGCTGTGGTGGGTCCAGCTCCCCACACACCGGTGAAGAGCTTTAAGGTGTTGGCTTCTTCCCCCTCGCACACCTCCGACACTTTCCTCAGCTTCCCACTCTCGACAATCTCAGCCACCTTGTCAGCTAGACGCTCTCCCACCCCGGGGATACTGAGAGCTTCCTGAAACATATAAATATTTCACTGCACCACAATGCTTCCTGAAACAATAAATCTGAGTACAGAAATCCCTAAACCAATAATCATTACGGTGATTCCTGAAAAAATGATCGAGTTCTGAAGTTGTATTTTTATAATGGGTTGGCAGATGCATGTGACCTGCAACACAACACCCACCACTAAACACTCTGCCTGCACCTTCACTACAATATGTTGGTTTAACACTGTCTTAGCTGCATCAACCAAAAACAAAACCAAAAAGCTTGTACACTATATGACATGGGAGAAGAGGGGGGGCATCTAACAGACCCTCAACAATGAACTTTTATCAATATACAGGTAGTTCATTAGATGGAGGTTTCATATCTAATTAGATGGAGGTTTCATATCTAATGAACCCTTGATATAACACTTTCTTCTCCATATAGTCCGTCAAAAAGAGGTTTCACTGCTTTTATTGCTGTATTATCAACAAACTTAGTAAACCTAAACCAAGATTGTAAACAAATAAAAGACAAAAGCGTACAAACAAACAGTACAGGATAGTAGTAGATAATCTCTCTTTCATTATATACTTCTCTTGACGTTATCTCCCTGGGGTGGTGACGGATGGCAGATATGGCCTTCTGGTACCCAAGTGCTCTCCATGTGTCCTTCTTGCTCTTGTACGCTGCTGCCAACTTGTCTAGCTCGGCCGTGATGTGATGGTTCATATCTCTCACCTTACTGCTTGATGGTCGAGCACAGGCAAATTTGTCCTGAAATTCGAAGTTTATATTAGAAGATACATAAATAAATAGATAGGTAGATAGATGGTTTTACACACAAACAGACAGACAGATAGATACATATTTATTCAATATAATCATCATACAAATTTATATTGACTCAACATATTATATATAGAAAATATAGCTATATAGACTGTGCAAGGTATACTAACAATGGTAACCAGTGAGGCAATATGACGACATACTGTACAGGTTTTTGTGGTAAGTTGGTGTTTGAAGGGCATAGAGAAGCCACCAGAGGTACAGGTATAGGTCTCCTAGATTACAGTAGCTACAGGCAATGGCCATTCAAGGTGGTGTTACCGCCTGACCATGTGTAATACTGTCTAAGTCACTGGACACTTGTAGGGTACAGTGTCTCGGCAAAATGTGTACACGCTGCCATACTGATTACCATAGAGATCACATGAAAGGTTGGTTAAATAATATGAAGAAAAAAACTATATCAGGGAAAATGGATTATGCCTGAAGCTCCACCCTCAGTCTATTTCACCTCACAATTAACCACTCTTATGCTACCTGGGGGAGGTTAGGTTGTTTGGTTAGGTTAGCATTAGGGTGGTTAATCTTCACGCGAAATAATCTGTCAGGGGGAATCATAATGTGATCTGGTAAAAGTATATGGATAAACATGTTAATTACCTTTAGAGCCTTTGGAAATGGTTTTACCAAAGATACAACAGTTTCTTGGGATGCATCATGTTCTGTTTGGATTTCATTTAGCGCCTCTAACCTGTTAATTATTCTATTTTCTTCCTCGGTCTTCACTTCCCCTGAGTGTAAGAGTGTCTTCTGTTCCTCATTAAAACATTGTTGAGTCAGCTGAGAGTCACATGGGACAATAATATTATTCTCTATTTCCTTGACACTTGCAGAATGTGGAGAAAAATTATCTGGTGAGAATTCCTTTGTTGAAATGTCTGTTGTATGAATTTTGGTGATGGGGTTTTCCTGTTCCCCTAACTGAGTCACCAAGAGTCCATCCTTGTTGCTTGGGTGGTGGTGCTCAGGTGATGGCTGCTTTGCTTCACCCTCACTAACACTGTATTCTTTGTTCTTATGTTTATCAGTTGGATCCACAACCGATATAATTTCATGATCTTTGCTGTCAACTTTCGTTTTCTTCTTCACACACTCCACCAGCCAAGTACACCGAACAAAACGCGTGTTACAATACGCGGACGGGTTAAAAAACTGCTTCAGCTTTACAACATCTACTGATTCTTCAAATATAATATATGAAATGGTCTCAGAAGACAATGGCAGTGTTTGAATCATATTACCTCCATAATTTTGTACTTGACTTTGAAAAATGTTCAGTCGTTTTCTACCAAAGTTTGCTGGATGAATGTGACAAGTTACTCCTGAGAGAAAGTCATGACCAGGACCGCCGCTGGTCGTGTCATCACCGGGAATAACTTTACCTTTCTTCTTTGACATCAGTGACTGATTGAGCTTTCGTTTCATACTTTAACTTATTTTTTTTTACTTTTATCCTCTTCACCACTGATCGGCTCTTTAGCCGCTTGGGCGATCGGTCACGTCTCCGTTACGCACTGTTGGCAAGTGCTGGGCATGCACCGGCTCCTGAATGTACCTGAACCCGCTCCAGTGTTGGTCAAGTCTGGTCTTGAAAGAGCTCACACTCGGTGTTGTCACAACACTCTCTGGTAGATTGTTCCAAGAGTTCACAACTCTCACTCCGAAAAAGTTTGCCCTCACAGTTTTCTGGACCTGCGGCTTCTTCAATCTTGAGCTGTGACCCCTTGTGGGGCGAGCATCAGTTTGTTCTCCATTTGTTAAGGTTACAATAACATATAGTTACAGGTAAAGATGTAGTTAATTTTTTCATCTCAAATATCAAATGCAACTTGGATTAATGTCTTAGATTTTCATAAGAGCAAATAAAACAGCATACCACACATTGGCTGTCACTTCAAGCTTGGCCATGAACCACTATTACTGGACCAACGTTTCACTTCCAGGGCTATGGGTGAGTCAAGCAGTTACCTCTATACCCGTAGGATGTAGTGAGGGAGGGAATGAGAGTCGTGCCGTCACACAATTCACATAGTACAGCCAGACTCAGGGTCATGTACTCCCGAGGTCACCTTGTACTTCACTAATATTGTTCACGGTGTACTGACTGTCGACGTTATTTGTCTTCACTTTGTGGTAAGGTCTCACACATGAACAACATTGGGTGCACTGTGAGCCTCGGCCGCCTTCACCACGTCAGTTGCTGTCATGGTGATCAAACACATTATTATTTTGCTGCAACATTGACAAAACATAAAAAGTAATTAAACTATTATGTAATATTATATACATGATTTGATTATTTCCTTTAAAAACCTGGTTGATTATTAGTGGTGGTTGATTTCTTTTCAATAAGACTAATGAAAGGTAATACCGTAATATTAAATTATGAGTCGAATTCGGTAACATTAAACTAACGAGTCGATTAGTGGCGAAGAGAATAAAATTAAAAGTAAATGAGTCTGCTTATTATAACTACATACTACTGTAGGGGAGGAATCCACTCTATTACAAATGTCTCAACAACTCAACATAAGAAGTGTGTAAACTGTGGTGGATCTTCACTCCTTCCACTGATAGGGTGAAACAAATACGGAAACGAAGAATACTGTGAATAATTATGCTGTTGTACACAATCTCTCAGCGCTGTATTGCTATATTTATTATTTCACACCTAGGTCCTTCTCACATTGTCTCAAATAGTGTAGTTTCTTCATCCTGTTGGGACATATGATACGCCTCCTTACCACCGGCTCCTTGACAAAACCCTACGGAAACCCCAACCAGGTTGTCATTTGTCAACACTAACCTAAACATAAGTGTTTTATTTTATATTTTATATATGAGACGGGTTTTGTCCGTTGTGGTTTTGTCCGGTCACCTAAGTCCCAGGTGCATCCTCTTCGTAACATTGAATCTCAGCAGCCATTTCTTGGAGCTCACAGAGAGCCTTCTGCAGTTCTTCACAGTCTGTTTGGTTCTTTATTTCCCGAAATAACTTGGCATTATCCGCAAACATTTGTTTGGAGGAGTGTACAACTGTGGTACAAGGAACTCCAGAGACAACTATCTTGTGATTTATAATAATTTTGATATGGATATGTATTTTTGTAAGCCCCGAAGAGGAAAACATAAATATATTTTGTGGATTCGAAATGGAATTTGCGCCACAGCGAATGCATCCCAGCCTGGGGTGAAGAGACACTACGGTTTTGTTTACGAAGTAGCATCGGGTCCTACTAGTTACCCAAATGTAGCCAAATATAGCCGGAATGAAGTCAAATAATGGTCCTAGATGAATAAATCGGACTGCCAATCACTTCTCAACTAGTATTTGGTGTCAGAAAGTCACAAAAAATTGGAAAACTTACTTTAATCGAGTTAATAGATCGCGTGCATGTACCGAGGGAGCGAGGAATTACCCAAATGTAGCCGCAATGAAGACAAATGATGGTCGTAGATGAATAAATCGGACTGCCAATCACTTCTCGACTAGTATTTGGTGTCAGAAAGTCACAAAAAATTGGTAAACTTGATTTAATCTGAGTTAATAGATCGAGTGCATGTACCTAACCTAACCTCAACTAGTATTTGGTGTCACGAAGTCACAAAAAATTGGTAAACTTAATTTAATCTGAGTTAATAGATCATGTGCATGTACCTAACCTAATCTAATCTAATCTAATCTAATCTAGCCTAACCTAACCTAACCTAATACAACACAACTCAGATTAAATTAAGTTTACCAATTTTTTTTTTACTTTATGACACCAAATAATAATCGAGAAGTGATTCACAGCCCGAATTACGCTTGTACGACCATCATTTGACTTAATTGCGGCTACATTTGGGTAATTCCTCGCTCCGTCGGTACATGCACGCGATCTATTAACTCAGATTAAAGTAAGTTTTCCAATTTTTTGTGACTTTGTGACACCAAATACTAGTCGAGAAGTGATTAGCAGTCCGATTTATTCATGTAGGACCATTATTTGACTTCATTGCGGCTACATTTGGGTAATTAGTCGGACCGGTCGCATCAGCTGGGCCCAGTAACAGGTGTGTCCCACGTATTTATTGCTCTGTTAGGGTGTGTTGATAGATTGAGCATAATAAGTGTTATATGAAGAATGTGATAAACTCGTGGAGGTAGTTTGTAAGACAGAATGATGCTTATACTAGCTTTGCTCTACAGACATTCACCCTGGAGTGAGTCGACACCAACAGCCACCTCCCTGTGTTATGCTGGTGGGTTGGGTTTATTATGTACTGTTTAGTTCCTACTGTGTGGTACCAATATGTGAATATGACAACAGTTGATGCTTGTTTTGTATTTACAATATATAATGACAGTTGATGCTTGTTTTGTAAGTACAATGTATAATACCTGGTTATGTCTGATCTAGGCCCCAGCCTTTCCTTCCTCGGGTGATTTCTAGAGTAAATAAAGTTGAGAAAACTACAAGTGCGTGTCATATCCCTGCAATGGGAGTATCCCTGCTTTGTTCTTGCTACACAACATCAGGCATGTCATTTATGAAACAAACAAACAACAGCAGGCCCAATACACTGCCCTATGGTACCCCACTTGTGACAGGTACAGGTGATGATTTCTTGCCATTAATCACCACACACTGCTTGCGGTCATGTAGAGTCTTTTATCCACGCTAGGACATTTCCCCGAATTCCGTACCCATCCAGATTGATTTTCACCATTTCATGGGGTACACTGTCGAAAGCCTTGGCAAAATCTAGGTATATATTGTCGATACATGTACTGTATTACCAATGGAGCAGGTTCAGGTATAGTCAGGGCTAGTACATGCCCAGTACTGTACTTGCCAACAGTGCATAACACGTGACCAACCGCCCAAGCGGCTAACGAGCCGATCAGTGGTGAAGAGGATAAAAGTTGAAAAAAAGAAGTATGAAGAAGCAACTCTGGAGGCTGATTAAACTTGTCATCACTTTAAAACCTGTAGATACTGTATTATACTAAACTAACCCTCTCGTGGTCTTTTGACACAAATTGCGTCGCTAAGCGCTCCCGTGGTGGCACAACCCCTCCCGCTCAGCAGTATCTCACACTGAGACCACTCCTCCCGTAAACAGAAACACAGGAATAGTGGACCAACGTTATCAACCATCTAAGTTCCTCTCACTAGCCTCTTGGGCTGGCAGATGAATCTCTATGGGTGCAATTTGGGTCTGGATTGCTCTACTCAGTGTTTACTAAAATAGAAGAACCATTCCTGTTACCAAAGACTGCGAGGGGGGCAAGATTTCTGACCATGACCAAGAGTACCAGAGGGGTAATACTGTACACCCATACATGGTAGAGTGAAACAGTGAAAGAATTTCAAAGGTAAAAAATATTGCTGTTTCATATTTTAAACATTGTGTATATTATGAAAGTCTTCTTACATACAAAGTTATTTGAACATGTTTGAGTAGAAAATATGAGCTATTTATGAGAAAGATGAATCTCTTCAAGTGATAATTGTTTGTTGATCTGAAGATGTTTGTCTAATAATGATATTCTTAACTTTTCCTTGATGCATTATGATTATGTATAACATAATATATATCTAAATCTATTTCACAAAGAAATGTACAGTAGTATAGTGGCGATAACCCACCACAAGATGTAAAGAATAAATAATATTCTAGTTTTACACAGTGAAACCTCTATTTAATGGACTATACAGGAGACAGAAGTTCATTATATCGAGGGTTCGTTAGATGTAAAAAATATATCTAACAGATTACAATATATGGAGACCAGTCCTTTATATGGAGGTTCCACTGTAGCCACTACTGTACAAAACACAAATTTTCTTGATTGCACTACACAACTGTTAACTTTCATTAAAAGCTCTATTATAAATACAATTTCCAATGCTAAGAAATTATCAAAACTTTACATAAAATGCCCGACTTTTTCTCTATCTGATAAAACTCATAAAATTATTTTATGCAAACCAGCTGTGTGAGCACACCAGCACAGTCAACATATAAATCTCTAATCATTAACATATCACAACCTTATGTTATTTTTTATAAAATGTGACCTTCCTTACAGACTATAACTTACTATTTACTGTTATGAGAGATACTTAAGCTTTAGTGAGATTCATAAACAAAACTTAAGACAGTAATGTTATACTTACCTACCTTAAGTACTGTGACAACAATTCTCCTCACCGTACAGTTTAATTTTCCCACAAGTCATCCGTCTTCCTCCCTTATAACACCAAGATGATGTAAACTCTAGTCTCCATTCACTCTCTTGTTGGCCGTAACTTCCCTTAATTACTGTACTGTATACTTAAACTCAGTCACTTCACTTATATACAAATTGCTCAACCATTTACTGCCACACATTTCTATCTAATCTAATTATTTCATCTTTAAAGTTGCCAAATATTCCCTTTATATTATATATTTGATTATGTATTAATTTCTTACTTCATTCGTTCTCAACATTCACTCCTTGGAAGATCAGTCTTAACTGTCTACAAATATTCCAGGTACAGTAATATTAAAGAACAAATATTCTTAATTTACAGCAATAAGTGTTGCACCAACACTGAATTCCCTCACAGAGTATCAACAATTTGACCCCATCTCTGGCTCCACTCCAACACATCTACAGTACTGAAAAATTTCCTGAATAAGTTTATGCACCCAATTTAATATCACCTGTGCTGTAAATATACTGAATATATGAATTTCTTTCAATAAATAGAAAATACCAACACGAAAATACAGTACAGGACTGATTCTGACATGCATTGTATGACCGAGGTTGGACTGTGACATCTCATCTGGTTTCTAGTAAGGACAGTGTGTACAGGTATAAAATTATTACTGTACTCTAAGTACTTCATTTATTATGTTTATGATTGGCTGAAAATCATTGTGTACACCAAAAATTATAATTAAAAATAAGTTTTGTAGCATTTTACACATTTTGGGATTTTGTTTGTTTGTAGGAACATATCTCAGATTTTATAAAGGGAGTCTATGGGAAAATGTGATCCAATTTATGATAGGTTTTCAGGAACAGAACCCTTTCATAAATTGGTGAATCCTGTAGAGGCATCCACCCCTACAGAAACCTTGTATGGGCATCTACCCATGCAGAAGCTCTCTATAGGGAAGGTAAAGTAAGATAGGGAGCTAGCCAGTACTAAATCTTCCACTAGGTTAACTAATTCATAAAAATGGTTCTTCAATTGAGTGGCATCAACACCCCTAGACTAGTGTAGCCATGAATGACAAGGGTTGGTACACTACAACTCTAGGTAACACTCACCTGTTATGGCTGACCTTGAAGTGATGAAAAGAATACACAATGCTAATGTGGCACCTGGTTTGCCTCCTAGTCATCAATGGCACCTTTCTTTTGGGGGAAATGGTTGGAGTAGAGATACTGTAGTTGTACTTACTATAAACTCAGTTGACACTGTCTCAAAGTTCCCTGGGTACTGACTGACCTCAACACCTGATTGAGTACAGAGAGTAAAAATATGAACACAATATAATTTTTCAACGTTTCCTAGAGAACACTCATTCCTGGTCACCAAGAAGCTATGGTTATTGCACAAAATGTTAAGGTTATGAATATATTTAACTTCTATCATGCCATCTTGGTCATTCATGTTTCTTAACATACAGTAATTCTATTTACATATGTGACCCATAGTTATTACATTATATAATCTACATCACCGGTTTTGTTATCTCTAAATGTTTTGTTACATTCAAATCTATTATTCTAAGTCATTTAATATTACTGTACATAATTTACACTGGGTTCTGTCCTAACCTAAAACACATAAAAGACATGTTTTGATTTTACACTACAGTTTTTTGTCTTAAAATATTCCAAAGTGTTGGAATTTCTTCCACAAACAATGTAATCTCACTGTTTGAAGAATGTTATTGCTTATAGAGCACTTTAAAATAAATAAACATAAATATGCAAGGGAATACACTATAGTATATCAACCAATTCCTTTCCAGATGATAAAAGATTAATTTTACAACTTAGAGAAAATAAGCAGGAAGTAGAGTAGTAATGTATAGTACAGGTTATAGGGTAAGGGCAGGTGGAGGAGGGGTATGCACTACCCAAACAGTTTAACCCCTTGCATACAGGTTCACCTCTGAGCTGAATAAAGTAAAAAGCAGTGTCCTCATAGTGATGGGGTTAAGGGCCGAAGGTACAACACTTGCCTCCATCTATCTCTGTGTTACAGTATTGGCACAAAGTTTCACATGGGTTGATTACAATGTACAGTGGTTCTGGGACATTTCAAATAAAACTGAAAACAAATTCTGTAAGACACTTTCATTTGCATTCATGTCTTTACAATTACCCGTATACTATACTAAACTATACTATACTATAGTATACTATAGTATAGTATAGTATGCTATACTACAGTATAGTATAGTATACTATACTATAGTATAGTATAGTAAAGACACTAGTTTGATACAGTGGCATGGTTTGTCATGTTTGTACTGGTAACACTGTAACCTTTAGGGGCGATCATTTTACAGTACTTAGTGTTGGACTTGTTGAGTGTATGATGAAAAGTAGGCAGGATGGTGATGGTCTAGTGCAGTACAGTACAGTGTAAATAAAGGGAAGATGGTGACAAGACCACAAGAGAGATAAGTAGATGGAAACCTTAACTGGGTTGCAACATTCCAGCAGTGTTGGTGGACTACAGGCAGACACTTATTATTACTGGTAGCTTCCCCCAAAAATGGTGAGTGATGTGATCAGTTTATGTATGGTAGTCTTCTAGGCTACAGTTTTAAGGGCTTGTCTACACAGCTGAGAGGGGCACAAAGCTATGAATCTTTTTAAAAACTCATGTTTTTTCAAAATACATAATACTGTAGTGTTCATGGACTATGTACTGTACTAAAACACATTCCATAATTTATCAATTATTTTATAATAAAACAGAGGAGTGGAAAAGGGAACGGAGCTGTGAGTCTCACTGATAAATTACCGTAGTGACATTAGAGTTAGGAACCTGCAAGAGATCATGCAGCTACCATCAGGTAATCACCGCTAACTTGTGCAAGTGTGGAAAATAGCCATAAAAACAATAATAACATTGAATAAAGGTGATTACTTCTGAAGCATCTACGCAATTAGAAAAGGTTGATTACTGTGATTAGTTTTACTCAACAGGAGATGAAAACCAATTAATTTAATGTAGCTTAATTTTTGGCGTGAATTGGATCATTCCATTCACTCGAGAGAATGTATGTGGTTAAGTTGACAGAAAGATGGGAAAACATTTGAACTCTGAATTTGCTATTACAGTACAGCAGTGCCAGATAGTGGACAACACACACAAGATAATATATGTAAAAGTTTGTGTAAATAGATCCTAAATAAGCCACTTTGCTACATAAGGAAAAATTTGTACAATTGAGTAACACAAGGTAAACATTCCTATGACACAAGGCATACTGCTGGATGTTACAGGTGCCTGTATGTGACACTATCAAGTGGCAGTCACTCAGTCTTCCAGAAAACTTGCAAGGAAGTCCCCTTGAAGACCATCTGTTACATGTCAATGATGAACAGTGAAGCAGATTCTACAAGACACTAAAAGTCATGTAAAAAAAAAAAACTTTAGGAAGATTACTTCATCTCGCCTTCAACAACCTATATTCTGCATAGACAGTTTTCAACTCAACAGAAAAAAAACTTTACCTTATTTACCTAATGGCCACCCACTTGAGATGGCCATGCCAAGGGAAGGAGGCCAGTGGCCTGTGTAGGATTCCTCCAATGTTCTTGATAATTTTGTCAAGGGCAATTTAAAGCACAGTACATTACATTATTATTCTTGGGCCGTACCATAGGTCCACCACCCTCTGTATGATAAAGTATTTCCTTATGTTCACTCAGCATGATAGCTTGGCAAGTTTATAGCTATTTCCTTTCATTTAGTGGTGCATGACATAACAAACAAATGGCCCAGGTTCAAAGTTTTCCATCCCTTTCAGGATTTTGAATGTTTCAGTGCAATTTGCCCTTTTGTCCCTTGTCTGAGGAGTTGTTAGTCCAAAGGCTCTCAGTCTAGATGGATAATCCAGGACAAACAGTAGCTCCAGAATCATCTTATTGGCTCTGTGCTGCACCTTTCTAGGGATGTTAGATTTTTCTGGAGGTATGGTTTCCATGCCTGTATACAGTAATCCAGACTGGAATGTACTTGAGATTTATAGAGTTGAAGGAGCATTTACCTATCTTTGTATTCAAAGGTACTCTTCATAATTCCCAAATCTCAATATGCTTTTTTCACTACTGCCCACACTTGTTGTGCCACCTACAGTGAATGATCTATCATAATGCCAAGATCTTTCTCCTTATTAACAGTATCCAGGAAAATGTTATCAAGAGAAGAGTTGTGATCAGGGTTGTTGTATCCTATGTTGGGTCTTGTATTTTGTAATATTAAAGACCATTTGCCAGTCTCGAGACCACCTGAACAGCTCATGCAAGACTTTCTGCATTGTTGCCACATCATCTCGACTTGCTACCTTCCCAAATATCTTCGTGTCGTCCGCAAATTTGATGTAGCTCGATACATTTTCATCTATGTCGTTTATGTAAATCACAAACAGGGTGGGTCCAAGGATAGAACCTTGTGGTACTCCACTAAGAACCTTTTTCCATTCAGAATGTACTCCATTTATTACCACTCTTTGTTGACTGTCTTTGAGCCAGTTGTTAATCCACATCAAAATCTTGTCAATGATGTCATGTGCCTGGATCTTATAGGTTAGTCGTGCATGTGAGACTGTCAAACACCTTGGAAAAATCCATGTCCAACACATCCATTGGTTATCAAGGGACACCTGCAGCGGGCCTATTGGCCCATACGGGGTAGTCCTATTTACACCCAACCCCAATACAGGAGTGCAAAAGTTGCAACAAAAGTACTGTATGTTGGCCAAGATGTTTAAATTTTTTACTCCTTAAATTTCTCCATTATGTACTGTATAAGAGATTCCTCAAAATAACAGTTTGTAAGGTACTGTACTGTACTATGTATTTAAGATCCAGTTTACTACTACACATAGTCTCACGTATTACAAGCAGGAATGACAGCCAGAGGCACGGCTTTGTAGTGTTAAATCCAACCTGCATAATTATAATGCAAAGAATGGATACAGCATTTGCCTCCTGTTCCAGGGGTCAGAGGTTCAAGAGCTACCAGTTCAGCCAGCTGTATATGAGAATCTCAGTTTACAACTTGGGCAAGTGAACGTGGTCGAGAGCAGTACTGGCCATGCTGCCTCCTTGTGTACAGTGTACTATATCCTCACTGTCCTCATTGGGCAGTCATACCTATGGGACCCACTTTCATTAGCATGAATTAGTCTTGTGTTCTGGTGCTAAAAAAAAAAAAAAATACTGATACAGATCAGATTCTACAAGAGATACTGTATATTAATGTTATGTGAAGAATTGAAAATAAAAAGTAAACTTTTACATGTGAGTGTGGACGACACTGCAAGATTCACATAGGATATCATGGTACTGTATATTGTAAACAAATAAAAAACAATAATTTTCAAGAAAAGGCACACCTTCACATGATGGAATGAAAGTATGAGTGTGATGCTTCATTAATCTCAGATATGGAATCTTAAAAACAAAATCTGAAAAAAAAACTTGTAAAAAAGAATTACAGTATGATGAGGCAGGCACCTTGAGATGAGCTGGAAAACATTCAAGCATACTGTACAGTGCAGTATATTATAAACAATGAAAGAAACCTTCACTTATTTAGCCTTCACTAGAGCAGGGAACAAGTATACAATAACAACATAGGGAACACATCTATACTCCAGACACTTTCAATGTGATGTAACATTTCGCTCAATAATGGTCTCTTGTGCAGGTATGAGTGTGCAACAGGAGCAGGCAACATTCTAGAGGCCTAGCATTGCACTGTGGAGTAGAACAGGTAGAGGTAGATATCTGCTTTGTATAAAATATCACATAATAAACCATTGAAGAATATATTTCTCACAGCATTAAATAAATTATGCCAGTGGATTAAATCAATTGAGTGTTGTACGAGGCCAATATGCACAACACACCTAACCTGTGTATTGTACTGTATACTAACCACATACTGTACTGCTATCGTTCATTACAGTTACAGCCTTGCAACACATGGGTGGATATTTACCATCAATGTTTAGTCATGTATAATTTCCCTCACTTACTATTTTTATCTTTCAAAATATATAATGTCTCTGTCTGAAGCTCTCATTCTTAAAACTCTAATTTTCACCTTCAATCAATCTATTTCACTTCTCTCAAAACCCTTCACAAACTTGTATTCATTCTCACTCTCTTAAATAATAAAAAATATTAATTATATCATAATTTTTTTAGCTGCAGTAGAAGCCTGAGCTCAGTTTAAAACTGTCTCTATGAATTGTAAACTAACATCTGAGATCAAATAGTTTCACTGTCACAATACACAGTAATATAAGTGTAGCACCTGGCTACCTTATTCTTCATAAAACCAGTTATTTGTACTATTAAATCAACAAGACATATACACATAGCCTATAAAATTACCCATCAACTGAAGAAAGTTGTACAACATGAAGGGTGAATCACTCGCTGGTCACTCTACTGTATTAGTGTTTCGTGTACAGTATTTTCAGTAAATTATTATTTTTTTATTTTCGCCACTAATCAGCTTACTAGTAGTACAGGAGGAAACCGAGGACCGGGAAACCTGTGATGTTTGGTAGTGAGGGTCACACTTCTCACGTGTGTCTGAGCCAAGTGGGTTCAAACCCTTGACATATTGGTGAATCATACGCACGTTACCACTGAACCACCAAGTGTTTCTCCCTCTCTTTTGTTTATCAATAACTGTTATATCAGCAAAACTGTGAGGCTACCAGTCAGTGAATCACCCTGTACAGTTCTACAGTATACTGTACTGTACTGTATTCTATCTAGTTTTTACAATTTTATTGCTGTTGTTGCTGTTGCTGTTGTTGTTGCTGTTGTTGTTGCTGCTGTTGCTGCTGCTGCTGTTGGTTGCGTTTAGCAAGAGCAGTCAACTTATGATGTAGCTGTATCTGTGTAAAACTACTCACATGCCCCGTCTTTTGTAGAGCCATCTGGAGCTGAAAAGATGAATGAACTACAGTATCTAAAATACAAATTATGCAAAATTATATTATGGTTTAAGCTTACCTTTGACAACCCAACCTTCCAGAACTTTTACCCATCATTACAACCCTTCTACTTGATTAAGAAATACTCTTGGACAATAAAGAGGGGGAGGGTGACTTGTCTCCTGGCTGAATACTTGGGCGTCCATCTGGCAGCTTGATGTATTAATCTATTTGATAACCCAACTCTCCCCACCCATCAGCCTCAAGTGAGGAATGAGTTCTTTTACAACCAAAGCTCATACACTCAACACACATCTTGACTCCAAGTTAATTTGCAATTTTTAATTCCAGTTCCAACTTATTAGTCATTAAAGTCAGGGAAGATGGAGGACAACTGAGCTAAAGGTCCAGCCAGAAGAGAGGATTTTAGGACATAATCCTCCAATAATAACATTGACACTTTAGCTCTTGTTATCAAAAGTCATCTAGACAAGAAGATGGTGGTACAACAGCTCCAGGGATCGGCCCTAGAGTTGACCCACTTACCATCTATAGTATAAAGATGAGGAAGATACAGCACGGTACTATACATTCCCTAACTTCTTCACAGGTGTTTGGTGTTGTAACTCAACAACCAGGAAAGAACATAAAGCACAGTACAGTAGAGGTATCTCTCAATTTACACACGTTTGGTTTATGCCAATTTTAGAATAATGCGTAAATCAAGAGGTTCCTGTACTGTCAATATCCAGAGGACAAATACTCAGCAGACAACATACTGCACTGTACTGTATATACAGAAGGCAAAACATAAATTTTACCTGTGATAATTGTGAGAACTTACCTGCTGCTTGGCTGTAAGTTGAGAAGTTGTTGTGTGTCCTGATGCCATGTTGGATTCACCACTTGATACAACAGTACCAGTTCCCTAAGGAGACATTATACTTACTGTAACACACCAAAACAAATACTTCAATGGCACTAAATACAATGACCTTTAAGTACAAATATTATGCAAACTTACAGAAATGAATGTCACTACAGATGTGATCGATCAGTACTATATGGACATTTTCCACACTTGTGCGGGTTAACCGTGATTACCTTGTGTCATGGCGTTGTGTTCCAGTTGATGAGCTTTTACAAAGTGAGAACTGAACTTTACAGTGTACAGTATATGTAAGACTTTCAAAAGCCTAATAATATCTAGTAACATATTTCTATACATTTCAGGTGCATCTGTGATTACTATATACAGGTATAATGGCACTTTTGGCTGGATACATATACCCTACAACCAAATGCAATAAATATAACCTAAATTCAATTTTTAATTCCTTACAATTGTCTCACTTTTACTACTCTTGTGTTGGATAATTAATCTATGTTCCTTTATTTCCTTATTACAGTAATTATGTGCTTCATGAAACTGTACATAAACAAAAATGAAATAATGTACCTGTCCTGTCTGCAGTGCTACTTGTACAGTCTGTTGTGACAGTGATCCACCAGTGCCCACCGCTCCACCACCACCACCTGTTGCTGCTGCTCCTCCTCGCACCGATGTAAACAGCTGTCCTCCCACACCCTGAACCTACAGTACGTTATCAAGCACTTAGTAACTCAACACGGCACTCTAACATGTATTAACTTACAGAGTTCAAGATTATCATGAAATAAACTTTCATACTAATCAAAGACAAGTAAAATGAAAACAATATTATTAAAACTACAGTAAATTATCATTCATCTTATACTTGTACCTTTACTTTAAGATCCATTAATTTTGCGCAATTAAATTGGATCTTTTTTCAGTTATGTGCAAGTCCGGAAATTAAATCTTTGACTACACCTTGACGGCCGCTCAGTACAGCACTGGTGCAGTGAATCATGGGGCATTATAGTGTAGTTAGAGGAAATCTTTCTCACACAATTGTTTAAGTATTATGTCTCCCTCACAAACCTGGTTAGAGTTATGAAAATTATATATTCCACAAGCCGAGGCCATACAGTATTTCATTTTTAAAACACTGTACTGTATACCCACCTTTTTTGTGTGTGAGTGCGTGTGTGAGAGGAAGTAATTTTTCTCATTACCGGTATAAATCCACTGTTGATAAGATAACCTCTTTTACTGGAATATAGGTGATTCATGTTTATCGAGAAATACACAAAACATAATATAAGAACTAATGAAAAAATTTTCCCTGACCTGCAGGACTGGAATAGATGAGGATGACCCGCCCTGCTGGCCTGTTGACTTGGCTAACTGTGCTGCCAGTTGTGGAGAGTTGAGCTGACCTGCAGGGCAAGATAATGTAATTCCTTTTAGCAGACATAAACCAAATGACTTGACAAAAAAGAAAAAAAAAGAAAAAAGAAAAAAAGAATTGTAATGGTAAAAAAACTTATCTTTACCATTATTGTATTACAAGGTATCAAAAACATGTACAATACACTCGTTCACTCTGAAATTCAGTGGACCCTCCGTAATATACTTCTGCAGTGAGTGTACAAAACTGGTCACTAAAGACACCATGAAACTATCCAGTACAGTACACAAATGTAACATCAGATCCCCCGTCCCAGTCTCATGTAAATCCTGAGAGAACTGGGACTCCATCTGGTCGAGTGTCATATAAAAATGTGTAACACCTGTCATCTGGAGCCACACAGCCCCTAACAGTGACCAGGAATGTGTGTGGTAAAGGTCAGACCTCATCTTGTGGATAGTCTAGTCTGTCAAAGTTATACAGGGTGTCCCAAAAGTCTCTCTCCGGTCTTAAATATTTATCACTAATAAACCAAAAGAGATATATTAATACAGTTTGCTGCTTCATATTCCTCAGTTAATAAGAGTTTTTTCTTTACTGGTGCAGTGGATTTGAGAGGAATTATCTTGGTGAAGAAGATAAGGAGTAACAATGGCGTCTAATCAAGAGAAGGTGCAATGTGTGGTCTGGTTTGTCGTCCGGCTCTAGTGCTTGGACTACCTGCACTTTATAAGCATGCAATTTCAGTGTTTTTTGGAGTACTCAGTGTATGGATGTCTTAGGTAGATGAAGCTCCACTGATGCAGCGTGAACAAACTTTCTAGGACTTCGTTGGAATGCTTTCCTGAACAGATTTAATGGACTCTTCAGACATCCTTGGGCGCCCACTTTGGGTCAAGTCACAAACGCTACCTGTTTCCAGAAACTTTTGAAACCATGCCCTAATGCTGGGTTTTGAGGGTGGCTCTTTACCATACCTCTGGCAGTATTGTCTTTGCACTGTTGTCACTGGTTTGCTCTCTGCAAACCAGACCACACATTGCACCTTCTCTTGATTAGACGCCATTGTTACTCCTTATCTCTTCACCAAGATAATTCCTCTCAAATCCACTGCACCAGTAAAGAAAAAACTCTTATTAACTGAGGAATATGAAGCAGCAAACTGTATTAATATATCTCTTTTGGTTTATTAGTGATAAATATTTAAGACTGGAGAGAGACTTTTGGGACACCCTGTAGTATATACAGTATACAACTCACTTATTGGGAGTTGAACGACTTGTCCCTGTTGTATCGTCGGCTGACTGGCTATCATCACCGTTGCTGCTGAAGTAACAGCTGTTGACCCCGACACCTTTGTTGCCACCTAAAGACGTAAATAATTCTTGACAATTTCTTATAACTTTCCCATCCTTGTGTCTATTTTACCATTCCTAAATTTTTTTTTATAACATCTGATTAGTTTAGTTTAGGTAAGCATATTTATAAGATCTTTAAGTAGTCACTAATTGGCTTCACCTGACATAAGACTAATTAACATCATTATCTTACACTTGCAGGTGGTGGTGAGGACAATATGACACCAGCCGAGCTGCTGACAGGTACATTAAGTGACAGTGATATGGGCACTGCTAGACCAGGTATGGTAACTTGCACATTCTGGAGGCCACCAAGGTTTGTTGTCAGACTCTGCAGGCCAGCCACATTCAGACCTGGCATACAGAACCATCAACAATTAGAATATAACAAATGTGTAAATGTTTTTTTTAATTCAGACAACTCAAAATTTATATTATCAATTTAACTACTATATACCACTCATGTTTACCTGGTAGATTAAGACTGGCAATGTTAACGTTAGGAGGAGGACCGCCTGTGCCACTATCACTGCGTAACACTGCCGCCGCCGCTGAACTCCCAACATTTGACTGACTGGACGAGACGTTCGTAACTCCTCCAACCTTCACTATGCCACCTCCATCTTGCTGCGTGTCATAGATCCCAATAGGGAATTATCAGTCATATTTATATCACTGGGAGTTATATGTATGAATGATGATCAACCGTGCTGGCCCATCACCATCTTAGCACTGTAAGGTAAACCTGATTCACTGTTTCAAGATGGACTGTGAGGAATCAGGATGACCATCTGGTGTTGCTGAGGGTCACACACTGTACTGACCTTATTAGCAGCAGCAGCAGCAGCGACAGCACTTGATGACTGGGCAGAAAGACGATCTAACAGGGACGGTCCACCTCTTTGGGGGGCCGGATTGTCTGCCGACGGTGTTCCTGATCCGTGGAGAACATATCTCACTTTAACGACGGATAAATATAACCAAAATAATTCATATCCATTATTGTACCATACTAGAGTACAATATTGAGTTAATATTACTGTACCATACTAGAGTACAGTAATGAGTTAATATTACTGTACCATACTAGAGTACAGTAATGAGTTAATATTACTGTACCATACTAGAGTACAGTAATGAGTTAATATTACTGTACTATACTAGAGTAATGAGTTAATATTACTGTACTATACTAGAGTACATTACCTGCCAATAACTGTTGTAAACCGGACACATTAAGAGATGAAGTCGATGAGTCATTAGCGGAAGACTTTGCATGAACGGAGTCGTTGACGCTACCAACAAGACTCACAACCTGAAATACACGAAAATAAGATAGAAGTCGTCCCTCAACACACTTGATCTATAGTACCGAGAAAATGTCTTCAGTTTGTAATATCATCAATGGTCCCGTACTTAATTAAAATGAACTTTTCAACAACTACAACTATGTAAATATCCAAAAAGAACATCAACTCTTGTTATGGGAAAGTCTGTCTCAAAAATGGTGTATTTTTTCTACTGTATGATTGAGGGAGACCAAAGACTAGCAGCTATTGCAAAATACAGTTCACTAAACCTGTAGACCTTCAGCTCAGACAGTCCTGGACTTGATGGCTGGGTAACTAACCTTATGATTAGTGCTGAACCACCCAAATGGTTAGTCAAATGATTGGTTAACCCTCTCTGAGACACCCTTCTCCCCACAAGAGAGAAAACATTGTTACCAAGGTTACCATTGAAAGCTGGACATCTACCATGGGAACACGAGGTCACCTGTAGTACTGTATATTTAACTCACCCAGCAATTGTTGGGCTCCACCATACTGAATCTGGTTCAATCTATCATCTTTTGTTTTGGTCAACCTCGAGCCACACAGGGAGGGTATCTGAACTGACTGGTTTTATGCTAAGCTTGACCTTGAAGCCAGTTTAACAAGGAACAAACTGCCTAATATGGGAGACACCACAAACTGCCAGCCAAAAAAAATGAGGAAGAGAAGGTTCCAAGGTGTACTAGACTGAAGGATCATACAACTCAGTTACAACAATGACCATTGTAAGAGCCAAGTTGAAGGTGGTCATGAGTTTGGGTCCCATAAACCTTTTCTTGAAGTCGCCTCCCAAGAGACAACATGCTGCCATGTACAGTACAGTGTCTGGTGAAGCATAGCTGAGTTACATTGTGTGGGATACTGTACTACACAACACTGAGTGGTACTGTAAGTGTCTGTTGTCTGTTAAAAGTTAAAGTATGACTTGAACAGTAAGGTGTGTGGCACATGATCCATCACACTTCCAGCCTTAACTTAACCTCAGCTGCTAATCTTCCTTCTTTAAGGTCAATGGTAAATGGGGAAGTAAATTAATCTCTGTATTAACCTCAGCTGCCTTAGTTTAGGGTTTCCTGGGACACTCCATCTTTGGTGATGCTTTATATACAGTACAGCCCACGAGTCTCACAAGAGGCAGCAAGTCCTAAGAGTGCCGTCAGTGTTAATGATACACAGCTCGGTTATACACCTCAAAGCCACACTTGTAGCTCACACATCTATTATGTTTCTACAGTATTGCTACTACTGTAAACATCTTAAAGTAAACTAAATATAAGAAGCATCAGCTCAGGCAACAATATGGAAAGACTCTTCAAAATCTCACACAAGAGAAAATGATGAGTGAAGTAAACACACCTGTGATCTGGGGGGTATGGTGACAGCTTGTGTGCTCGCTGGCACTGTGCCCTTCAGGAGTGCCGTCAGTGATGGCGACGAGATCTAGAGCCAATTAGGGTTTTTGACAAGTCTGTTACTTTGGTTTTAAATTTTGGGAATAATAACTTACAGTGTACAGTAACACTAATTATTTTCTGTAAACTGTAGAGGAGAGTCTTCCTCATACAGACACTGAGTAAAATTCATGACAAAAACATAAAAAAAAATGTTGTCTAAAGCCTAGTTATTGTTATCTTAAATGTAAATATAACTTACCTCTAAATACAGACACAAAACAATCCTGCACCACAGATCACCGCAACTTTTCCTGATTCATACATCAACAGTTGGCAAGGTTTAACTTAATGAACAACTGAGCGGACGAATGATCAACTCACCATAACCTCCAAGTCAAATTGTAAATAATAAAAGAACCGTCTTGTCTTGTCTCTCCCTATCAAACGGCTTTAAACTCAGTTGGTCAGTACATTTATCACAGCCTCAGCCAAACAGTTTTATGAGGGGATGGCAAGACAATTCCTCCACTATAAAAAACTGATTTTTGGAGTACGGTAATGGCAAGTTTGTCATGTGTACGCCGAGTGCCGCTCCTGACGGTAAACTTGTGACTTGCTACCATCACATTCCACCCCAACACACACACCTCACCCTCTCTGTTCACAGCCAATCAATCTCTCTATCTCCATCATATCAATGAACCATTTACCAATTATGTAAATCATTTCATCATTTTCCATTTAAACAACACATCATTCTTAGCAAGTGATCTTTCTTGAATAAATCCTTTCCTCCTCACTAAACCAATCCTTGTCTTCACTAAACCAATCCTTGTCTTCACTAAACCAATCCTTGTCTTCACTAAACCAATCCATAATCTTCCTTAAATCTAACCTTTATCCTACAATGTTCACTCAAAACAAAAGAGCATTATTTCTGAGTAATCTTTCAAATCTTTGAGACAATTTCACAGTTTAATGGGAAATAAACTTAATGCTAATGATAGTGGCAGTAAGAGCAATATATATATATATATATATATATATATATATATATATATATATATATATATATATATATATATATATATATATATATATATATATATATATATATATATATATATATATATATATATATTTATATATATTTATATATATTTGTATTATTAGTAACAATAGTTGGTGTAGTACTGTATTAGTAGTAGTAGTATTATTAGTAGCCACATTAGTTCAACCACTTGCAGAAGCTGTAAATGAGAAGGATGAAAATAAAAACAGCAAGTGTCGGTAATTACTGTACAGAACTTAGGCCAAAAGTTCGAAATTCTGAGGCACTGAAGCTGCAGCGACTCAGCATTCATATACTGTACTGAACCACACGCGTCTTCACAAGCAAATGGCCGAGGAGGATGAGAGTTACACTAACCACACTACCGTAGTATATGTCTCTCACGACTGACACCGAGATCATGGATACTTCGAGCCCAAACACCTTCTATAATGTGTTGTCAGTATACAATCATAAGTTTCTAACACTGCACCCAAAGGAGGTATGGTAGTGGTTCTAGTGAAGGTTTTAAGAGGAGCTGCATTACATATCTCACACAAAAGCTTTTGATATCACTTAGAAACAATAAATCACTTGTGTATATCAACAAAAAAGCTGTGAAATAAGGTTTATGAAGTAATGATCTTCACCCAGTTACACTATTACTACATTATTCTAGCAAGATAATTTGTTTCTCAATTTGTTTCTCCAAGTTCCCCAATACAGTACTAAGCTTGATGTGTACATGTCCAGTAATTTGATGCACTATGCACAATATTGTACTCAACGTTCACAAAGCTTGTTGGTCTAAAAATTTCCATGATGCAGGAATCAAATGGAGCATAATGCTTAAGTACAGTAAATCAAAATTATTACACCACCGTTCATTCCTTCCCCCATTCTGAAAGATCTTATCAATAATCTACACTGATCAAAAACCTTAAAATAATTTCATGAAAGATGAGATTAATGCAAGCAATTTCTAAATGTCTTCTTCTTATCCCACAAACTATGAAGAGAAAAACCTACAACATGAGCCAACTACTGCAGATACACCCCAAAGTACCTGAGTCTTGGCCAGGGACACAGCCTGAGAGTAAGCCGGCACTGAACGACTCAGCTGTGTTGTGAGCGACGGAAGAGAAATCTTTGAGATCCCGGGACCTGTAACAGACAATAACTGTAGGGAGGATTTAAAGGAAGAGTTTCTATGTCATGATCAGCTAAATTGAGTCACAGACTAAACTGATATCAAGATGATTGACCGTCCGTTCTTATATGTCTGGTGTTACATGATGACCAGACTAACAAGATCTCTTAGCTCTAAAGGGCAGCTGTTGTACTGTGTGATGGGGAGGAAAGAGTGATTAGTAATTAACAATCCAACTATAGCTGATGCTGGGGAGTCTGTACTGTAAGGTCACCCACCAAGCTCCTTTGTAGGTCACACTATATTACAAGACCTGCCTGGCTTAACAGACACCCTGATAATAAATGTCCCCTAAAAATGGCTGCAATATTTTTTATCATGCTGTATAAACTCTCACTCCAGCTAGTTTCCGCTGGAGAGAGAGAGAGAGAAAAAATCAGAGTCAGTTTCTGTGAAGGAGGCATGAGTCACATGAACCAGCAAGGGATTCATTCCAATGGGTTGATGAGCAGCTTTACAACATAAAGGTTTGAATCCTATTTCATAAATTCTGGTTTGACTATATCACTATTTATGAAACAATTAATATATAACTGAAAGTCACACCATCTCATAAGTCACCTCAAAGGCCATAAACCATTCACATCATAAATTAACTTTTATCTCAATACAGTATCTGTTACAGTCATGTGGCACACACCTGTTGTAACAGCAACTGCCAGTTTTGTAGTTCCACCAATGCCTCCAGCCATGCCAGCCATCCCTGCTGCTGTTGCTGTCGCTCTACTCAATATATTAGTTATGTTGGCACTTCTGGCAACTACCACCTGATGTTGTCCACCTGCCAACAGTACACACCTTTATCACAACATATTATTGTATAGTTATGTTAAATCTTTGTCTCTCAAGCACTTAGTTTTGTCTTTAGTCAAGTCAAAGTTTATACAATACTGTACTACTGATAATCCGCCAACACATTTCTAATGGACATAACACGCTGACAGTGTTTGCTAATTTACTACATATTATATATGTAATTCCCTTCTTATACTTATATTCTTCTTTTTTGTTCCTATTTGAAGAATACAATATTGACATTAAGATAGTTAACACAGGAGGAGTACAGAGAACACCCATTTGATGTTGGTGTAAGAAAGGTTCTCTGAGGAGCAAGGTTGTTGGAACAAAAAACATGAGATAACCCACGTACCTGAAGTTTGTTGTACAGGCTGAGCTGATATGAGGCTGGGGAGAGCTGCTGATGACGTTACAGCGATAGGTTTGGTCACAACAGTCACTGATTTCTTCACACCTCCCTCACCCTGTGTAATTAAAGAAGCAATAATACTGAAACTTTTTGAAAGAAATAAATTTCTTGAAACTGTACAGTACAGTACAGTAACAGACCCAAGTTCCCTTCTACTTTTCTAGATCTTAGGCCATAAAACTTAATGAAAGATTTAATATACAATGATGTAACCGTTACTTAATATTACTTTCTAACTGAGGAAACTAAAGTCTAAGTTACCATAGTAAGTGTTAATAAAAACTAATACTTATCATACCAAAGTATTACCCACTTTAGCTGTAATACTTGAAACACATAATACTGGACTACAGGTTATACTATACTGTAAATAAAAAGTTTAATATATTGTATGGGTCAGGGTACTACAAGCCGAGGCAGCCATCACAACAAGAGCACCAACCAAGTGAATAACTCTGACCTAACCACATGACCTTCACCTTTGACCTTACCTTATGACCTCCAGTTTTGACCTGTACAGTACCATTTTTAAAATTATATAAAATATCTAACTCAACTCTCAAGATTCCTGAAATTAGATCCACCAAATTTTTTTGCTATTTTATTCATAAATAAGAAGACAAACACCTAAATCCAGACAAAGGCAGATACACAGTATACAGGTGAACAATAAACCACCACCCTGGCTCGATGTCTTACATTAGACACAATGATAACGTTAGGTTGGGTGTGTTGACTCATAGTTGTTGTGGATGAAGCAGATGACACCCCAGAGGCTCCTCCTGCAGCTGCTGCTGCTGCTACTGCTGCTGCTGCAACTGCTACTGCTTGCTACAAATATTAATTACAGTAATCATTAGACTACAGATCATTCATTAAAGATCCCTGTACAGTTTAAGTACCAGTAATGTCTACAGTATATGAAGATCAATCTAAATGTTCAGTAATGGAAGTCTTGATACCACAGCATACTGAAACATATACAGTAATACTTGTTGAGAATGATACATTTTATGGGTATAATACTGTACTGTATACATCTTGGTAATTGAAATTGTATGTTGGGGAACTGCTTAAGGCCAACCTATACAATGTTAGTCCAAAATAGATCACAACTTGCTGGAGCAGAGCAAACAACAATGGTGCTCATTCAAGTGTGGCTTGTCAACTTCCTACTAAATTTAGACATGCCAAGATTAGCTTCAGATTACTGAGCTAATGACATAACATACAAACCAACTGCTGAGCTAAGTTAATTTGGCTCTCTGCCCTCCACCTAAGCCACTAAACAATTGTCCCTTATGTGAGCTGCCAAACTACAATCACTCTGAATGTGTAATTCACAATAATCAGATTTATATTGTACAATACACTTAACATCAAAAAAGGACTTTACTGTTTCATAACATAAGATTTCTCACTATTAATATATTATTTTAACCAGAGTTTCTGTCTTCAGTCACACACACACACAGAGGAAAGGAAAGTGAATGTTGAGAACCAGAAACCAAATATCTAACCTGTTGTATAGGTTGTTGGGATTGTTGTTGTTGTTGTTGGGGTTGTTGTTGTGTCTGCTGTGACTGTTGCTGTACTTGTATTTGCTGCTGTCCGGCCTGTTGTGAGGACGACTGTTTGAAAAGTTCCTCCTTCTTATCGCGGCTCCCCTGCATGAATGTTGAGTATGCCGCTTGACCCGCCACCTACGAAAAGAATAAAAAATTAATCCATGTCACAACACCCAGAGAGCACGAGAGATGCCCAAAACAGTGGACACTACTGTACTGCAGTGAGTAGGTTAGGTTAGGTTAGGTTAGTGCTGTGTTAGGTTAGGTCAATGTTGTGTTAGGTTAAGTTAGGTTAGTGTTGTGTTAGGTTAGGTTAGTATTAAGGTGGTTCTTCTCCAGGTGAAATAAGCTGGCGTGCATAATCCTGTGATCTAATTTTCCTGTTCAGTGTAACCTCTATTTAATGGACTATATGCAGAGGAAAGTCCATTACATCGAGGGTCCATTAGATGTGAAACCCCCCGTCTAACTGAATATATAGAAAGAGAAGTACATTGTATAAGGGATCCCCAGGTTACAAACGGATTCCGTTCCTGAGGACGTTCCTAAGTCGAATTTGTACGTAAGTCGGAACACATGCAATGTACAGTATATACAGTCTCTCCTCGACTTACGACAGGGTTCCGTCCAGACGAACAGGTCATAGCAATCACTTGGATGAATCTGGCGAGCAAGAACTTTTTATCAGAGTACCACATAGAAGGGTACAACCTTTATCACAAGGACAGGGAAGGTAGGAAGGGGGGAGGGGTCGCACTCTTCATCAGGGATACATTAAAATGTTGTATTAGTAATTCAATAAAGGGTGAAATTGGAACCGAGTCTGTATGGGTAGAAATTGCGGAAGGACAAGAAAAACTAATTATGGGAGTAATTTACAGGCCCCCAAGTCTTGGGAAAGAAGCAGCTCAGCCCATATGACAGGAAATGAGTAGGGCAGCAAAATACAACAACCTGTGCATTACGGGGGATTTCAACTTCAGAAATATTGACTGGGACAACATTGTAGGTGACTATGAATCTGAAGACATCCTAGATGCAGTACAGGACAATTTTTTGAAACAACTAATTACAGAACCTACTAGAGGTGACAATATATTAGACTTACTATTAACAAATAAAGAAAATATTATCAGAGATATCACAGTAGGGGAAGAACTAGGGAACAGTGATCACAGAGAAATCAGGTTCACCCTAAATTGGAAAACGAAAAACAATGACAATATGGTCAGAGTCCCAAACTTTCAATTGGCGGATTATGGGGGATTAAGAAGGTACCTAGGTGAGGTCACCTGGGAACAGTCAGGTCAGACCCTAGTAGGAACGGGTGAGGTCACAGGAGACACAACAATTGATCATGACTATAATATATTCACTTGTATACTACGTAAAGCACAAAAACAAAATATACCATACAGAAAAATTGGGTCAAATAAGAATGAGCCAAGGTGGATGACCAAAAAACTTAAACAAGACATAGGAATAAAGAAAGGAATTTAAAAGAAATTAAAGGGAGGGGAGGAGCAGCTCAGAAATAGGTATAATGAACTATCTAGGAATGTTAAGAAAAATGTAAGGAAGGCAAAGAGGGACTACGAAATCAGGATATCAAGAGAATCCAAGGCGAATCTCAAGGGATTTTTCCGGGTATATAGGACAAAGGTCAAGGACAAAGTGGGGCCTTTAAAGTCAGGGAGGAGGAAAGTGATCAATGGCAGTGGAGAAATAAGCAAAGCATTGAACAGCTACTTCTTATCAGTTTTCACAGAAGAGAAATTAAAGAATATCACTATCAGGAAAGAGGACGTTCTTAAGAAGATAAATAAATTAAAGAAAACAAAATCCCCAGGGCCGGATGAAATTTTCCCTCGAGTTTTGAAAGAGTGTAAGGAACACATTAACGGACCCCTCGTAAATTTATTTACAAAATCATTAGACACGGGAGTTGTGCCAGACTTGTGGAAACAGGCAAATGTAGTACCCCATATTCAAAAAGGGAGACAGAGAATCAGCGTCAAATTACAAGCCGATCAGTTTGACGTCAGTAGTTGGGAAATTTCTTGAATCAATTACTATGGCAAACAGCATCTGATCGCATTTAGAGAAAAGCAAATTAATCTACGACTCTCAACATGGGTTTACAAAGGGAAAATCTTGTCTAACAAATCTGCTGACTTTTTTTAGGAAAGTCTTCGAGGTAGTAGATAATGATGAAAATTACTTAGGGGTACTTGTAAGCCCAGACCTACGGCCTAGAAAACAGTGCATTAATGTTTGAAATAAGGCAAACAGAGTACTGTATTAGGTTTTATATCTAGAAGTGTAAGCAATAAGAGTGCAGAGGTCTTATTGCAACTATATCTTGTGCTAGTCAGGCCGCACCTCGATTATGCGGTTCAGTTCTGGTGCCCTTATTATAGAATGGATATCAATTCACTGGAGTCGGTGCAGCGAAGAATGACGAAAATGATTCTGGGACTTACCGGTAGAAACCTTCCACATCAAGATAGGCTAAAGAAACTAAACTTGCATTCCCTAGAAAGACGAAGAGTGCGGGGAGATATGTAGAAGTATCTAAGTGGGTGAATGAAATCAATAAAGGAGATATAGATAAAGTTCTTATAATATCCGAGAAGGATAGGACTCGGAGCAACGGATTTAAGTTGGATAAGTTTAGGTTTAGGAGGGAGATAGGAAGGAACTGGTTCACAAACAGGGTGGCGGACGAGTGGAACAAGCTTAGCAACTTTGTAGTAAGTGCTGGAACGCTGGAAAGTTTTAAAAGGAGGCTAGATAGATTCATGGAAGATAGAGAGTGGTAGTAACTCTCGACAAGAGCTGCCATGCACAGGCCAACCGGCCTATTGCAGACTCCTTATTTTCTTATGTTCTTATGTAAGTTGAATTGGTCGTAAGTCGAAAAGGCAAAAATAATACATAGAAATTCTAAAATGGGTGTCTCTTTTTCTTCTCAGCACCACGAGAACTCTCACTTTTACGATTGCCAGCCCTTTTAAAGGGAATTACAAATGAAAATTTTGTCAGTACACAGCGCGATCACTAATGTCGGGACTCAAAAATACGTAACGTGAAAAATATTTTATACGACCATGGCCGTCGATGTTCGGGTTGTCGTAAGTCGAATATGTCGTAGGTCGAGGAGAGACTGTACTGTACTTGTAAAACAATGTTTGAAATCCCCCTTTATCATAGCCTAAGTCTTTACATACATCTAAAATCACTTAATTTAAGACAAAAGAAAAAATAGAATGACAAAATACAGTAAATGGAAGTAATAAAAAAGTCATCAAGTAAATAAAATCTGTAATTTTCAAGTTTAACCCCATTAGTATCGGCAGGCGCTCGTAAGTCGGGGACCCTCTTTATGGGGGTTTCACCGTATCAAATATCCACCTAAGAATTATTTATCTATGAAAACATAAAAAAGTAAAAGATCTCAACGATATTTACTCTGTGTGTAATCTTGACGCTCTTCCTCCAGTCCTCCGTGAAGATCTCCTTAAACTGTTGGATATAACGACACACTTGCTGCTGTGTTCCTAGCTGAAACCTGTAAAATATTTCTCTTATTACATCATCAAGTAAACAAGAGACACACGTAAACACCCTCACAGTTAACGTTTAGTAGTTTGGTAATAATTATACTTGTACCTCAAGCTACTGTCTTGTTCATACCTGGAGTGGACACATCATCACTGGTATGGTACAGCACAAAAAATGTAAAAAAAAATAACAAAGAAAAAAATACTCTCATGTGATTTTTGATGGAGATCCAGTGTTATCTTTATTTGTGACACATTTTTTGAATAACGTAAAATGGATTACACATATTACAAGAAAACTGTGAATCTGAACCATTTATAGACAGAATAATGCATCAGTGTCTAGTGCTTTGGGTTCATGAGTCTCAATTTTACGGTTCATGAAGCACCAGAAGAGGTGACAGGACTTTTGACCATGATTGTACAAGAATCGTTTATATAGATACTGTACTGTCAGGAAAAAATGAAATAAATTAAGAAATGGTGACTACAGTACAAGTTTTGAAGCCAGGCAGATAATGGTGAGCAGAACCTACAGTAAATATAAAGTGCCAGTAATGAACACACACATAAACCTGTAGTGCGCTCAGCTTCCTCTGCTTACTGCATTATTTCCCCACAATTCTCGCAGTCTATTGTGTTGACTTACGGATGATCATATTTACAACTAATTCTATCACTGTAGCCCCTAACTCACAGTGATGACACATGGAGGTACTTACTTGCACGTGGAGCCATTCTGTTTACCTTCTTGATAGTCACGGTCAACATATAGCTCACCAAAGTAGACCTCGTCAGTCTTCCTCTGCGATATGGTCAGCCTTTAAATACATCACCACACATTATTACAGTATACATAAACTATTATTCTTATAAATGTTGAGTTAAATACATTTATTTTCCATAAAACAAATAAAACTGTAACTACCATTACTCTCCATATTTGTGTCCACATTTTGGTTAATTCTATAAATAAATTAAAGCAGAAATATGATTCACTATAGAAACCAGTTTGTTGCTTATTTCAACTTAACTCTGGCCACCCTAATACTAACTGGGTGGCTAATCTTCAGGTGATCCAAGAATATAGTGGATGAATAAACTACTTTTGTATTCTGTACTAGAATGGTCCTGACACAATGGGGTTAACATTATGGACCTGGCTGTGTTATATCTACTAAAGAAACATTCACCCCAGCCTCATTATACTCTGTCCTGTGGTGCACTATGAGTGAGGACAACACAGGGCAGAGTGGATTAACATGTATGTATTATATCAGCACAGAGGGAGGCATCCACTGATTAGTAAAGGACTCATTTATGTATGATTTTCAGGAAGAAAATCCTTATGTAGACTGGGGGAAGTCTGCACTTCTCTATTTTTTGCAAGGAGCGCCTCACATCTTCATACTTGCAAGAAAATGCTACATTTCATTATTCTTAGTCGTAATCAACACAATAGTTACCGGTACATACTTGGTGTGATATATCCTCCCTTGGCCGCGCTCTGTCTCCAGCACCAGCTCTTCGATGAACACAAGAGAGTTGTCAGTTGTGTAGTTTGGTCGCTCATATGTCCGAGCCACCTTAGGAACATCGATGTTGTCTGGAACACTCAGCTCTGGGGCATCATCCATTGACAGTGGAGTAAACTGCAAATAAAAAAGTCAATTATTGTATACTGCACCGCTGTAATATCTGACTTCTTATTAATAGTAAAATACACAGAAAATAGCAATGTACTACTATAGACCATAACCTTATATGACAACATCTAACCAAGTTTACAATACAGTAGACCTTCAATATAATGTGAGAATGGAACTAAGAATTGTTGGGCAATATTGAGGGTCCATGGTACGCAGAACTGATCTACCAGGAACCTTTGTATAATTTCATGCAATACTGTAAATTACATCATGTTTGATATATTAAGTCTAAAGTGTAGTGTAAAATGTGTTGATGAGGCAGACACAGGTTATAAAAGACCTCCCTAACACCAGATGATACCTCGGTAATATGTGTGGTGGGAGAGAGTGGTGATTGGTTAAGGATTCCTAACTCTTCCTCCCCCATATGCAGAGAAAGTGAATGAAAGGAACATGAAGTGTACACTGATGATCGCCATCGTCCCTACAGTTCCACTGATGATGGCCACCATTTAAGGGCTAAGGACACAGAACCACACAATAAGCAGTTTGTACTGTATTATGACAAGAGGCCGGGAGCAGAACATTCCTCACACTTACGGGTTTTATTATATTTTTAGGGTTGGGTCGTTTGTCCTTCTTCGCAGTCAAGAAATTATGTAACCTCAGACACTTGGGGGCAGGTGACTCCTCAAACACCTTCTGACGGTTCTGAGCAACCTGAGAATAACACACAAGATAAAGCATTATAAAAAATACCACACATTTATTGAAGACTACATCTCTAAAACCAATATAAATCATTTTAACATTCTAGAAAAAATCATATTCTTTTATAACTAAACTTAACCTCACAGCACAGAGGAACATTTTCACTTCCCACCACATGATGCTAAATCTAAGTCTCCTAATTAGAGAAAAATCTCTTGGGGAGAAAAAAGTCATTTAAATGTGTCACTTGTACCTACTACTGTACTGTACTGTTATAATTAGCTATACTGTACTGTACAGTACTGTTATAATTAGCTATACTGTACTGTACTGTTATAATTAGCTATACTGTACTGTACTGTTATAATTAGCTAATCTGTACTGTACTGTTATAATTAGCTATACTATACTGTACTGTTGCTTCATGTACAGCCTCCAGCAAGCTCCTCTATACAACAACACTCTCCTCCATTCTCTCACTCTTTCTTTCCCTTTTCTCTTCCACCATGTACAGTGCCTCACCCAGCGCCATGATCTTCTCAACACACCTGACTAAACCTCCGAGCTGCTCTCTTTATGGGGACGGTAGAAAACTTATATTTCCGTTGGTGAAGTTTATTGTTGATGATCGCAACCATAGGGGATGGTGACAGGTTGAGGGGAGGAGCCGTCCGTTTGATTATCTCGGCCTCTAAGTGAAGTCGCTCCTCTGTGGTCCAGTCCCGGTCACGAGTCATTGATGCGATGTCGGCTGCTACTGACTGTTCAAGTGGGTGTATAAAAGTATGTGTTGATTGTTAAAGAAATTCTTCATAAAAATGGAATGCAAGGAACATAAAACTTCCACTGATGATGGCCACCATTCCTACAGGTAGCTGCTGTCAAGGATTAATTAACCTTTACCAATTTACTCATAAAGTCAATAAATATTCTCCTCCAAAAGTACAGCAACTATGGCCAATTAAGGTAACAAGTACTGTACTAAAACTGATCTTTACACTAATGATATTTCTCAAGACCACAATGAACAAGTTCCTGAATCTTGCAGTAAACTTAACAAGTTCCACAACAAATTTTAGGTCAAGAAAAGTTTTAAATCACACAAGTCTGGTCTGAGTCATTAGGAACTGTTGGGTGAGATTAAGACTGACCTGACTCGTGGGCTGAAGGAGGAGGTATCTTGTGTCGTACGATGAATCCAGTGTTCTTCTGTAGTCTCGCACCTCGGCGATGACACACCCCGAGTGGTAAATTTCTATATTGGACTCATCTAATAAGTCCAGGAGCATCGGGGGAAGCTTTTCATTATCTGCAAAAAAAAAAAAATTCACTACATCAACGCTGTGGTACCCTGAGGTAGAGACAGTTCGCTTCACAATGGGGCGAAGTCGTCTTACTATGATAGGAAATAAGAGACTTAGGAGTAAGCTTATAAATTTTGGCCAAACTCCATAACAAAGCCTCCCTATACATTATCTACAATCTGCCAGTCTAAGTTTATGGGATCAGAAGTCATATTATCCCTTAGTAGCTAAGTGATCAGTGTTACCTTGAAGCAATAACCTGAACCCTGGATAGTCAACGACCACCTGATGTTGTAGATGAAGAGTGTTAAAGGGTTAAGACTTATTGCCTGTGATGTGAGGCTCCAGGTCAGAAAAGACAGGTGAGGAAGAGGATTCAGACTCTTGTGTTTCTTGCTTTTGTCACTTGTCATCTGGCCTGGGGCGCCTCAGTGTTGCCAACTAGGACAGCCTCATATACCACTGTTGCCAACTAAGACAGCCTAAACAGCCTCATATACCACTGTTGCCAACTAGGACAGCCTCATATACCACTGTTGCCAACTAAGACAGCCTAAACAGCCTCATATACCACTGTTGCCAACTAAGACAGGCTTAACAGCCTCATATACCACTGTTGCCAACTAAGACAGCCTAAACAATCCTGAATGAAAACAACAGAAAGTTTATTCCAAAATATTTTAATTTTATATGTGGTTTCACAATTCAGTCAGTAATTATAATTAAATGTGTAGGAACTCCTGATCTTTACAATCACATACCAATATATGTCAGCAAAACGTCCTCCTCATACGACAGGCGGACAGTTTCCGTCTCAAGTCCCGACGACATCTTGATAGCCAGAGAATATCCCTCGTTACCCCGGTACAAGTTAACCACCAGGCAGTTGAGACTCTCTCGCTTCACTAACTTCTCCAACAACTTGTGAGTGAGGCAGATGCTCTGTAAATACAATACATTAAAACTCTTTAAATAATTAGACTTAATCTAAAATACAATCATTCAGTCATAGAAGATAATATATTAGCAACACATATTCTTATACAAATACAGTCTGTACAGTACAACAGTACTGTACACCAGTACTGTATATAGCAAAGTGTCTCAACATTATGTATACATACAGCTTTACAGATTTTTGTTAAAACTGCAGCAATATTGTCCTCACTTGTGGTAGATCTTACACATTAACAAGTGAGGACAATATTGTTTTAACAGTGTACAAGCATTCATGTGATATCCACGAAAATCTACAAGACAATGTGTATACATTTTTCTGAGACACCCTGTATGGTATATTGCAACAGTCTGAATATTAGACCAAGTGTGTACACACTAAGTGTCTAAGTTAACCTGTACCAAGTGTTCAAGGTGGATCACAACATAATTCTCTTCAATAACTAAGGCCAAAACCTCACAATGATGGTTGTTACTACAGTGTCAAACCTCCTTATAACGACCTTCTCTCCATATAATCCATTAGATTGGGGCTTCACATCTAACTGAACCTCGATATACTGTAATGAACTTTATTCTCCATACAGTCCATCACATAGAGGCTTCACTGTACAGTATAGGGTAACAAGCATCACCTTGAGTCTGGGGATCTTGGTGGCTTCCTCGGCATATATGGCCGCCAGCTTCCTAAAGAGCGGCTGACCCTGAAGAGCACCACAGCCGCCCTGCACCAGCACCTCATGACTCTGTTCTATCAAATACTGAAAGAATAAAAATTAATAGTTATTTTTATTACTAATGTTGTCTCTATATGGCAGAGCTTCTATTATTTCAAACAATTTATTCAAAATTCTAGATCACTTAATAATTTAGGTATAATTTTAGTTTCGGCCAATATGCCCTATATACCGGGTAGTTTAGAAATGAGTTTAATCTGTGTATTTTGGTGCGATTTAATCGAACTTGACCTTTATTTCCCGGGGAAAGTACCCGTTTTAGATCCCCCTCCCCCCAAAGTATGGAAAAACTTTAAAATTAATTTCTAACATTCTTTGTCCCCTGGTTGAAATGGGGTTAGAAATAATCCAAATAGGGAGATCTAAAGGTTGGGGATGGTTAAAACAGTCGGCCGTGTATTGGCCGAAACTGCAATACAGTAATACCAAAATAATGTTGAGTGTGTAAAATATGACCATTACAAACTTCCCTTTATTCATTTTTAATATAATAATTCCAGGTTTGTGGGATAAAATATTAAAACTGAAGGAGAAGAACCAACTATAACTCCAAAAACAACTATCAAACACAACACAACTTAACCTATGATTATAGATTTTTTTTCTATCTATTGAGTGCTGTGAATTTCCGGAATTCTGTGGTTGCTGTTTACTGCAAGATTACCCCCAACCTAACTTATCTATTATTGTGGGTAAGGAAGGTTAGATAGTTTAGGTTAGGTTAGGTTGTCTATTTAAATAAATATGTGATTTATTTAGAGAAGAATATTGTCTACAAACTTTATTAGTCATAAAAATACCTAACATTGCAGCAAACAGGCAAGATTACTGTACAGTTACATATTACTTGTTAATTGTTTATGTTATTCATCAGTTGTTTATGTTAGGTAGTGTATTAGTTGTTTGTTAGATAATGTATGAGGGGTTGAAGAGGCCTCTGAACATTGGAACCTTTGAAATGTCAGTACTCAAGTCTTTCTTCTCTATACAGTACTTGTAAAGAAACCTATAGAATAAAGTAATTAATTAAACCTAGGTAATATCCCCTCATTTATGACCCAATGTGACCTAATTATTAGTAAAAATTAATTTGATTGTACTCATTATCATTGTCATCATAAGGGAAGAATGACAAGACTAATCCCGGGCATTGGGAACCTTGAGTACAGAGACAGGTTAAAGCATCTTAATTTGCACTCCCTCGAGAGACGTAGAGTGAGGGGCGATATGATAGAGGTGTATAAATGGAAGTCAGAGCTAAACAAAGGGGACATTACAGAGGTACTCAAACTATCCAACCTGGAACGAACTCGTAACAATAGATTTAGGCGCAAGATAGGTCAACACTGGTTTGGAAACAGAGTAGTGGACGAGTGGAACAAGTTACCAAACATCATCATTAACTCTAATACGCTGGATAGCTTCAAACATCGGTTGGGTGGATATATGGGCAATAGGGGTTGGGTGTAAACGGGACTGCCCAATAGGCCCGCTGCAGTTTCCTCCATTCTTATGTTCTGATGTGACAATGATGAACACTGACACGGCCGACACAAACAAATGACAGACAAGACAATTATATTATCGTCCTCAGCAGCCTTATTACACCATAAATTATTACTAAAACAACATTAATCCCTCGTTAAACACCACCATTCATAAAGGGCACACAGACACGGCCGCCACAACCTAGCGAGACAAGATAACTATACTAAGGTCATCATAAAGCTCTGAGTCTCCCTGACAGGAACACTTACATCAGCTTTGTTAATGAGTGACTCCATATTAGAGACATTAAGGAGACGCCTCCCTCAGTCTGTCATGTCACTGTTTGTTTACTGCTTCAGCTGATCACTAACTCTCTGGCTCTTATTAATAATAATACAATAAAACAAATATTATAACTATATTCTTGACATAAAATAAGTTAATAATAAATTCGTTGTTATAATTTTATTATATTTAGTTAATATTAAGACATTTAAGGTCTAATTTAGGTAACAGAACCAATCGCTATAAGAATTAATAACAATTAAATAAAACTAATATTCCAAATTTCCTTATTAAAGATTACAAGTGTATAATAAATTAAAGGTTTGAATTTTGTCAAAGTGAGTTAGTAAGAGAGTAGTTGAGGTATAATTAATGTAAAGGAACCAACAGCTGGGAGGCGTCCTTCTACCCGCCGCGTCACCAGGGGCAGCGTGGTGAGTTACCCTCCTCTTTTATTACCTCTCTGCTCGCTCTACTGGAAGCCTTTCTGCCTTACTCACGCATTCATAACCTCTATTAGGTATTTATGTAAGTAATGGAAATTGTGAAATGTTATGCAAAGTGGTTAATTAATGGTAAATGGAGAGAAAAATAAAGGCATGGTTGGGTGTGCCACTCCACGTTGTCCACAGCTGATATATTACTCTATTGGATGTAGTTCAGACTTTCAGGTGTATATAGTTATTAATCGAATGGTGATTTAAATTGTGTTTATCGAGTGTGGTTTTTTTAATGTGTATTAAAGGTTAAGTTGCGATATTGTTGATTATTTCAGGTTATGGTTGTAGGGTTTGATCGGGTCCGACTAATTACCCAAATGTAGCCACAATGAAGTCAAATAATGGTCCTAGATGAATAAATCGGACTGCTAATCACTTCTCGATTATTATTTGGTGTCATAAAGTAAAAAAAAAAATTGGTAAACTTAATTTAATCTGTTGTGTTAGATTAGGTTAGGTACATGCACTTGATCTACTTACTCAGATTAAATTAAGTTTACGAATTTTTTGTGACTTTCTGACACCAAATACTAGTCGAGAAGTGATTGGCAGTCCAATTTATTCGTGTAGGACCATTATTTGACTTCATTGTGGCTACATTTGGGTAATTAATCGGACCGACCTAACCGGATAAGTTTACGTATAGGAGGGAGGTAGGAAGGAACTGGTTCACAAATAGGGTGGTGGACGAGTGGAACAAGCTTAACAACTTTGTAGTAAGTGCTGGAACGCTGGAAAGTTTCAAAAGGAAGCTGGATAGATTCATGGATGGTAGAGTGTGGTAGTAACTCTCGACAGGAGCTGCCAACCGGCCTATTGCAGACTCCTTATTTTATTATGTAACCTACAAGGAGGAGGAGGAGACAACTGACTCTTAAGTGAGGAATATAACCTTGGGTAAACGGGTCTGCCCATTTTGTCACCACTTTTTTTTACCCTTTTCGTCACTGCGTTCATTCTCCTCACCATTTCAGGGCAATAAATTCCCAAGAATTTTTACATAATTAATACATCAAATTCATTCCACAGCTTCCAGAGACGGACTTGTTTGTCATGATTTCCTTCTCTTGTGCACGATTTTAGCTTGTGCTCAGCAACTAGTTGTAATTGCAAATCAACCATTGAGGCCTATCTCTGAAGAAGAGTGACAAGGAGGTATAGAGCGAGATTGTTCTTTGCTGCTCGGTGGTTTATGCGCTGGTGCCAAATTACCTTCAATTGTTCTGTATTTTGTTTATTTACCAACGTTTTAATCGTTTCTTTATTAAATAATAAATTCATGTATAATAATAACATAATACTTCTCGAGTCGTCTGTATACATGTGTAATTTCTATTCGTGTAAAATAATAACTTAGAATTTGTCATGTTAATACCAGCAACTAACGGTCTGTTAGTGGTGACGAAATGGAGTGTATCCAGGTAAACGTAGCAGGAACCTGTGGACAAATAAACTAAAGACAAAATCCCCAGGGCCGGACGAAATTTTCCCTCGAGTCTTGAAAGAGTGTAGGGAACAGATTAGCGAACCCCTTGTAAATTTATTTACAAAATCATTAGACACCGGAGTTGTGCCAGACTTGTGGAAACAGGCAAATGTAGTACCCATATTCAAAAAGGGAGACAGAGCATCAGCGTCAAATTACCGGCCGATCAGTTTGACGTCAGTAGTGGGGAAATTTCTTGAATCAGTTATAGCAGATAGCATTCGATCGCATCTAGAGAAAAGCAAATTAATCTATGACTTGCAACATGGGTTTACAAAGGGAAAATCTTATCTAACAAATCTGCTGACGTTTTTTAGGAAAGTCTTCGAGGTAGTAGATAATGACGAAAATTACGATATAATTTACTTAGACTTTAGCAAAGCATTTGACAGTACTGCATCAGAGGCTTCTGAGAAAGATTAAGGCTCATGGTATCGAGGGGGAAGTTTTAAATTGGATAAAATCATGGCTCACCGATAGAACGCAGAGGGTCAGCATAGATGGTGTTAAATCTGGGTGGGGCCGTGTAACCAGTGGGGTTCCCCAGGGGTGAGTACTAGGCCCACTCTTGTTCATAATCTACATAAACGATCTAGATACTGGGGTCAGCAGTGACGAAAGCAAGTTTGCGGATGACACCAAAATAGGGCGGCAGATTAATTCAGGGCAGGATGCAAATGCATTACAGGAGTATCTAAATAAACTGCAAGGGTGGTCTGAAAAATGGCAAATGAAATTCAACACCAGCAAGTGCAGCGTACTTAATATTGGAAGAACAAATACTGACAATGTATACAGCCTTAACAACAACAACCTAGAGAAGTCGACTTGTGAAAGAGACCTAGGGGTACTTGTAAGCCCGGACCTACGGCCTGGAAAACAGTGCGCTAATGTTCGAAATAAGGCAAACAGAGTATTGGGTTTTATATCTAGAAGTAAGTAATAAGAGTGCAGAGGTCTTATTGCAACTATATCTTGCGCTAGTCAGGCCGCACCTCGATTATGCGGTTCAGTTCTGGTGCCCTTATTATAGAATGGATATCAATTCACTAGAGTCGGTGCAGCGAAGAATGGCGAAAATGATTCCGGGACTTAGAAACCTTCCATATCAGGATAGGTTAAAGAAATTTAACTCGCATTCCCTAGAAAGACGAAGAGTGCGGGAGATATGATAGAAGTATTTAAGTGGGTGAAAGGAATCAATAAGGGGATATAGATAAAGTTCTTATAATATCCGAGCAGGATAGGACTCGGAGCAACGGATTTAAGTTGGATAAGTCTAGGTTTAGGAGGGAGATAGGAAGAAACTGGTTCACTAATAGGGTGGTGGACGAGTGGAACAAGCTTACCAATTTTGTAGTAAGTGCTGGATTACTGGAAAGTTTCAAAAGGAGGCTAGATAGATTCATGGATGATAGGAGTGGTTGTAACTTTTGACAGGAGCTGCCATGCACAGGCCAACTGGCCTATTGCAGACTCCTTACTTTCTTATGTTCTCCAATCAGAGCGCACTCGGGGTAAAATAACGCTTGTATGAACTTTGGCTGGCCCTTTCAAAATATTTACTGCCTTACCTTAACACTTATAAATCACAATATTGTGACTTCTCTACTGGTCCACTTCACATGGAATACTGTACAGTACTGTAGTTATATGATTCGCTGGCTGGTAAATACTGTACACTTCTATATAGCACTGACTCAATTATGGTTTTTGTTGCCTTAAATACTGTATCAACGTTTGGTGATCGAGAATAGTTATTATGAGAGTAATGTACGTACTTAGAATTATAACAACTGTTTCATTACAGCAGGAGAGCTAGAATATGCACCCTGGGGGAGGGGGGTACTTATGTTGGGAGATTCCACATTTAAAAACTACCAATACTTTGCTTGACTTTTGTACATAAAGCAACTCCAGTATTTTCAACTGGTGTATTGAAGACAACCTCTCTCTCACATCAGGAACATTGCTAATTAGTTGCAGGGATTTTGCAGTTTTCCTATTTGTTGTTTTTCCTGCCTCTTTTCCAACAGTAATACAGTATGCATCTACTGGCAACATGCTGCCGATGCTAATTATTCTTGTTTGTATATAACAAATGCTTCCAGTGAATATGATCTATGTGACATGAGATGAAGCAAACAACCTGTCTTAATCCAAACAGATTATATTACTTTATTTTTGTGATGCTGGGAATCCTTCAGGTCCTTACATTCTCACCTTTGGTTTAAATTAATGGCTGATGTCACATTTTAGGATCTGCATGGTGGTCATGTACAGTACAATCTCACAAGAAAATGCGTGACTAATGTAGTGAATCCTGTACAGTACAATACAGTGTGTTCTCACATTTATTACTGTACTGTATTGACAAGCCAGTAAAGCCTGGTTTGTGTTACTCATGAGATTAGTTGTCATTTTGTATGGAGGTGAAGCTGACTGATGAAACTTGCACATATAATCCATTACAGTAGATGGGGTTTCACATCTAACAAGACCCTCTATATAATGGACTTTCCTCTCTCTGGTAAACAGCTGTGATACAATACTTCTCCCTCTCATAACACTTGACTATTCCTATGGTACAGCATACTATATTCATAACTTTGTTATGGATTGGCCGATCAGGAAAACATCTGATGAGCCTATTACAGTGTATATCTTGGTTTTCCTCCGTAATCTTTGACTCATCAACTTTTGACATATGTGTTTTCTACAACTTGTACATACACATTATACTGTACCTGGTTGTTTTAAGCTTCAAGTCTGTGGGTGATACTTGGGAGAGACTTGGAGCGCTTACTAATTTGCCTCCTCGTCTCCCCCAGGTACCGGTGCCTTGGGCAACATCATCCAGACCCGTGGGATTATCCACTGAGCACCAGGACATTAACTTAGGCTGCCAATTTGGGCTAAGTAGTGATCTTGAGGACCAAGTAACTGCCGTACGTCCAACACAATGCCGCAGAACGAACACATTGAGCTTCATCGCAAGCGCCATGGACGGCGACTTGATTTTGAGGAACGGAAAAGGAAAAAGGAGGCTCGTGAACCTCACGAAAGATCGGCCAAAGCTAAGAAGATATTTGGATTAAAGGCCAAATTGTACCACAAGCAGCGCTGCTCTGAGAAGATACAGATGAAGAAAACTATTAAAGCTCATGAAGCAAAGTTAACAAAACAGAAGGACACAGATGCTGTACCAGAGGGAGCGGTGCCTTCCTACCTCTTGGACCGTGAGGGACAGTCTCGTGCCAAAGTCTTGTCAAATATGATTAAACAGAAGAGGAAGGAAAAGGCCGGTAAATGGGACGTCCCCATTCCCAAAGTCCGAGCACAGTCCGAGGCAGAAGTGTTCAGAGTTGTTAAATCCGGCAAGAGAAAGTCGAAGGCCTGGAAACGTATGGTCACCAAAGTAACATTCGTGGGAGATCAGTTCACCAGGAAGCCGCCCAAGTTTGAAAGGTTCATTCGACCAATGGCTCTGAGATTTAAAAAAGCTCACGTAACTCATCCAGAATTAAAGGCAACCTTTTGTCTTCCTATTATTGGGGTGAAGAAGAACCCCAGTTCATCCACATACACATCTCTTGGTGTTATAACTAAAGGCACAGTTATTGAAGTTAACATTAGTGAACTTGGTCTTGTTACTCAGAGTGGTAAAGTTGTGTGGGGTAAATATGCCCAGGTTACTAATAACCCAGAGAACGATGGTTGTATCAATGCTGTTCTCTTGGTGTAGTCACTATGGGGCGAGGGAAACATGTCACTCATATTTAACTCTGGGAATGTCAACAGATGGAGAAAATTATATGTATGAAAAGTTTATTTTTATTAAGTAAGAATGACGCGGACTGAAAGGAGTGTGTGTGTCTGCTTGCTCTGTTTCTGGACATACCACGCTGTAATGGGGAGAATTTGATATATTTTTTTCCCCCCCCTCAATGTTTACTGTTGAAAATTGTATTGGCAAGCTGAATTTATCATGTTAAAAAAATCCTGATACATTAACATCTCAATAAAGGTAAAATGAAATGTTTTGTATATTATTCTATCACCAAGTTAAAACGAAGTTACTGACCAATGTTATATGCTATGTTGGTATGGAAATTAAACAGGTGATTTGCATCTGGGTTTAACTTTACACAGTATGGTACATAACTATGAGGTCCATCAATAATGGAATGTGGTTAAGAAGGAGAGGAAAATGAAGTGTGAGGTCTACCCACAGTTACACCTGAAGAGATATTTAAAGTTGCTGAATCTGAAGATTTTAAGTTAACTTGGGAAATTTATGGTGAGAAGATATGTAGTAAGTGAAGATTTCACTGTTGGTGTAAAGGATCACCAGTCCTCCCCACCCCAGCTTATTTCACCAGATGATAAAACACTAATGCTACCTGTACTACTGTATAGTACTTGGAGTTAGGTCAGCATTAGGGTGAGTGATCTTCAGATAAAGTAAGGCTCTTTGGGTGATCGAGGAAGCTTACCATAAACACTCGTGTCCCTGTGATAATTTGTCATATTATGTAGAAACGTTTGCTTTACATATCTCGACCAGAACAAAGTGTAAATAGCAAGTTTGTTACAGTAACCTCAGAATAATTACAGGATCTGAACACAGCCCACTGTGTTTTACCTGATGATTTGACATCGGAGCACTTAACATTTACCCCCCCTGCCCATCTAGGTAGCATTAGGGTGTTGAGATAAGGTTGAGGGGCTAACATTCAGGTGATCCAAACAACAAGTGAAACAATAAAGAACATGAGAATGGAGGAAACTGCAGCGAGCATATTGGCTCATACTGGGTAGTCCAATTTACACCCAACCCCTATTACTCCTATACCCATCAAACCGATGTTTGAAGCTATTTGAGTTAACGATGTTTGGTAACTTGTTCCACTCGTCCACTACTCTATTTCCAAACCAACGTTTGCCTATCTCGAGCCTGAAGATTGTCCCTCCAGCTTATTCAACACCCTCTCACTACAGAACAGGGGAGAGTAAAGAGGTCATGCTGAACAAAGTGCAGTGCATTAAAAATTAATTCAATTGGGATAAAAACAAATATTGATATGCTAATTTTATTTTAAGTTTTTGTGTGTCTTTGAGAAGTTGTGGTATGTGATGATATTGTACACAAAACTATGCCCCCTTTTTGTTGATACAATATAACAATGGATGAACAATTCTGATCACTTTATGAATCCTTGACAACTGAACTGAAACTGCTATACATTGTGTTTATTTACAAACTCGGATCCAGGTGGGCAGATAGTCTTGTGTATGTGTACATAGGTTAAGTTTTCTTGTCTTGTCTATAAAACTATAAAGCTTATTCACATTAACCTTGGTAGACATGAGTACTGTACCAGCAGGTCGAGAAATGCAGCAGATAGTCAGTTATTACCCTCTGTATATGGGAGGAGGGGGTGTTAGGTTACCCAAGGTGGTGGATCTTTGGTGAAATAAACTGTGATGGGTAATCTGCGATATATAACAAGCTATACCTTTAGGGCCTTTGCTTATGAACCACTCAAATATTTTATAACCTGTCCTCCGCCTTCGACTTAAACATGCAAAAAATGCCGACAAATTGTATCACAGCTGCTTATGGTATTTGGCACACTTCATACCTATCCTGGGAAATACTTATACCTGTAGTACATTATTTCCTAGACACTCAAGAGGGTTTATGCTGGAACCAAAGTTAAAAATAAACTGATTAACTTGAGTGTGGGGAGTTGACTGCCCTTATAATATTAATGATGGGTACAGTAAAGATTAGCATTAGAAAGAGGTTAATTGTACAGTACCTAATTAACCCCAGTAATTACTGGGATAATGTGAAGATGAGGCATTCTTTGTTGGGGTGTGAGAGTTATAAAAACGGATATTGTAGATGTACAACAAAACAGAACTGGGACCTCTACAGAAGGCCAACTCTTGCTATATATTTTAGACAAATTTAATGCTGCATTTAAAGATTTACTTGGTCAGCTTAGAGCAGAAGGGAAACCTCAGCAGAGCTTAAAATTAAACACTACACTACACCCAGTTTGGTCTCGTTTAACATTGACATGCCTGTGTTTCTTTACAGATCACAAAGATGCAGATTTTTGTGAAGACATTGACCGGGAAGACCATCACCCTTGAGGTCGAACCATCGGATACTATCGAAAATGTGAAGGCCAAGATCCAAGACAAGGAGGGTATGTTTGGAAATGTATTTATTTATTAATTTTTTCTTTTTCTCAAGATTGAAGTTTAATTTCTGCAATTACTTCTATAAAGGAAATAGTAATGAAAGTTACCAATGCAGTAGTTACCTCAATTAAATTTCCTTGGTATACTGTCCACATTATCCCAAGTTGGAAGTTTGAAAGATATCCATTTATTCTTTAAAATTTTTGACTAAGGGTCAAATTTGTTATTTCTTTTGTTTATGGCACAAAACAAAGTGGTTGAATGATATAAAAATTTGTGTTATCACGTGAAGGATTTATATAGGTACATGTTTTACAGGCATCCCTCCCGACCAACAGCGTCTGATCTTTGCTGGGAAACAGCTTGAGGATGGCCGCACTCTGTCAGACTACAACATCCAGAAAGGTGAGTTATTGTACACTACACTTATTCACCAACTGTGAATTCACTTATTCACGAAAAGTAATTAGTAACCCTTTATTCAAGAACAGTGATCAAAATTCAACTACAGTATCTGCGAGGCTGGTAGAAATTTTTTGACTGATTATATTATTGGTGGTTAGTCAGTTCTCTTGTGTGCTGCACTGTCACCATCCTCACACTCCACCCAGTAATGGGTGAGGGAGAGAGGGTGCTGTTGCACCCCAATGTTTTAGGTATAAGGTGCTGTACATTGCACCACTGAGTATCTGATCCAGTAACACCCAACAACTTCCTCCATTCATGTCAGGACACTGTGCACAGTATCTGCACTTTTATGGCAAATCCAATGTTGTTTTTTCATTTACAGTGCATTTCCTTTTATCTGAATCTTCCAAGTATCTGAACTTGTCCCTTTTGGTCCATTTCAGTAAAAATACTAATTTAGTCCAACAATCCAAACACAACTGAAGTCACTCATTCACATGTCTGCCACCAGTATCTCTATAACTGCATTGTTAAAAAAATTGCTGTGGTAAACAATAAAATAGATACATAGCATAGCATATAGCATACAATAGCACATAGTTTATGTAAAAAAATAGCTCTTCCACACTCAAACCATCATCTGGGCAATGCCACACAGTTGAGCCAGGCAGTCAACCAGCTGGCTCCGAGATGTGTGTATGCTGTGGTATCACATCAGGGGCAGGGATACGGGTGAGTCTGCAACACAGTGCAGCTCACTGTCTCCAGACGTACAAAACCTAAGCTCTTCATTTTTCTTAGTTTATAGTTTTATATTTTAATGTATTTTCTTTATTTCTAAGCCACATTAGACTATTGTAAAATTTACTCTGCTCTATTTAGTGGTTCTCAAAGTACCGTAGTCAATATAGACCCCACGGGGTTGATGGAACTGTGCAGGGATCGAAAAGGCCAACTTTAAAAGTTTAAATAATTAATCATATATAAAGTAAGGAAAAGTCGAATGATTTTCATATGAATAGTAGAATTACTGTATTGAGTTTCTGTGTAAAGGTTAGTTATGACGAAACTAGCGGACATGTCTGAAAAGAGATCACCGATTCACGTCCTAAACAAGTTGACCGTTGCTGCAATTGAGCAAGTCTGCGTCTCCACAGATATGAATGGATTAAAATTTTTAGTTGATCATGTGATTAATTTTTTTAAAAACTTGGTCGGATTACATTTAGTACTAAATGATATACTTTAAATCTGCATTGTAATAATGATATTTGGTGAAACAGTAATAGGTGATTATAATTTGCGTGTAAGTGGGTTTGTGACAACTTATGGCAACCCTCGTGCTAGCTCTGTGGACTCGTACTTAGTACAACTATGACACCCAACGGAAAGCTGTTTGTGATTTAATAGCAGTGAATTTATATTGAGTGCAGTACAGTCGACCCTCGTTAATTCGAACTAATAGGGGGGAAGGGTGTCCGTTTTAGCCGATTGTCCGAATTAACCGATTTAGGAGTTAATATTGCATTATATTTCAAAGTCATTGTTTTCGTCACGATTTTATCCCACTTTCCACTGTAAAACGTACGTCATTTCAGCAAAAATATTACATTTCTGTGAATGCATTATATCAAGCACAGTATGAATATAATACCATTGTAATATAATAGTATTTTAACCAAAAACTATTAAAAAAACGAGTAACTTCTCTTGAACATCGGAAGGTTAGGTAAAATCTTTTGTTTTCGTCATGTATTTTATCCTATTTTACATTAAAATACATCACGTTTCAGCAAAACCACTATTTATTTCCGAGAATATATTCATTCAGGCACAGTTAAGGTAAAATATACATGTGATGTAACAGTTTTTTAACTGAAAACGATTTGAAAAACACGTGTACCGTCTAGCTGATATTCAACAGCTGGTGGTGCGTCATGCGTCTTTGTAAACAATAGGAGGTTGAAGTAGATTACCGGGTATTATATTAAGTGTGAAATATGAAAAAGGTTTTTAATACCGGTATTTTTTGTAGATCAATGAGAACTGTGATACCGTATATGATATGATAAGTTAGCCTGTGCTAAGAACTTCAACATAGACTACTGAAAACACGTTGTAAGGTAATTTAGCCTATTGTAAGTTGGTGAGCTTCAATTGCTTTAGGAACTGCACAACTTTTCATTACTAATTGGTACATATTTTACGTTTCCATTGTTTACTGGCAGTAAATTGCAAATATTTTTCATGTCTGAAGCTAAAAGTTGCATCCCCTCCCCACACTAGTGGTGATGTTACATTTAACCAAAAAGACGCTGGTGTTTTATCCCAGCAGTGGGTGGACCAGCATTTTAGCTTAAGGACCGCGTAGGTAATATTCCTACAAATCTAAAAAAAAAAAATCATTCAGATTTTGTCCCAATTATCCGAAATCCGGATTAAAGGGGTCCGAATTAACGAGGGTCGACTGTAGTACATTACTTTCCATCGTGTCTGCTCCTGATGCTAAGAAAATTTTTTGGGCAATATTCTCGGGAATATTTTAATATTTAATTGAATTTTGTTATTTTCATATCAAAGATAATACTATATTAATTATGTATGTAATATTATAAAGAATTAAATAAAGTGTCCAGGTGAAATCTTAAATGAAGAGGAAACAAAGGAAGAAAGGAATGGACACCATGTATACAGAGATATTTAAATATTATGTACTGTACAGTATCAGGGTGTAAAACAGCTGAGCGAAGCACAATTCAAGGTTTTTAAGGCAAAAAATTAAAAATGTTAAGGTTTTGTAAATACCGAATCATAAAAATGGTTATTCCAATATAAATACTACAATTAGTTGAATAAATATTAAGAGAATTGTTTGATTTTTCATATCTAAAAAGAGAAATACATTACATATTTATGTAATGTATTTATCTTTTTAGATATGAAAAATCAAACAATTCTCTTAATATTTATTCAACTAATTGTAGTATTTATATTGGAATAACCATTTTTATGATATTTACAAAACCTTAAAAATGTTTGTTTTTTGCCTTAAACCTTGAATTGTGTTTTGCTCAGCTGTTTTACACCCTGATACTGTACAGTACATAATATTATAGAGATAATGAATGGTATGACATGACAGTTGTTTGAAAGAGAGATGTTTTAATTTTCCTGTTTGCCTCACTGAAAACTTGTCTTGGAACTGATAATTCTCACGCCCTTATTCTACAGTAACTGAAATCACCAAATGCTTTTAAGTTGTTACATTATTCATGGAAGAAGTTGTTGAAATTTATATATGATTTTTTGTTTGGAATGATAAGACAGTGATCATTCTAATGAATTATTATGATCTTTTTAGAGTCTACCCTCCACCTTGTTCTGCGGCTTCGTGGTGGAGCCAAGAAGCGCAAGAAGAAGAACTACACCACTCCCAAGAAGATCAAGCACAAGCATAAGAAAGTCAAGCTGGCTGTGCTCAAGTATTACAAGGTTTGTTGTGAGAATTGTGGAATTTCTACTTTCTGTTTAGTCAATGTATAATCACTCAAAAACTATCTATACAAAATTGTATTTAAAAAAATGACAACGGCAAATTTTGACAACCCTACCGAGACAGCGGCATTCATGGTGTTCATTTTGACACCCCCCAATAGAGGTAGCTATTTGAATGACTGTCCACTTGTGATGCTTACTTGCATCTTATGAATACACTTCACCAATGATATGTAAATAGTTGTAAATATGCTATGTGAACCTTACCTGTGCATGCTCCTAATATACTGTACAAGACATCTCGGGAAAGTTTTTGGGCTAACTGGGGAATTTCCATAACAGGTGGACGATAATGGCAAGATCACCCGTCAGCGCCGCGAGTGTCCCAGTGAGGAGTGTGGAGCCGGTGTGTTTATGGCAAACATGTTTGACCGCCAGTATTGTGGTCGATGCCATCTGACATACGTTTTCAACAAACCTGAATAAATTGGTTCATGGTAATCTCGGTGTTGTTTACCCTTTTTAATTTTGTGGCAGTACTGAACCTGTACCTATACAGTTTTGTAAAGGAAACCTCGAGTCATTATTCTTCTCTGTCCAGTAGTAAGTCATGACGTGTACATGTTGTTCCAGCATACGGCTTTATCTGCCTTCTGCAGTATATCCCTCCCATCAGTGTTAACTTTGATGTCTTTAAAATCTCACCAATTTCTGTTCTAACAAGCTTCATATGTATTCAAGTGCAGTAAACTTTTGTTAATGCAGACATTAATTAGAGGTAACATATACACTTTAAATATTTGAGTTTCGTTTTTGGTATTTGAAACTACCGTTTTTGGTTAGTTTTATTTTAATGACCAATTACAGAATATAAATTTAAAACAGGCTAAGGCTTGAAGTTACCAATTGTACAGTTCAGAAAAGAAAGGTAAACTTACCCTTTAGAAGTTTAGAGGAAAATTTCACAAGATGGTGGACAGTGAAGATAAAATGGATTAGGGTGGAATCTTTTTTTTTTTTACAGGGATTAGCCCACCGGGGCCTGGGGCGAAAATGTAATAATAATAATTACCTCTTAGTAAATAAATGTTTTAATACAAAATAAAAAAATCTAACACTTTTGATGATAATAATGATAATAAAGAAATACAAAAATGGAGAGAAACGATATATGTGCAGTATGTTGTGTTGTCAGTACAGTAGTAAGAGAAACAATTGAGATCCTGCAATTGTGTGCAAATGTGGCAGAAAGTCAGATCAGCAACCTGGGACGTGGTCACAATTTTCGTGATGCCATATGGCAGCAGGGTCTACCATTAGACAGTACATTATGCTTCCAATATCTTCCCAGGCAGTAGTATCTCCATGTTTGGTAGCTGCCTATTACCTGTACTAATTAATTCTTGAAGCAGATCATATCTACCATTACATTATATAAGCAAAAGATAACATTAATTCTAGCTGGACTTCCTTCAGCCTATAACAGTAAGTAGACAAGTTTGAGTTAATATTCTGCAAATACACCCACATGGGTTAGTAGTGCTCACTAGATATAACCTTACAATGGCAGATTAAGAAATGTCTGGCACAGTGGGGATCTATATTTATTGATATGAACTAGAGATGGAATAAGGTGAAAAGAATCACTGGTGGTGAGAATTCTTCATTGGGAAGCATGACAAAAGGTGACAATTATAGTAGTGATATCCCAGCTCGCCAGAACAATTGGTGCAGAGCCCTTCCAGAGATGAGAGATTTCCCGAATACAGTACAATATTGGGAAAAATTTCCGAGTCTAAACTACACATCTTGCCCAGACAGACACTAGTCCACATCCCTGGAATGATGCAACAGATTTTGATGGGATCTGGCTGAAAAAAATTTAATTACCAAAATGTTAAAGTAAATTATTTATTTAACCTGCAGCCAAAGCTCAAAGAGAACAAATAAAAAAGTTTTTCCTCAAGTAAACTAAGATGGAGACCTGAATAAGCATGTCACATAAGCTAGTTTGTCCCTCCCCTTTCTTTTCAGTTCAAATGTAATGGTTGTCTGGTGGTAGTCCCAATTCAATCCTGGCAAACTTTACACTAACCCACTGGAGGATGGAAGGTTACAAAGATGCTTAGTTCTGGTCTTGGTCATCAAATGAGGTTAAATTATTTATGGCTTCCTGTCCTTCAAGAGGAAGATGTGGGTGTTGGTCCACATTGAATCACTGCCATACTGTAAACAACTTTCTACAAGTAATAAAGTAATCTTAGTTTAATTCTAATACTATAATGGGGATTATATGGCTTGATCAAAACACCATAAAGCAGTTAATAATCAGAGGCAAGCAAAAACTAAAGTTGTCAAGGAGATAACTTGTGTGGTTGGAGGTGAGGCCAGGAGTGGATGAGGGTTGATGCCTGAAATCTACAATGTCTGGTCCAGTGAGGTGTGTCTTGGCTTATGTGCTCGTTCAGGCTTCTCCTCTAGTACACTACAGGGAAAATTTTGATCCTCGTCTACTCTTCAGGAGAGGTGCACTGAATGTCACATTGGTCAACTAACCAGAAGTCTTGAAATTTATATACCCATGGTAGAAAATTTTTTAGGCGTGATGCAGATCACAGGAGGATTAGGCCAGGTGAATTACTGGGACAAACTAATACATTAACCCTCAGTAGAACCTGGGATGATGGCAAACTTTTCCGGTGTAACTCACTTTTAAAAGACTCTTAGAACCTATAGTATGGATATTACTGCATAATATCTCTGATGTGTAATTCCTGTACAACATTTCTGAACACAGTAAAGAGAGATCACCTGGAGAATTGCCACCCTAGCTTGTTTCACCTTAAGATTAACCACCCTAATATTATATAGGGTGTTGAGATAAGGTTAGACTATGGTGGTTAATCTTTAGGTGTAATAAGCCGGGGTGAGATCCTTCAGGTGATCTGTAAAGAGTTTTAATTCAATTATAAATAAAGGAAGTTTGTTTACATTCAAAAGACTAACAAAGGATACATTAATAAGTAATATGTACAGTAGTGGGGTTCCTCTGTACTGTACATGCTTCAAGGCACTAGGCAGCCACCTCAACTTCCATGCACTGCCAAAGTATTTATTAGGTGAATTAACGTGTCTGTTGTGTTAAGAATGTTATCGGCAGCATTCTAACGTGCAGGGTACAGTACATGGAGGTTAAAACAGCTAAACTCATTCATATGTGTCTCAATTATAAACACACACACACACTCCCCTGTTGAACTGTACAACAAATATTCTAACCTTTTTCTTTTATTTATTGTAAACATCAAATCAAAATATTTTACCGATTTTTTTTTTTATCTAATTTTTATCACTTGCTTTGGCTTCTGACTGTGACAGGAATCATTATAAAGAAACAGCTCTAAACTGTCCAAGAATGGTGCAGTATGTACAGTGAAACCTCTATTTAACGGACTATATAGAGAGCAAAGTCTGTTATATCGAGGGTCAGTTAGATCTGAAACCTCACATTTAACAGATTATATGGAAAGAGATGTCTGTTATATGGAGGTCTCACTGTATTCAGAATGCACCTTTTCTAGCAGCAAGAATGAAAATAAAATAATGGATAAATGTTTGCATATGATGAATGTTTCCGGCCATCCTGCAATAAAAGGCAGTTCTTGGTTCATAAGCTGCTCTAGAGTTTCTCGGTCAAACATTCTCTCAACACTGAATCATGCTGGTGACAGTACCTTAACCTAACCTAAGGCAGCCCACACGTTTCAAATAATGAAGCAATACATCCCCGACACCAATCGATCCGACACATTGAACACCTCAAATTTAAGACCTCCAAAATATAATAGGAGAAAGAGGGGATCTGACAGACATAATATCAATCAAGAACAAAAGTTTAAGGTAGATGGACAGTTGACAGCCACAGATAAAAAAGCCTGAAGAGACCAGACCAGAGAAACATGTAGACTGTTACCGAAGGAGACTGTAGGTGTGGGGAAAATCATTAATAAGCTTTAGAACCCTTTATACTACTGTCTGTACCTGAAGTAAAAGCAATAATTAGGGTGTCTGCAGCAACAATATCAGGTCCAAGAACACATCTCTATTTGCCCAATAAAGAGTTGATAATGATAGTTTAGGTTACAGCACCAAAGGGAAGAGCCACTCTTAGGTGACCGTCTGTCTCCTCTACAGTACATGGATCTTAAATGTCTTCACCAAATTGGTCTCATTAACATTATGCAATAATTCATCAATCTTTTACACGTCTAAGGAAAGATTATGTTCTTTATAAGATAAGGAGACAAGGGATGATGAATATAAAGCACACCTTTAAGATATACAGTTAAGTGTATATCATAGTGCACACACTTATTATACAGTACAGCTATACAAGGCACACACAAGCAAACTAATACAAATATAAATATTAATCAAACATATATACATTACTATAATTTTTTTTAATGAAATCTTCCATAAAAATGTATCTTGGACCACATGTATTTTGATGAAGATGAGTTATTCCTTTTAACAAGTTCATGAATATTACAATGACTTTTAAAAAGTTTTAATCCATTAACTCTGTTAATAAAAAATGTATAAGTATTGTCCTTACCACAGCTTAAAACACCACAATACACTGTACAGTCTTTGGTGATGGACACTGTTTACTGATGCTCACTTATTTACTGGTAAAAGAAAAACATTTTAGTGGACAAGTTATTTTGAAAACTTTTTGCTCCAGGAGAAGTGTAACAAAACCTGGTCCACTCTTACTAGTACCACTCGAGGTTTATTCATCAATAATCCTGGAGCGCAGGTAGTCGAGGATCTCATGAGCTCCCTTATCCAAGATGGCTTTCCTTGGCACACGGAATGGATTCCCATGAAGTTGTAAACTCCTGCAAAATAATATAACAGGCATAATTTGTTTAATGAAGTAAAGACAATAACATTTATATATCATCCTATTATTCTCTTAACAAAGGCCATCTGATGCCAACATAGATGCAATTAATAAAATGAAGAATAAAAAAGGTGAAATAATCCTGCATTCTTTTCTCTAAGAGGGGCAGAACTCATAACCAGCAGTTCATATATTGCTTCTTACTCTGAGTTCATGTCATCACCATAATTCCACCCAGGGTTGACATATATTTCCAGCCACGTACACCGGCATGACAGACAGACACACACGCCTAGCCCTATAGTATATTTGATATTAGATTTTTTTGTCTAACAATATAATACCTGTATCCCAAATGGCAACTCCAATCCCATTATACAACGGGATTCAATGGAAATAAATAGTCCACTGTACCGAAAATCGGTTTATGGCCAATTTTTGGGGAATGTAAGTAACTTTTCTGTAAACTGAGGTTGTTATCGCCGGCCACATGTTAAGTGAAGAAACTGTTTACAACTCAGAATAGCTTACTAAGCCAGATGGAGCTGGTAGCAGCTGTGTGACTGTCTGAGGGGCGGACTACCGCCTTCTACTGTAAAGGCAACATCTGGATTCTTGTCCACAACCTTTCCTGCAGGACATTATATTTGTTCTCGTTGGTCTAACTCAAGACCCCAAAAAGTGAGTGTGATTGTGAACTGTTGAATGCTCTGAGAACCCTAAATAACTTTAATAAGTGTAATTATGTACTGTATATTGATCGTATTATTTAAACTGTGTCCTGATGTACCAGCAGTTATATATGAATTGTATTCAACAGGTTTTGACCGAATTATACTCATCGCGTCAACGACAAGGGTCTTATTGTTCTGTACAAACCAAAATCTCTCATATGAGTGATTGCAGAGGTGTTCCTTTATATGGTTTAGTTCTATAAATATATTAATGCCTAATTTCATATTTCATTTTTTTGAAATTTATATGAATTGCATAATTACACTGTGTGATGGCTGAGGCTGATTTCTTGTTTGTAATGTGGCCGATTACGGTGTAAAGGTTGTGGACTGCTGGGCTATACCAAACATGCAAACACTTAATAGAATGGTCTAACCTAACCTAAACAATGGATAAATAATGGAAATGGAGAAGCTAGAACCTGGAAAGGAGGTCAAAATAATGATTAATTATTCACTAAATGTTAAAAAACCATATACTGTACTGCATATCCTTTACGATCTAACTCAAATAGGTAAAAATTCGCACTCGCACACGGACCATAAAACAAGGAAATAACGCACCTAAGCTGTGTCATGTTCCCTAAAGGTGGAGGAATGAAATTTATGTTGTTGTTGTGCAGATCAAGTGTTGCCAGGCGCTTCAACTTGGAGAGGCCGTCAACGTATATCATGTTGATCTGATTGTCAGCGGCACACAGGATCTCCAGCTGTGCCATCTCATAAACACAAGCTGGCAACTGCTCAAACCTGAAATAATTGTAATATCGATACAAACAATTGATACATCTACAATAAGAATGGAGAAAACTGCAGCGGACCTATTGGCCCATACTGGGCAGTCCCATTTACACCCAACCCCTATCGCTCATATATCCATCCAACTTATGTTTGAAGCTATCCAGCGTGTTTGAGTTAATGATGCTATTTGGTAACTTGTTCCACTCATCCACTACTCTATTTCCAAACCAATGTTTACCTATCTCGCACATAAATCTAGATTTGTCTAATTTAAAACCATTGTTACGAGTTCGCTCCTGGTTGGATAGTTTGAGTACCTTTGTTATACCTGTATCACCTTTGTTTAGCTCTGACTTCCGTTTATACACCTCTATCATATCGCCCCTCACTCTACGTCTCTCGAGGGAGTGCAAATTAAGATGCTTTAACCTGTCTCTGTACTCAAGGTTCCCAATGCCCGGGATTAGTCTTGTCATTCTTCCCTTATGATGACAATGATAATGAGTACAATCAAATTAATTTTTACTAATAATTAGGTCACATTGGGTCATAAATGAGGGGATATTACCTAGGTTTAATTAATTACTTTATTCTATAGGTTTCTTTACAAGTACTGTATAGAGAAGAAAGACTTGAGTACTGACATTTCAAAGGTTCCAATGTTCAGAGGCCTCTTCAACCCCTCATACATTATCTAACAAACAACTAATACACTACCTAACATAAACAACTGATGAATAACATAAACAATTAACAAGTAATATGTAACTGTACAGTAATCTTGCCTGTTTGCTGCAATGTTTATCTCACGAAGGTAGAGCAGTTGGGCCAGGTCGGTGGGGAGATCCTTAAGTTGGTTCCCCTGTAAGTCAAGAAACTGTAAACGCTGGAAACTTCCGACCCAAGACGGGAGAGACGAGAGCTTGTTTAGTCCCAGCATGATTTCTGACACGTGCCGAGACAGCATCTCCAATCTGCAATGATCGTAATTATCAATAAAGCCGTCAACGTTTCATTATAGAACAATTAAATACAAATACTATCTACTGAATTTGGTTGTTTAAGAGAATATTAACAAGCAGACAAATGTTCATGAACCACAAGGACAAGAAAATTGGCATAATGAAGTTAAAATAATTCTGAAATGGACACTTAGATGGAAGCAAGCATAGCGGTAGTGTGTGTGACAATGACCACTCAAGTCAGAGGTTCATATTCACAAGACACTACCAGTCATGGCTGGGCTTCTCAAGGCACTACGGCTTCCTCCTGTACTAACACTGGACAGTGAAGGTCAATAGATTTAACAAGTAATATGCGAGTTGTTTTATTTCAATGATAGGATAATTATATAAAACAAATTCTATTAAGAGTAAATATATTTTTCCTTACTTATCAGGGACCTGAGTGAGCTGGTTTTTACTGAGGTCGACAGCCCTCACTTGAGCTTCAGAGGCATTTTCAAACAGCTGATCTGGAATTTCCGTGGCCTTCTCATTGTACGTCAATGTCTGTGTGCTCTTCATCTGGTACTTGTCTGGCAGTGATCTATTATCCATGAGCACGTTGGTGTCATTTGATGAATTCTCAAAACCTGGATGAAATACAGAAAAATATTCAATATATTGTACAGTAATGTAGAAAACAAGAGGCAGGAGCAGCCAGTGATTATTGTTGAGTTGCTGGGAACAAGTTGATATCTTCAGGGTGGCTCGGAAAATACATGTCGGTACATGCTGCCTTACGGGTTTTTGTGGAGCTCACACGAATGCCCGTCTTACAACAGCAACATTGTCCTCACTTGTTGGTGTGTCAAGACAGTGTTGCTGATATAATACAAACATTCTCACAATATCCACAAAAATCTATAAAGCAGTGTGTACGGTATGTATTTTTCTTTTAGACATCCTGCTCCCATTATTCAGAGCCAATCTTCATCTTTCACCAGTCCAATTAACTAAGTGAACTTATAGGGTGAATTAAATTTTCCAACAGTATGTTTTGTTCTTTAATGTACAAGAGTTTTATGTTTTTGTTCAGTTTACCGAAATTTCGTGGTAAGAGACTAACAACACCTTCAGGTTAATGTGTAGGAATTGAAGGGAAGAATTCATAATACAATGCAGCCTCCCACACCAACACTGGACAATAAAGTTAATAACAGAGTAACAAAGGACAGACCAACTGTCCCAACAACCAGTAAGCTGATAACAGTAACTGATGAAATGATAATGATGATAACAACAACAGCAATGACATTATTACCTGTAATAATAATAATAATGAAACAATAATAATAACAATAATAAAATGGTGGAGAGGCATCTAAGGACCAAAAAGACAACTGCTCTTTATTTCTCCCAATAGGTTAAGTGAGATCAACTACAGGTGAAGTGATGGGAAAAAACCCACAACATCATAAAGTAAAACACAAACTTCTGTCCAGACAAGACAAGATGATAATTTATTTACAGGAATCAATTAAATTTTGAAGTGATATCCTAAAGTCAATTAAAAAGAAGTTAAAAAATTTAATATACTGTACATATAATACTAAATACAGCAGAGTCAACCAACCGGGGAAGGTGTTAATGGGAGCGGACACCCTCGAGCGCAAATACTTGAGGAGCTGCACGGTGCCACGCTGGACTATATCTCGGCGGATGAGTCGCATGGGGTTACCCTCGAGTGGCATAGACTTCAAGTGTGGCAGAAGACCAAGATGAAATGGTAACCTGGGAATGCAATGAATATACAATAATAATAGAATAGTTCGGCAGAAGAGAGGAAGTTATAATAGTTGATAAGCCAAGGAAAAATAATGTTGCTCAAAGATTTAAAAGGATAATAATCAAGACAGACACAAGGACTGACAGACACTCATACATTCAGCTGACAAAAAGAGAGATTCTCAACTCATTTCATTCTTGTTTCAACACCCAGGAACAGCAAGACTTTGTGGTCCATGAGATAAATGAATCCATTATTAAGCTGTACCTCAAACAAGTCAGTAAATATCATCCTCTTTTTGCATTTTGGTAACATAGTGTAATGTCAATCATAATCGTTCATCCCTTAACTGGCGGCTAAGAATTCCCTACTACACCACCGTTTGTACATAAATGAAACTCAAAAGACCATGGGACTTCCTCTGATGATGTCTGCCATTTAAAGGTTAATCATTCATCACAAATAATAAATATAAACAGAACACTTCCTTACGTTGATAAGTTATTATTGGTGATGTCAAGTCGCTCTAGTCCCTGCAGGAGAGTAATCTCATCTGGCAAGTCATCAATCTGGTTGTCTCTCAGATCCAGAACATTAACAGTTGTGAGGTAAGACAACTGATCAGCATCCAACTCCTGAGGGAAGGTGGACAACAACAGTGATGACGAGACTACTATACTGTACTGTACTGTGCTATGCTGTGCTGTGCTGTGCTGTACACTCAAGTCAACAGATAAGCACCAACCATTTGTTCATTCTGTTGGAGAGGTTTTACAGAGTGCCCATAAATTATCTGATCCATTTTAAGCCTTAATAGCCTGAACAATATCATAGCTAGGAGCACATGTGGGAGTCCACCAAGACCAAAATTAATTTAGAGTTGTTTGATGAGTAAAATAAAACTGTAGAGTTCTATCTAGAACATTTGTGAAGTTATTAAGTTTTAAAATGGATCAGATAATTTATGGACAGCCTGTACAGTATTATCAAGCAGTCCATTACCTCACCTCGGCTTGTACTAAAATATTACAGTACATAACTACTGTACTGTGGATCCTCCAAACCTCAATATAACGGACTCCTCTCTCCATATAATCTGTTACATGAGGGTCTCATATATAATAAACCCTTGATATAATAGACTTTCATCTCTATAGTTCATTAAATAGACATTTCATATTGTATAGAGAATCTTTGATTTCATGGAATTTTCTCTCCATATAGTCTGTTACATAGAGGTTCCATTGTACTGTTCTTGCTGTACCTTAATAAAATTATTTCCTAAGTGTAATTCCTTTAAGGAAGTACAGCCATGTAGTGGAGGCAGGATCTGGATGCTGTTGTGACGGAGATACAGCTGCTCTAACTTCCGCAAGTTGGCGATGGATTTAGGGAGAGCCATCAGCTGATTATGAGTCAGATCAAGTTGTTGCAGAGCTGGAATAAAAGTGTTAGAGGCAACAATTACATACAGTATTACAACAGACCAATATGTTTCTTACACACCCAACACAGTAATCTGTCTACCACACTAACCATCATCATCAATCTAAACTGATACACTGAAGGGAGGGTTATGACCCACACTCATACCTTCATGTAAACATCTCAAAAACAAAAATACTGTACATGTTCAATAAACAATGGCCAGGTTGTATGTTTGTTAAATAATATATAATAAATATTTAACCCTTAACCGGGACCCCCATATGCATGTGAGACTTTGTGCGTGTGTGTGTGTGTGTCAATACTTTCGAGTTAGCCTGACTGCATACTGGGGCAGACAAGCACCAGCGCCAGAAAAATGCTGCTGTTGCCCCTCCCCCACTAGATGTAGCCCTCCACACGTGCAACATCTATGGATGGTCCTGCTGATCCTGTATCAGCTTCTCAAGTCACCTCAGACCTCACCAATGAAGGTTACATCCTTACCTCCTACGCCCCGGGTGATGTTCCTGAACGGTTGACCGGCGCGCCCTCGGAGACTTCCAGAACTCGCGCCTTTTCCTGCCGCTTTTTGAATGCCCAACCAGGGTTAACAGGTACCAGCATGAATATTTTTTCTCCCGGAACATGGAGGGCAGCATGGGTAGGCCCAGGGCGGTCAGTAACCATTTGCCCGTGGTCATGGAGAGTAACCCCTAAACTTCTTGTGCCCCCCCCCCCCCCTCTGATGTTCACAACCTCTGGTGGGATGGGGCCAAGTGCAAGATGCTTCTACGCCAGACTCGCGGAGGTGATATCTGAACAGAAGCAGCAGCCCAGAAGTTATGTTACAGCCTTGAGATGTCGACTGTCCTCTCTCCTTAGGTCGGCTTTGCTCTGCCTCAGGGGAATGAGAGCATCGGCCCCAAAGCCGACAACAGTTGCAGATATTTACTATGAGGCAACAGTCGCTGAATGCCGCATAGATCTGCGGCTCAACTAACTCAACACAGCTAGGAGAGCTACTTATGTAATAGGACATTTAATTTTAAGGTAATAAAATGGTAATGAAGATATGGCTATCGGGAGAGGATGGAGGCCATTAAAAAAAAAATAGTAGTAGTGTGTGTGAGTGCACCCTCGATGCCAGCCATTCTCTTATCAGGTACAAAAAGGCTTGGGAGAGCACCAGTAATTAGGAAAGACGACTAAGAAAAACATAGTTAAACCATGACAACAACAACAACCACCACTACCACCATCTGACTCACCAAAACAATCGCCAATCTCCGGAGGAAGTTCTTTGATCTGGTTCTCGGAGGCATTTAGTTTGGTTAGTCTCTGTAGGTAACCAATGCTTAGAGGAAATTCTGTCAGTGAGTTGTGCGAGACATCCTGAAATAATATAATGAGTCGTCCATTAATGCTAAGTTCCTCAATACAAACAGTTCTCACTTCACTACACTACTTGTAATCAACATCACATGAATAACAACTATTGTACTGGACATTTACTTATTAATTTCTTGTCTGCAAATAAAGGACTGAACTTATTCTATAGATATGGCTGGCAGGTAATAAAACTCCATCCAAACTGAACTGTGTTGTAACAGAATTCATGCCACACAAGTTTATCATAAGAGTTTCCATATCAAAGGGGTTCCTGTCCACTATCTTAGTTTGAAAGAGATAAAGGGAAAGTGGATATAAGAATGTTGTGTGTAGCTGTTGGAAGAATAAAAATATCTTGTGACAGAAGCAGAAGGATTATAAGCGAAAGAAATAGAGAAAGTGAGCTTTGCATCAGGATTGTTGGGGCAGTATACACAATGCTGCTTGATGGTCTCTTCTGTCACTCCTAGCAAGATAATCCACAGAGAATCTTCAGGTTATTATCTCAGTACTCACAAGATCACCCACTGATTCAACATGATTGCCAAGGAGGAGGAGGAGGAGAATAAGGAGGAGGAGGAAGAGAAGGAAAAAGAAAAAGAGGAAGGGGAGCAGAAGGAGGAGGAAGAGGATAGTGAGGATAAAAAATAAGTAACATAAAAGAGCCACATTACCAAATATTCCAGGACATTCAAGTTTCCCAAGTCCTCCGAGAGCGCTGTGAGATTATTGTGGTCGAGCTGTAGAGATCTTAAGTCAGGAAGAAGATAAGCACCGGCCGGCAATTCTTCAAGGCGGTTATGACTGAGAGTCAAACGATGAAGGCAAGTCAGTTCTCCCAGAGTTGACGGCAGAGACGTCAAGCAGTTGTCTGAGAGCTGGAATGATTATCAAACACTAAGAGATGGAACAAGGCAGCTCTAAACACTAAACAAATATGATGTGACAGTGAAGGATATTTTGTTACTCACTTTTATACATATCGGAACTGCTAAACTTTAATTATATTTCTGGTGTTTCTATTTTTCTCTCATCTACTGTATGTGTGGCCCGGAGCACCCAAAATAAAAGAATATCTTACCGGTGTTGTTACCGAGATAAAACAAAGATGAAGAACACAGATAGAGATTAACAAGATATGTTCTTACATCTAACACTTGGAGAGAAAGAAGATTACTGATCTTGGGGGATATTGAGCCGATTTGGTTAGAAGAGAGGTAGAGACGTGTGAGTTCTGACTGTTCCCACCAGCGGTCTTCATCGCTGCCGTCCATGGTCATACCCATGGTCAACTTCTTTGCCTCTTCAGCATCCATCTCATGAATGTGATACACTTTATCAGGCACTGAAAACAAAGATAAATTGACTACAACACTTAATACTGTATTGTACTCTCTACTTCATCATGCTAAAGAACTTACAGCAAAATGTCAAAGACAAAAACTGGTGGAAATCTTACAAAACATGAGACTCCCTGAAGCTTGTAAAGTACGGGTCAGTTGGAGTACATCCATCAGGTTCCATTCCAGAAAATCATTCATAAATTGAGTCACCTAATCTGCCAGCAGTGTAACGAACACAATACCTGTATACTGTATTTAAGTGCATTACCTTCATCAATAAACCTATAATGAGTGTACAGTACAATAGAGTATTCCTCTTGTGATGTATCAAAGTCAGGAATGATTCAACGAAGTCAACAAGCAAATAATGTTGACTCATCAGAATACAAAAGTCTCATTTAACATACAAACAGAGGTTCTACCAGGACCCATGGTGATCTTCAAACACCAAGGGACAACTGTTGTACCTCATCTCCCCCATTCAGTACAGTACCAATGAGTGTAATGGTCTACCCAAAACAAGTCTAAAGAGTTCAACCCAGAATGACACAGATGGGGTAGTGTGAGGATACAGCAAGTAGTCACTACAGTATTGCCTACCAAGTGAATTTCATCCAGAAAATAGTTATAATGTTTCATATCACTTCAGTATTGTTACCTTCAGCCATTCCTCTATTTGACAGGTTTAGCTGTCCTGATTTTCTTGCCATTCTGATAAGCTGAGGATGTAATTCTTCTCCTTTGGCAACATCAAATACTCCACCAACATTGGCAAACCCTTGCATCACTGGCCGCCCTCTACGAACACGGATTCTTGCCCTAACAGAGCTGTAGCCCCTGGACGCTGGCTTGCGAGGTGGACTCAAAGGCGCTCTTGTTCTGAAATTAATAGCAAAAGGAAAATATTACACACACACACACATATGGTACCATAGCAGGAAAAGGTTTTCAAGGATCAAAAAAATTTGATAAAGTACTGGTCTGTACCTCTCAGTTTGTACCTTAACACCGCCTGGGTTGTGGACACAACTACTCAAAAGGTTTATGAAGAAGGAATTTTGGGGTCCAGCCTACAAGCACACAGGGGAGAGGGAAGATTGTATCGCCAGAGCACTTTAATAGTATAGTACTGTACTGTACCTGGTAAACATTATCATTACTATAAAACAAAAGGGGGGGGGGGTTGCAGCAACGCATGTAAAACTGATTTAAAACTTACCGTACCCATGAGTCAGTCACTTAACACTTACCGTACCTATGAGTCAGTCACTTAAAACTTACCGTACCCATGAGTCAGTCACTTAACACTTACCGTACCCATGAGTCAGTCACTTAACACTTACCCATCTTCATCAAGAGAGTCAGAGCCTCTTCTACTGGACCCTGAGGACCCAGAGCCACGACCCCTGACTGATGATGAAGGTAATCCTCTGGACCGGGTCCTCAATCCTCCCCGGCTTGGCGTTCTCCTCGGTGGTCCCAGAGGCTTCTTGGTCTGCAGGTCTGAAATATCAACAATAGTAATTATGATATATAGATGATCATAAGATATTTTACTTGAGTGAAATTTAGATTTATAAGATGATAATAAAGTACAATATTTTATTAATGTGAAGTTCAGACTTACTGAAGTAATAATACTGTACAGTATTTTCAATGTTACATTTTTTCCTGATACTGTACAGAGCATTTCAGAAAAATGTATACACACCACCTGGCAGATTTTTATGGTGATCGTGTGAATGTTTGAATTACAACAGCAATGTTGTCCTCACATGTTGATGTGTGAGATATCCCACATGTGAGGACAATGTTGCTGTTGTAATATATTGTCTTCACATGTTAAGACATTTTCTTAAAATTTTAAATGGATTAACCAAAGAAGTGTATTGCTAATACAATAATATCATTCCATAATAACAATACTGTATAAGTGTACAGTACAGTATATTAAAAAGAGGACATTAATCAGCACAGAACAAACAACCTTTACTATTCAGAGAGAACATTAACTTTGTTTGCTCTTCAAGATTGGGACATTACTGTACTGTCAGAGCATAATTCTTCTGTGACTGAAAAACTTCTTATCTATCATTAAACAGAGATAACATTTAGTCTATTATTTACTTTTCCTACCTGACATATTTTCACCGGCGTGAGGTGAATGGTGTGTCCTGAGAGGTGCCAATGGTCGTGTGGCTGTGGGAGGAGGTAAACACTCAACTGAACCAACAGCCTTGCTCACTGGTGGTCCTGGCAACCTGGTGATAAAATGATAAGTTACTTTATATCACTTGACTAGCAACTCAACAAAAATACATCATCTCAATGTACAGTTGGCATCATACTAAGTGAGAAAATGTGTGGCCAATAGAAGCATCTGGCATCTTAAGGTAGTCAGTGTAGGGGAGTATTTTTCTTCAATGAATCACTCCGACCCGACTTACTGTATAAAGAGTGAATCATTCATTAAAAAATACTACCTACTGCCGCCAACAGATACTGGATGTCTCCATCAGTCACAAACATTCTTTCACTAATATGATGCCAACTGTACATTGACAAAAACCTTTACTTAAAGGTCAGACATTATTTGTTACGTGATTCAAGTGTACAGTGGGACTTACCTTACCTAACCTTACTTAATCTAACCTTAACCAAACCCTAACTAACTTTACCTTACCTAAATAATTAGTAAATTTCCCCATCAGTAAAAACAGCATTAAAACGGGATGACGAGAAGACCACGTGTTATCCCTCTCTGACCAACAGGGAGGAGACTGTCACCACACAAACAACTGCACATCACCTGTACTGTAATACAGGTCTTCCCAGTATTAACCTCGCTCTTTGTCGCACCTCACACTGATAACACCCAAGACTGATCCTTATCTCCCATATGATAATCAAGCTTGGATCAAGTGACTCATATACAGTCAACACATCTATGGGTTCAACAGCTGAGGTTCCTGGACACCCAGCAAAGCAAGACCAGGTCAAAATTCCATTAATCTAGAATGCATTTCAATATCTGTCTCTAGTGCACCACAGCCAGTTACTCACCAGAGCTGTGAGTCCATGCCTGCCATGCTAACACACAAGTGCCCTATCTCCATGTTAAGTTATCATACACCTTCTTGGGTTGTTCTGGTGTTCAGCATTTGTGAGCTTCCTCTAACATATTGTAGACAATTGGCAGGACACCTAAGTTGAGTTACACTCCAAAGCTTCAATGTCACATTTCAGGTGTACGGTACAATATTTATTGTACAATTACAGTATTAACAACAACATAAAGACCCAGTCAGTAGTTGTCAGAGGCTGTTGTCATGTGTCACTACTGTACTGTACTTCATAAGTCAGCTTACTCTGACCTTAGACAACTACAGGTGGTTGTGTGGCAGGTAAGGTGTGTCCTAAACGTTGGACAAATGTCCAAGAGTATGAAAAGCAACGAGTCCATGGCTGTGACCTCCCTCCCTCCCTCAGGTACACTATTATAGATTTAATTTCAAGAGATGTCTGACTAACTCTAAACAGGGAGACCTCAGCGGTGTCAGGTAAGGGTTACATCAGGTGTGGTCAAGTCAGGTAAGAGGAAGGACATGTGTGATTGAGGACAGTTATACACAAGTGAGACAACAGTTACTGGTCAAGTCATAACACTGTACTGTACTGTAATAAGAATTAATTTTGTGAGACATGTGACTGTTCTTAGTGAATGTTGTCCGAGACAACATTGGTCTTAATGTGAAAGGTGAAATGAAGAAAAGACGATGTAACTAACTCTATTACACCTCCAGAGGACACCATTTGTCTCTAACCTTCCCTTCCTCATAACACTAGTTGTGACAGGAAGAGATGGACTACGACCTTAAACAAGGCAACTGCTGAAATGAGCCGCTGGACGAAGGGCATCGGGCTAGAAAATTATTTGCATTAGTTTCACACGAAGCTTCCGTCACTGCTCCATGGAGTGAGATTAATGAACATACACTATTGGACGGTATACCTGCTTCCTGGTGCTGGTATTCGACTACAGGGGGGAGGTAAACAACTCCTGTTTCCTCCAAAATTTGTATTTGCTTCTTCATTTGACATGATTGTTGATAAATTGCCAAGTTTCTGAAAATTAAAAATCTCCTAGATATTTCTACAAAGAAGAATCAATATACTGTACTGTGCAGGTACTAGTAACAGGTAACACTTACTCTAAGGAGCCACTGTGGCCTAAAGTACTGTATTATATTGTACTCTTCATGGAAGCAAAGATCTTTCTACAACACTATATAATAAATACATAATATATATCCTGGACATAAATCAAAGAATATATATTACATCAACAATCTCTTCTTACAGATATGACAACATTAACTAAATTACTACATCATATCTCAGTGCATAGACTGTGTATATATATATATAGTGCTATATAAAAGAGCGAGAAGAGAGGTAATGAGGATACCAGAGAATAAGATAAACCATAGAGAAATAGAGAAGAGATGTGGGAGAGAACAGAGTGTCAGGTGATGTGGATGTACTATAGTACTGGATTGATAAAGAGTTTAAGTAAGAGGGTAACAGTACTTAGCAGATGCAAGGATGGGGTGAATGTTGCATTAAAAGTGATGTGGGGATCAATGTACATAAAGCAGCAGTGTACTGTACTGTGCTGTACTGTATTGTACTGTACTGTACTATATTGTACTGTACATGGTGTCTAAAAAAAATTACAGATTTTCATGGAGTGTGAGAAGCATCGTAGAGTATTACAACAGGAGGCCTGACATGTCCTCACTTGTTGATGTGCGAGGTCTCCCACAAGTGAAGACAACGTTGCTCTTGTAATACAAGTATTCATGTGATAGCCACAAAAAACTGTAAGGCAGTGTGTATTATTTCTCTGAGACACCTGTACATGAGTGAAGGGACAGCATGGCATCATTTGAAGGACATGCAGCCTAGTGGTGCTGGCTCTTATGAAGCAACAGGTAAACCACACTTGCAGCCTTGTAGAGGAAGGGAAGCACTGTACTGCAGCAGATCACATCCTTTACAGCGATGGTTTGATCATTTGGACAAAGCCACAGCCTACTTGCCATGGTTTAAGTAAAATCAAAGTTGTTGTTTTTCTTGGTCCTCCGTCAGATCTGGATTACACGAATTAAAAGACATGTTTTAAGAGGAAATCACAAAGAAAACAGAACACTATCAAGTCTCTGGAATCACTAAATATTTACCGAATTTTCACAAGAAGTTTATTTCTTCTATCTACAGTATACTGTACTGTATGTGTCTGAAAAGCACAAACATATACAGTACCGTTCACAATGCCTTACAAAGTTGCTGCCATAATACTGTATAGTACCAACATTCAGGTGATCTCCGTGAAAATCTGTAGTGAAAGTCTGTACTGTATATTACACTGTACCATTTAGAGATGTCACCATCATAATGATTTGTTCAAGGAATTACTCTATCTACCAGTATCTATCTTTCCATCCTAATTCCTAAGAACAAATAACTTGAAATTTCAATCATCACTTGTCCACTATCAGTACCTAACTTAGACTAAAAACTAAAGCTGATTATTGTATCCTTCAAGTAGGAACAATAATGAGTGTCTTCCTAGTCTTTAGATTTTATCTTATCTTTCATTAATAAAATATTATATTACTGTACATATAAAACTGGAATATTATTCCACTGGGTAATACTTAATGATGGATGTGCACCTTAAATACTGTAGCTACTGTGGTAACCTGAAAAGTTTTCCTATAAAACATAATGTTTTATTACCTCATGAAAAGACTCAAAAATGGGAAGGAACAAGATTTTCATATAGTACAGTACAATAGTGTACACTACTGTACTGTATTATCTTTTATGACTTTTTCTGTGCCAAACACATGCACAGCTGCACACTATGACTTACCATTTACTGTTTGTGACAGATAAAATTAACAAAATACTGTACTGTACTGTACACTATATGAATAACATATTCCTTGCAATTTTAGGATTTTTTGAAAAGTAAAAAAAAAAATTATCTTCAATAGCAAAATACTGTATCCTCAAGTTGGTGATTAAGGCACACAGCCATAGTAAGTACAGTACAGTATTACTGTATACCAGACACTTCAGGCAGTTACACCAATTAAGGTTGAGAGGAGATTCCAATGGAAGTAGTGGACTATACAGTAATCTTTTAACAGCTTTCTTGGGTTAACTTTGGATGAGTTAACTAACTGTCTTTGTGTCCCTGCACTGTTTATGTCAACTTGTTTTACTAAATATCTATCACAGTACAGTATCTATCTACTGAACAATCACAGAGTTATGTCTCTTTAAGAATGGACCACTAAGCAATTCCTTGGTAAGCCATTCTGGATATCATGAAGATTAGACACCCCAGTTAATATCACCCAATGATTAAACACCCCAATACCGTACAAACTAGACCTAATCCTTCCAGGTAGAACTAAGGTGCTAAATTATAAAGTCAAACAAGTTTTGGGTAATTATTGACGACTGACCCGTGGAGAAATTTTAATTGAAAACAATTATAAAAACGACGCAATTTCACTGTGTTTTACAGTGGACACTGTCTTAGTTTGTGCAAATGTGTTAAAAAGTGGTTATTTCTCAATTAAACCTAACCTAACCTTACGCAGTAGATAGTATGCAGTTATCAAACAGGGAGGTACTACCGCCTGGGAAGATATTGGAAGCATAATGTGTTGTCTAATGGTAAACCCTGCTGCCATATGGAGCTACAAAAATTGTGACCAAGTCAGGTTGCTAATCTGACTTTCTGCCTCATTTACACACAATTGCAGGGTCTCAATTGTTTCTCTTACTACTGACAGCACAACATAGTATATTTCGATTATCATTCTTGATTTATATTTTATTTTTGTATTATTTATGGTTATTATTTTTATTATTATTACTATTCTATTTATTATATTTTTTATTAATTATTATTATTTTATATAATATATTTTTTATTAATTTTCATATATTATTATTACGTATTGTTATTTTTATTATTAGTATTATTTTCGCCCCCCAGGCCCCGATGTGGATCAGTGACCTATGCCCAGGTGGGCTAACTCCTGTAATAAAAGAAAAAAAACGTGATATAAAAAACAAGAAGCAGAAGTGTTGTTAAGGACCTCACCAACCTAACCTAACCTTACTTAACTTTCTAGCAGGGGAGCTCTGCCCCCAGTACAGTGGTCCCTCGGTTAACGAGCACAATCCGTTCTAGAAGGTTGCTCGTTAACCGAAAACTCGTTAACCGAAACCATTGTTTCAATGGGTTTTGGGGTAATTGGTTCCAGCTCACCGAAAATTGCCTAAATTCAACAAAAAAGGTAGAATAGTACACTTACTTTGAGGTGTGTATGTAGAAGGCTCCTGGATGATGATGATGGGAATTAGAATGGGGGTGGAGGAGAAGGGAGAAGAGAAGGCATTGGGGTGGAAGAGAAGTCACCCCATGGCGCCATTTCACCCATAAAATTTTAGTTCTCTTGGTGTAATTCAAGATTATGTTCTTTAAATCAACACTGCACTGCATTATATATTGTCAATATGTAAAATAAATTTCAAAATGACCAATAATTTGCTTGCAAACACAGAAAAAAAGCATTTAGTTGAAGAGAGTCTCAAGCAAGATGTTACCTCCACTGAAAAGACACAAAGACTGACGCCTGTATGGTGTGTTGGCAGGCTGGATGGCATGTTCAATAATTGTTAAAATTACTAAAAAATTTAATATTAAACTTTTAAAATTATTGAATAGTATAAACTTCTTGATATTTACTAAAATGGTAAGGAATTTAAACCCTAGAACCGATTACTGTACTGGCGAACTAATACTAAAGCTGGTGGACCGCCAAATGCAAGCGAAAACATATTCAGGTCAGCTTGTAAGAAACTCGTTAATCGAGGGATTGCTCGTTAACCGAAGTTAAGAATCGTATGGAAGGTAACTCGTTAACCGAAATCTCGTTAACTGAGGCGCTCGTTAACCGAGGGACCACTGTATATTAAACAGAAAGAACTTACTATGATGTGGAGTAATTTTACATTTTTGTGGACGTGAGAGCAGCTGTCTGTACTGAACGGTTCTTAAACACACACTGAGCATCGGCGTTGATCAAGCCCGGGCGTCCCATAATCCCCAGGGCAATTCCCAAGTATGCCAGATTCCCGTCTCATGTGGAACTTGTACATGTTTACCTAACACTGTGGAGATTTTATTTGTCCAGTTGTCAGTTAGGAAGGTGTTTAGAGTAACACCAGAAGGAGTCGATATAACTGAACAAAACTTTGTGGAAATGTTAATTACAATATATTAAATAGACAAATGGAAACGAGAATACATTCAGTGTCATTAGGTATGTTTTAAAAGGTTTTTCTGATAAGTTAGGTATGGTTGGGTAGGTTACTTTAGGTTAGGTCAAGTTCTAATAGGTTCTGTGCATTCTCATTTCCATTTAACGGGTTGTAATTAACGTTACCACTACGTTTCGTCCAATTTTATTACAACCTTCTGGTGTTACTCTAAAAGAACTACCTAAATGACGACCGAACAAATATCCACAGCTTTTACCTGTGACTCACTCCTGCTATTACCACATTAGAATTGGTGGTGGCAGAGTGTTGAAGGTAGTACAGAGACGGTGAACAGAAAAAATGTCACATGACATGCACAGATTGATAATAAAATACATATATATATGATGACATTGCACGTAGGTTAGGTAAGGTTAGGTTAGGACAAGTTAGATTAGGTTAGGTTAGGTTTTCCGTGCCTTTTTTCTTATGACTTTTTTCCGGGATTTACAGAGACAGCGGTGTTGGCAAGAAAAAAAATCAGTGTTGGTCCACCACCACCGGGCGTCACTACTGTTATTATCTACTAATAAAAACACTTTTACCGGACAATTTAATCATAATAATCCCGATTCCAAATCAAATATTAAAGTGTCGACTCTACATAACGATATTATCAAATAAATCATGACGAAAACCTACTGGTTGAGGTGAATAAAACAAACAGCTTTGAGTGACTGAGGTGAAGATGACCATGTAAGGAAAGCCTCTACCCACCACTACTTCTCCCATCTAATACTACGGCCAGCCATATCTATAACACCACAACGTTCACTAACACACCGAGATACAGGGAATCATCTCAGATATAAAAGAAAGACGGTTACCTGACACACACACCTGGAGAAATATTGACGACAGGTTCGAACCTTCTTGGACACCTGAGTTGATTGTTTGCTTGAGGACAACGGCACTAAATAACCTTTACCTCTTCACTACCTTCCATTACCTCTCTTGATAAAGTTAATATCCTTCATTAAAATTTTAGTTTATTATGTAATACAATATCAGTAAAAATTAATTGAAAGTTTATATGAATAATTGTCTAGTTATAAGAAAATGCCTCATAAATCGATAATTATGACACATTACCTGAAGTCATGTTCAGTTTTATTAACAGTATTCCAGTTCTATTAAATATGATAATAGTAATAGTATAACAATTTTAATCTTATAATATAACACTGCCAGGAGAGCATGGGCGTAACCCCAAGAGTTTTGATTGGAGGAGGAGAAGGGCCACCAGACATAGACCAGGAAAAAAAAACAATAAAAACTTAATCTAGCAAAACATTGACCTAACATTAACAGATTAAAGCATTCACCTAAGACAACATTTAACAAAAAATAACGTTAACTTAGTGTAACCTTAACATAAACCGTCGCCCTAAACTGACCTGTGACAAGCAGTGTGCCATAATGTGGTGTACTTTTTACTTTTACTTTTTTACTTTTATCCTTTTCATCACTTGGCCGTTCAGTTATTGTTTGACTGATTCATAAATGACATGCCAGAAACTATACACTCCTCCCTACAAATGTTTACAGGCGATGCCAAGATATTTAGGGAAATTAAGAACCAGGCAGACCGTGAAGAGCTCCAGAAAGGTGAGTCAAGAATGGCTGCTAAGATGGATGTAAGAGGATGCACCTGGGACGTACCGACAGTAAGGAGGCGTATCATATGCCCCAACAGGACGAAGAAACTGCATTCATTGAGACTAGGTGTGTATCTTGACAATGAACTGAAGTTCTCTGGCCATTGCGAGAGGAAGGTGAATCAAGCAACTAAACTATTAGGTCTTATAAGAAGGTCGTTCAGATATCTAGACGGTCCGTCCCTCGTAACGATCTTCAAGAGTGAAGTGCTTCCCCATCTGAGTACTGTCATCCAGTCTGATCCCCGAGATATGCTAGGGACTGTCAGTCGATTGAAAATGTCCAAAGGAGGGCCACCAGACTGGTGCCTGCACTTCAGCTATCAAGAGAGATTAGAGCGCCTGTAATTGCCTAGCTTATACTACAGACCGACAAAAGGGGGACTTAAATGAGGTGTATAAACATCTCAAGGGGCACTACTCAGTCGAGTGTTCATACCTGGAGCTAGAGGACGCCCGCCCCATTAAAGGTCACGGCTCAAGGTTGAAGAAGCCACAATCCCATAAAACTGTGAGGGGTAACTGTTTTGGAGTGAGAATTGTGAACTCATGGAACAAGCTTATAGAGAGTGTTGGCAGCACCGAATGTGAGCCCTTTCAAGACCAGATTTGACCAACACTACCGCAGGTACAGATACATTCAGGAGCGTAACACAGACGTGACCGACCACCCAAGCGGCGAACACGACAGACCTGAGACCGATCAGTGGCGAAGAAGATAAAGTAAAGTAAAGGGACTTTTACTTTTATCCTTTTCGCCACTGAACGGCTCGTGAGCCGCTTGGGCGGGGCGCCCTAACCTCCCCCTGGAAAAGGTCCAGCGGACACCCATGCCTGTACACCGTATACTTGCACTGCTTATGTACAACGTACATTGTATACTTACACTGTCCATGTACAGCACATGTTGAATCAATTTAAATTTTTGCGACTATTACAATGACGAAATTAACACCGACGACTCAGAATGTTGGAAAATTCACAGATGCTATAATGTGACACGCGGTTTTCGCCTTGTTTCCCGTCTTTCTCATATAGTCTTTCATTATAACGTCGAAACTATACATGAAAACAAATATTATGAACCATTTAAGTAAAAAATGGGATTACATGTATATTTTTTAGTTATTAATATATATTTTATGCAAATAGTAAAAAAAAGTGAAACCCTTATACCATTCTGTCCGTGGTAACTTTTGAACACTATATATTGGCAGTCATAGAAAACAACCATAGTCGTCATCGAGAATTTAATATACGGAAATGTTTTGATATTTTGTGGTTATGATTTCTTCTGACCAGTACCAATGATTAAAAATAAAATAGATATACATTAACAATATTGTTTATAATCGAATAAAATCAATAAAGTTGTACTATAGTTACTCTTAATCTGGACGATCCTTCATGAACCATCACAACATGGAGCCGGACGAGAGAACAGAAATTGACCCAGCTGAGTATTTTAACCCAGATAATGCCGGTCCTCCTCCAAGTTTCCTCAGGAAGGCTTGGTTCCCCACTGTTTTGGCAGGCGTGGGCGTATCGTTGGCTTGTGTTTTGAATTTACACAATAGGAAACCCGCTTTTAGTGGTGAGTGTTGGTATGGATGGACTGACTGCTCTACCTTACCTCATTCATTTTTTAATTGTGGTAGTACCTAATATCTTGTTAATTAAGACTTAATTGTATGTTAATGTTGTAGTTTAGATTTTATTCATTAAATATTATTGAGCAATAATGTCAGTAACTGAGGACATTATATACAATGCCTCGACGAAGAGGCTAAAGTAAATTAAGATAATGTCATTGTTTTCGTAATTTTTAGTAGAATATTTATGGTATTGAATAAAGAGTATCTAAATCTTGGGTTAATAATCGTAAAGTGGCTGTCAGCAGGTTTCCACATTTCAATATTACAGACAAGATTCCTAGGTAGAAAAAACCCAACCATACGACTTCATATCATTTACCAATCACTTATTGTGCTAAATATTTACACAAGAAATGATTTTCACCAATGGATTGCAAATAAAAAAAAATCTCTATGAATACCATTTGTCGTTGTTGGGTCGAGGATCCGTCTTTTCTATGAAGCTGAATTTATTTATGGAATGGGGAACTGGCCATAGTGTGTTCCTTGAGTGAACTGACAGAAACCATCACACCTCTCAACAACTACCTAACAAACAATTCTTCTCTTGCAGGTTTACAACAGCATGCTATTTTTTCTGGTCTTGGGACAATTTTTGGTTTTACTGGAGGTAATTGGTTAGACCGGAGAGCAGCGCAGAGAGATGCTGTACTCTATCACTACATTGTCTCCCACCCTGAGGACTTCCCACCAGTTGGTATGTGTAAAACAGTTCACTCAGTGGTGGTAACTATAAACATGTAGCTATACATCAATATTTGGATCAGCTGAAGTTTGGCCCCTCCAGTTTATTTCACCTGAGGATGAAGCTCCCTAATGCTTATGGTGCTGAATCATTCCGTAAAATATGCTGGGAGGGTTAATCTTCATGTTTTTTATTTTATTATTATTTTTTTTTTTATACAGGGATTAGCCCACCCGGGCACAGGTCACTGACCCACATCGGGGCCTGGGGGGCGAAAATGTAATACTAATTATTCATTGTAAATAAAATTTATAATAAAAAGTAAAATAAAATAATAATGATAATAATAACACTAATAATAATAATAATAATAATAATAATAATAATAATAATAATAATAATAATCATAAAGAACAATAAAGAAATACAAAAATGAAAAAAAAATTCAATAGTGAGAAACGCTATATGTAAGTTGTGTTGTCAAGTAAGAGAAACAATTGAGACCCTGCAATTGTGTGCAAATGAGGCAGAAGGAAAGATCAGAAACCTGGGACTTGGTCACAATTTTCATGATGCCATATAGCAGCAGGGTCTACCATTAGACAACACATTATGCTTCCAATATCCCAATTTATTTACATTTTAAGTAGTTTTTATTAATAAACGAGTACAGAAAATGTTTCATATTGACATCACTAGGTGTAATTCAAGATTATTTTCTATAAATCAACACTGCACTGCACTATATATTATCAACATATTAAATAAATTTCAGAATGACCAATTATTGTGCTGTAAAAACGTAAAAATACTCTGTGTTCAAGAGACCCACAGGCAAAATGTTTCCTCCACTGAACAGACACAAACTGACGCCTTGGTGGGCGAGTGAAGTGGCTGATGGGCGCACCAAAAACTAGTTCCCTGTACTGCAATTATGTTAAATAAGTGTTAAAATGACTAAAAATTTTAATATAAAATTTGGAAAATTATTGAATAGTACAACCTTCTTGATATTTCCTCAAATGGGAACGAATTTAAGACCTAGAGCCGATTACTGTATTGGCGGACTAATCTTCCAGCTGGTGAGCAAGCCAAAGCATGTCGAAACATTTTCGTAAGAATTTCGTTAACCGAATTTTTGTTCGTTAACCGAATTGAATATTCTTATGGAAGGTAATTCGTTAACCGAGGCGTTCGTTAACCGTGGGACCACTTTATATTATCTTGTATTTTAGCCAACAAGCAACCAAGTAAGAACAATAAATGTTAGATAACAAAAAAGTTAAAATTTTTACACTTTATATTGGCAAAATAAAATAAAAATTATGATTAATAATAAGTCTGGTAAATTGAAAACAAAAGACAAAATCTAGAATATTTTCCAAAACTATTTACATTTTATTTTTCACCATTACAGTATTTTCATATATTTTTCTGTTTTACTATTCCATTAGTTAATATATAAGTGTCTTAAGTTTATTGGTTTGGAATTTAGCTAGTACCTGTGCAGTATAAATGGTTTGGCTGTAAGTGATATTACAAAAAATAATTCCATTCCCATGTTGTGCACTGTTCCGTCATTACAGCGTTGTATTAGCGTACCTTTTAACGGAACCTCGGCTTATTTCACCTGCACATTAAACACCCCTAACTGAACCCGACATGAAAACTAGGCACTCTAGCTTATTTCACCAAAGAATTACCACCTTAATGTTAACCTAATCTACCCTCCCTCCCCCCAAGTAGCATTATGGCAGCTAAACTTGAGGTACAATAAGCTCGGGGGGCCTAATCTTCAGGTGATTCCAACTTTGTCATACTGTACAGCACTTTAAAAATTATGTGATTAAGTTATTCAGGCCATGAAAATGAATACAGCACCTGATTTTGTAATGTTAATGAGTAATTTTCCTGTATTACAGAGAGAAAGAAGTATGCCGATGTGCTGAAGAAGTGGGTGCCCATCCGTTGATACTTGAAGGTCATGACGCTGTACGATCCAACCCTCGGATGGCTCTTGTTTTTAACTTCATCTGAAGAAGCTCTTAAGATGACCAATTGTATCTTATTATTTCATCCATATTAAAAGATTAAATGAAAACTATGCTGTATTGGTTATATTAATTATGTGTTTTATCTCTGTATAATTCATCTTGGAAGAAAGTGAAATCTTAAAGCTTCTTTGTGCTGGTTAACATGACTTTCTTTCAAAATTTGCAGAGAAAACTGTAGGTGTATATATATGTGTGAATAAATATTTAATATCTTCATGGCATTTTATGAAAACCTTACTGAAAAAAATAGCTCATAATTTGTTCACTATAAGTGACTATTGAATATAAAATGGCATTAATTGTACAGTATTACTTAAAGGCGGCCATTCTATGTTACTGTATGCGAGAGGAATTTTTCTAACATTCTTATACAATTCTTATTTATTGACAGTACAGTACAGTGGATGAACATGGGAGGTTACTTGAGATAAAAACCCTTTAATGATCGATTCCTCTTGAGCACATTTCTCTGATCAAACCAATAAACCTACCCTACCTTCCCTCATAACACCTAAATCTATTATCTCTCACTGCCCACCTAGCTTACTCACCATCCCTCACTGCCCTGTCCACTATCCTTCACTGTCTCACCTCCTGCCCTGTCCACTATCCTTCACTGTCTCACCTCCTGCCGGTGTACGGACAAAACCCCAGTCTCGTATATAAAATAAAACACTCTTGTTAGGCTAGGTCAGGTGCTTCTATGTGTCGCTGTCGTCGGTCGGTAGAAAACTGTTGGGGTTTTGTCATGGATTCCTTCCTGCCCTACCCACCATCCTTCACTGCCTCACCTCCTGCTCTACCCACCATCCTTCACTGCCTCACCTCATGCCCCTACCCACCATCCTTCACTGCCTCACCTCATGCCCCTACCCACCATCCTTCACTGCCTCACCTCTTGCTCTACCCACCATCCTTCACTGCCTCACCTCCTGCTCTACCCACCATCCTTCACTGCCTCACCTCATGCCCCTATCCACCATCCTTCACTGCCTCACCTCATGCCCCTACCCACCATCCTTCACTGCCTCACCTCTTGCTCTACCCACCATCCTTCACTGCCTCACCTCATGCCCCTACCCACCATCCTTCACTGCCTCACCTCTTGCTCTACCCACCATCCTTCACTGCCTCACCTCCTGCTCTACCCACCATCCTTCACTGCCTCACCTCATTCCTCTACCCACCATCCTTCACTGCCTCACCTCTTGCTCTACCCACCATCCTTCACTTTTTACTTTTTACTTTTATCCTCTTCGCCACTGATCGGCTTGTTAGCCGCTTGGGCGATCGGTCACGTCTCTTTTCCTTTATATTCTTCACCAAAAGATCGGCTCGCTAGCCGCCCGGGCGATCGGTCACGTCTCTGTCACGCACTGTTGGCAAATACTGGGCATGCACTCGCTCCTGAATGTACCTGAACCCGCTCCAGTGTTCAAGTCTTGTCTTGAAAGAGCTCACACTCGGTGCCGTTACAACACTCTCTGGTAGATTGTTCCAAGAGTTCACAACCCTCACTCCGAAAAAGTTTGCCCTCACGGTTTTCTGGACTTGCAGCTTCTTCAATCTTGAGCTGTGACCCCTTGTGGGGCGAGTGTCCGCCAGCTCCAAGTAAGGACACTCAACTGAGTAGTGCCCCCTGAGATGCTTATACACCTCAACTAGGTCCCCCCTTGCCCGTCTGTAGTATAAGCTAGGCAAGTTCAGGCGCTCCAATCTCTCAGGGTAGCTGAGATGCCGAAGTGCAGGCACCAGTTTAGTGCCTTAATGAGTCAGGCCAGTGGATACCCCTCATCTCTTCCCTCATCCCGTTATAATTTCCCTTGTAATACTTGCATCTTGGCCTGGCTTATCTTGAACTAGGTTTACCATCATAGTGATAAAAAACTGCGCGGAAAGGCAGCTCATTTCCGTGAAGCTGACATATGGAGCGGGTGACATTTCAAGATGATGAATGACTCCATTTTCTGATCCTACATTTACATTGCACCATACTCATCTGCAACAAGACAACTTAAATGAAATAAGAGATATGAAAAAAAAGTTGATAAACACTGAACAGAACATTGCACCGCCACAGCAGCTGTTTGGCTAGTACTGTAGGTACATTTAAAAATTTCAGTAGAAAATGCGGCAGACTAAACCTCGACATATCAGCTTCAAATTTGGCATGGAGTCTTAGATATGTATAAGGAACAATGCCTGAAGAGTGCAGCTTTGAGCAAAATTTCACTGCCCCTTATAATGTTCGCTATCTAAAACCTTCACAAATTTCTGAGTTGTTAATATTTGTGGACAACAGGGGTTAATGAACCCTTTGGTCTCTCATTCTGGTCAGTTTATAGAAGAGGACAAATTCAAAACGATTTTCATCTTTGATCTTTCCCTGCCCAGTTGTTCCTTGTGTGTGATCGTTCGTGTGACTCACTGCTGCTGGCTGACTGGAAGATTCATCTGGATTCCCCACCAGCACAACCAAAGACACAACATAGAGTAACAGTGACATAACACTGCTAACATGAAAAGTAAGAATAAGTACTGTACTGCATTTATTTTACTCACAGATGATCTGGAAGAGGCTCACTGTGACTCCAGCTCAGTAGTCTCTTCTCTACTCAGACGGTGGCTGTGTGTGGCGGATAATTGTGCCCTAAAATTATATACTTGTTGTTGATTTTTCCATTATTTATCTAATTTTGCTTCAAACTTTTACAATCAAGTAACGTTTTAGCTCTAACACCATAACATCTTAGGCCAGTATATGGCAAATTTGCATAAGCGCACCACACTTAAAAAGTCAAAAATATATTTTTCTAGCGTATTTGTGTGAGTTTAGACCGAATAAGACCTTCACTCTTTTACAGGTGCTTTAACGGGCAATGTTCGGTGGATTTTGCATCCTGTGTACCGACGGCAAGGCCATGGGTTCGTAACATACGTCTTGTCTACGGTGCCCACAGTTTCTGTGTGGATGTCGGTCACACGAGAATAACCCGTTATAGTACATCTTTTTTCCTCACACAGCCACACTGTGGAATGCTCTGCCTTCTTCTGTGTTTCCATACTTATACAATCTGTCTCACTTTAAGAAGTTGATTTTATGGCATCTTCGCGGTGTAGATTATTATGGTCTTTCTTTTTTCTATTTTTAATTTCTTTTTGCTCTTATTTCCCCCCTCCCAGGCCCCGTTGTGGGTCGATGACCTGTACCCGGGTGGGCTCTTCCCCATAAAAAAAAAGGAAGTTAGGTTGGGTTAGGCTAGATTAGGAAGGCTAGGTTGGATTAGGCTAGTTAGGTAGGTTAGGGTAGTTAGGTAGGTTAGGTTAAGTTGGGTTTGGCTAGATTAAGCAGGTTAGGTTGGGTTAGGGTAGGTAGGCTAGGTTAGGTTGGGTTAGGTTTCGTAGGTAGGTTAGGTTAGGTTGGGTTAGGTTTCGTAGGTAGGTTAGGTTGGGTTCGGCTAGATTAGTTTGGGTTAGGTTAGTGTTTGTAATATAGTACTTACCTTCAGCTCTCCTCTCTGTCATATTAATAAATGTTTTGAATCATGAAGCATTCACTGCTGTACAGTATTCTGTTAATCCTGAATGGGATTCCAGGATTCAGTCCTGTCTTATTTTATTTATTATTTATTTATTTTTGTTTTAATGTGGAATAGCCCACCCAGGCATGGGTCATTGACCCACAACGAGGCCTGGGGACGAATAAATTAGAATAAAAAATAAAAATTAGAGGAGAAAAAGAGTGTATGTTATATACACCAAGTAGATGTCAGAAAACCAGCTTTTTGAATTGAGGCAGATTGTAAGAAAAGGCAAATCATTCCACAGTTTGGCTGTTTGAGGAAAGAGGGATGTCACATTTTAAATAGTTTTTATATTAATCTAATTTCAGAAAACATTGTCTTATAAACTACTGTACAGTATCATGATAATGAAGTGTCAGAATTCTGCTATACTCTACCATTCAGCTGGATTTATGATGTTAAAAAATTGGGTTGACTTTTTAAACTACAGTACAGTCCATAGTGAGCTATTGTACTACTATAACATTGTACAGTACAGTACTTCAATTAATATTTGTCTTGTGTTTATCATGTTTCATAGTAAAAATGTAAGTGTCCTTTCCTATGTAAGTGTTCCGTACAATACAATATTCTTGTGGGAGTAAATAATAAAGAATTAGCTAATTTATTCATGGATGCTGTAAATCAGTCATTTGACCATGAGAATTAAAATGTTCAAAAGTTAGAGTTTTCCTTCATTTGGTTTAGCCATATACTGTACGGTACAGTAAAGGTAATTATGTGTTAATGTTGTTGCAGGTTTACGACACAGTGCTGTCTGGATTCAGGGGAGGTGTTGGCTGCCTGGCCAGCAAGCTGCTTGTCGTCGACTGTTTGCATCATGCAATCTTTGTAATAGTCAGACAACTGAAGTACCCTCACCTTTAAGTAAGGGCAGTTCTACTCAGAAGAACAAATCATATATACGTACAGCTCTTGGTTTAAGTGCTGGACTGTTTATTGGTGCTACATTAAAAACATTATACAATAACAAAAACAGTGATGATCTTGTACAAGTAACACCGTTAATCCCATCTGTTTATGGTGCAAGTCCCTTCTCATTCACTACACCAGTGGAGACCGAGGATAGTGTTTCCAAGTCTTCTGTGTCTGTTAGCAAGAGACAAGTCTACAATTTTATTGCAGACGCTGTTGAAAAAACATCAGACAAAGTTGTCTACATTGATATTAAGGACAGCAGGAGGTATGTATTGTATTGTTATTTGTACTTTGTCATCTTCTGATCAACCATTTGTTAATAAAGAGAAGACCCACACATTCAGAACAGACTGATTGATCAAGTTTATATTTTTTTAGACACAGTGCCGATCAAGTTCCTTCTTGAACTGTGTCTAAATGTTTCTTACATTTGTTGGTAGCAAGTCGCCTAATGTTTTCACTCTTATGACTGTCTGTACTAATTGATCCTTTATATTGTATGAGATTTGAAATGCAAGAGATCTCGCGGCATGGAAACCTGCCATCAGCTAATCTTGGCCATCCCAGGCAAGCATGGAAAATGGCTGTAGAAAGATGGTGATTATACTTCGTTCAGTTTGGCTTTACCATCAAAAGTCCCCTTTTTGATGATGATTCTGTAAATTGTATTAAGTTTTAATATTTACAGTACAGTACACAGATAGCAATTTAATATTGGTTACACATCAGCAGCAGCATGTATCAGAAGGCAATGTCTTCCCAGTCTCTTTCTCTTTAGAAAATATCCAGGATATTTATCAGATTATGACACTTGCTCTTCTGTTCAGTCAGAAACATTGAAAGTCAAAGCTGATGTTTTTGCTTCATGAACAAGTTGATGAAATGAGTGCTGAATTCAGAGTTATTCTCACAAAATCTCTGGCAGTTAATTCAATAATGGATAAGTTGTGCTGTTGCATAATAGTCAGTTTCCACTTTTGGTATCATCTAGCCCTCAGCATGGCTCACTCAGTGTGGGATGCATTCTTCCTGGATTGGAATGAAAGAAAACAGATTTATCTTAAGTATTTCCTTCCTGCCTTTCCTTAGATTCTACAGTACAGGTGTTCCTCTGGTCTTTGACCCACCTACTTTCTGAGATGTGAACATCACCACTGAGGGAGTTACTTGCTAGAGTCGGTGTTTAATGTGGACGACACTGGATTATATTTCAAGAAAAGGCCTGATAGAATTCATACATTACCAAAGAGAAAAGTATGCCAGGTTTTAAGCTGTATTGTAGGGTACTGGGTATAACTGTACTGTACTACCACTTTTATTGATTTATTTTTCTTAAATACCGGTACTGTCTGTTCAGTATCTACAAGAGTGAAGTTGGACCTGAGAACAAATGGACTTATGAACAAGCCTCAGGAATGTGACTTGTTTGTAAGTTGAGAAGCACCTGTACCATACTACAGGTATTCATTGAGAATTTACAACACTTTCAGGGGCTCATTTTTTACCCTGTTGGGTTTGGATTCACTTCCTTTATTAAATTGTGGGCTGTGCCCATTCATATTCCTTCTGTAGCTTATGAGTTAGAGTGTAATAGTTCTTTACCCACAACCCTAAATTTTCTAACTTTATGTCTGGATTTTTATGGTAATATTCCTTTGCTAATTTAGAATTCAGTAATTGAGTGTTTTCAGGTCTTTGGATTTAAAAAAAAGTATCCTTGGTACAGAAAATTTACTTCAAATGTCTGAATTTTCCCATGACCTGTATTGTTAGTACCGGAGATGCTGGATATATTAATTCTTAACTTAGCATCCAGCTCAGTACTACAGTATAGTCTGTGTAGCTCAGGCAGGTTTGTTTGGTCAATAGGTAGATCTTCCCTTGTGATCAGGTCAACTCCTGCAGTGATTTTTATGTCACATTAGTATTTGTACCTTTTTAAAACCACCTCTTATCATATTCTAAGTGATTTCAGTCATACAAGTTTTCAGTCAAAGGGTGTTATGGTACAGTAGGTTATAAGTGGAAGGATACTGAATTCCCATTACTGTGTATGACTGAACCCACAGCTCAGACTCCCTCCCTCTTCTCAGTGGATGGTGGAAATTGGCTGGACCTGAGGGCTGGTTCCTGAAATCCTTGGTTGCTAACCCCCAACAGCTGAAGATTAGTCCCCCAGCTTATTTCACCTGCTGATTAAAAACATCCAAGCACGACCTGGGGATTAGGTTAGGTTAGATTAGTTTTAGGTTAGATAATCTTAAGGTGAAATAAGCTGTGGGTAAACTTCATATTTTTTCATTTTTTACTGTACAGTACAGTACAGTTGTGGATGGACTTTGCCCATCAGTAATCTTGCCACTTGTAGTTAAACAATCTTCCCTTACCATAAAACCTGACCTATTATGGTATGTTTTTATGTAATGACTTATTGCACATGACCTTAAAAGTTCATTAAGAATAATTGGGCATCATTACACTCCCTGAAAAAAATTATGTTGTTACAGTGTGCATTATTACTGAATGGATATTGTAACAACTGTACCTAATTACACCTTTTATTTGTCTTTAAATAAAAAAAAATAGTGATTTTTTCTTTTATTGCAGGAGGTTAAGTGGAAAGAATGTGCAGTCAATATCCAATGGCTCAGGATTTATTGTTTCTGAAGATGGTCTTATCCTTACAAATGCTCATGTTGTCACGAACAGGCCAAGGTCAAGCATTGTTGTGGTAAGAATATACTGTACAGTAAGCAAAATTAAGGTAACACCATTTTTCTCATAAATATTGTACCTTACAATTATGGGGAGGAAATAAAATTATTAAAAGTTCAGGGTGACAGACAGAAGAAATAGATATTATTAAGCACAATTTATAGAATAAATAAATATTATTAAGCACAGTTTATAGAAAAAATAAATATTATTAAGGACAGTTTATAGAATAAATAAATATCTTTAAGCACAGTTTATATTTTTTTATTATTATTATTATGCAAAGTTCAGTAACTGGCTTTAGGTGGTAACTACAGTACAGTACAGCACAATACAGTACAGTACAGTACAGTAACTGGCTTTAGGTGGTAACTAAGGTCAAATTTTTGCATCCAATATACAGTACAACACAGTACAGTACAGAACAGTACAGAACAGTACAGTACAGCATAATGCAGTACTGTACTGTACTGTACCGTACAGTACAGCACAGCATAGTACAGTACCATATTGTACTGTTCTGTACTGTACTGGGGGCAACAGCAGCCTCATCACTCCTTCTCTTAGATCTAAATGAGCATAAACATGTGTGGTAAAGACTCATGAGAATGAAATTTAATGTTAATCTTTCAGGTGCGACTACAAAATGGTGTGGAGTATGAGGGCGTTGTGGAAGATATTGATGCTCTCTCAGATCTAGCCCTTATCAGAATTAAATGTGTAAGTACTATACAGTATTGCACTTCAAAGCTTCTATCTGCATTCTGAGTGTACTCTCTCTCTTGTTGGATCTCTGTATATTGCTGCATAAACCATAGATTAAGCCAACTCCAACCCTTCACTGTATGTGTTTAGAGAAGCCAGCGAGTGAACAAATATACCAGGACAAACTCTTGCGTTAGTTACCATCACTCTTTACATTTCCTTGCATGTGAAGAGGTGTTACCTGTACTCTTGGTCCCACAGAAGGAACAAGGTGTTTTATTCCATTTGTATTTTCATATTTTACTGGTATGACTTTTTTTACATTTTGTATTGAGTTCACTGGCATGTGAAGAGCCTATCAGACAAGAGATGGTCTTCTGGTTCTTAGCATTCAGGAGCTAGTGGGTTACCTCCTCCACCTTGGCAGGATGCTGGTCCACTGAAGGGTTGTTGCACCATCACCAAGCACACCCATAGTGTACAGTAATCCTTATATTGCGAGTGCACAAGGGGAGGGAATCCAATCATTATCTATGATTTGGAATCATACCTATGACCACCACTCTCTTGTGTGTAAAATGCTGTCAAGTGAGCTATGGATCCACTATACAATACAGAGTTTTCAGAAATACTATATGTTTCATAATTCTGGGTGTGTATTGTATTCCTGAGACATACATAAGGATACATGACCTGAGTGTCTTTTCATTATATATGTTGTACAGTTTTTGCTGATAGTTTTTATACTGAAACCATTCTATAAAAAACAGCTCTATTGGTATTGCTTGCCAGTGATAGAAAGAAAATTAGAGACAAAGATTGTGTGTGTGTGCGAGTTAAATAGGTCATCATGCACCGAACTGTATAATATCTTGAGATATTAGCCCCAGAACTGCAGGTACTTTGGGGGAATAAAACTAATAATACCTCAACTTGTCCTAGTTAGTGCTTCCCTGAGCCCTAAGTCTATAGCCTCTGGTGGAATATTCCCAGGTCATTCTATTCAGTGTCTTATACACTGAGATTTCAGGATCAATCTTATATATACAGTATATTTTCTTTGCAGGATAATCTCAGTCCAATAACATTAGGAAAATCGAGTGATTTGAGACCAGGAGAATTTGTTGCAGCCCTGGGGTCTCCTCTCTCTCTGTCCAACACCATCACTGCCGGGGTTGTTTCTTCTGTTGGTCGTGCCAGTAAAGAACTTGGTCTCAGAGGGAAAGATATACAATATATACAGACTGATGCAACGATCACAGTGAGTAGTCTTACCTATTGGTGGATTTCTTTTGGTTTATATACAGGAAGCTCTTGCTATAATATTGTACATTAATGTGATCCAACAGCTACAGTAATATATAGTGCTGTATTGTACAGTACTTGTAGACCTTAAACGTGTGAGAAATATGTCAGTGGTGGAACTTAAACTTATTGGGATATTTAAATCATACACTATGGCTAACACAGTACTTATGAACCACCATGACAGCCATACAGCCTGTACACACTGTGGCCCCAGAACTGTGAATTACACTGTAATGTAATTTGTGTTCCACAGTCTACAAAGAAATGTGCGACTTGTTTCAGCCCAGCTAGGTCTACACACACGTGTTACATCACAGTATGAGTAACAGGAGAACAGATTATCTAAACTGTTACTCAACTCCAGTGTGACGAATAACTTCTGTTAAGAGAATTGTCACGGTTACTTGGAGTACACTTAACTTACTGTAAACTTGTCCTGTAGACTGGTCACCTTAAGCTACGCTTTGCCAATTTTGTAACTACATTGGTCCCGAGGTTAACGAACACAATTCGTTCCATAGAGTCGTTCGTTAACCAAAAATTTTGTTAATCGTATCCATTGTTTCAATGGGATATTGGGTAATTGGTTCCAGCTCACAGAAAAGTACATACAAAGTAAAAAAAAATGCAGTAAAGTACACTTACTTTGAGGTGCGTATGTAGAAGGTTCCTGGTTGATGATGATGGGAATTAGAAGTGGGGGTGGAGGAGAAGGGAGAAGAGAAGGAAGTGGGGGTGGAAGAGAAGGGAGAAGAGAAGGAAGTGGGGATGGAGGAGAAATCACCTTTCAGGATGCCCATGCTTGATGCCGTCATTTCACCAATAAAATTTTAAGTTCACTAGGTGTAATTCAAGATTATTTTATTTAAATCAACACTGCACTGCACTATATATTATCAATATGTTAACTAAATTTCAGACTGACCAATAATCTCAATGTAAAAATGCAAAAATATTCAAGACACTAACAAAATTGATGTTCATTCCACTGTAAACAAAGACAAACTGACGCCTGGTGGATGAGCCAAGCAGCTGATGGACGCACAAAAAACTTATCAATATGTTACCTTAATTTTAATATAAAAAATGCAAAAATATTAAAGAGCACAACTTTCTTGATATTTACTCCACTAGAAACGAATGTAAACATAGAACCGATTACTGTATTGGCGGACTAGCCCATCAGCTGATGCTCACAACAAAACCTGTTTGTCGTAAGGATTTCTTTAATCGAAGTTTTGTTCGTTAACCGAACTGAAGATCCTTATGGGAGGTAATTCGTTAATCGAACCGTTCGTTAACCGAGGGACCACTGTACAGCTTCTTTTGTTCTGTAACGGTATATATGTGTGAGTAACTAAGACGTCAAGCTATCACAGCAACAGGGAGAATAAATATATTCTCCACTGTGTGTCTGTTGAGGTGACTGTTACCGTATATATAACAGCTACTTGTGAAGCTGTCATATGTGTAACAACCTTCCTGGGTTGTCACCACTTGTAACAATCACTTATGAAGCACGTTACCTTATATTCTAGACGTACTAAAATATAGTTTAAAGTTTATTGGATCTTCTGTAGTAAAATCCAATATGTTCCTTTTGTTTGTTTATTATAAAAAGAGTTCTATGTACACTGTCAAAAAAGATTATCACCATAACTTAATCACTGTAGCTATGAGTGTTAAAGGAGGAAGGAGGCTAACTTCAATAGCTCTGCTAAGTACATCCTGTCGATGTGAGAGTTTGAGGGACAGTAGGGACCCTCGAGGGAGAACGGAAATATATCCGACGTCCTCCCTCGAGGAAGACGGGTCACCTCTACGATGACTCTAAATAACGTCTTCCTCTGGTGAGTGATATCAACCTTAATCCTTAGCTCAGCACCAAGTGAAGCGACTTCCCGTGAACACACCTCATCACGTGCTCTGAACATGAGCCTCATAGCTAGTGGAAAGTTACGGGAGGTGATGATAGTTATACAAGTCTAATGTAATTAACCCATATTTATATAAACACTTCTGCCTAATAAGACAGGGGCTAATACATCCACACACACATGATAAAATTTGATGGTTGTTCATTGCTCTCTTAGGCAAGGAGTGCTTCTTTTTTTTATTTTGCATGGATTTTTTCTCAAATTTTCTTATATAATATGAGGCTCTCTGCATCGTATGGGTTATTCGCGCCAAAATTTGAAACAGAGAAAACTGCGTTTATAGTTTTTCCAACTTTAAACATGCATAACTGTGTTGTTTTTTTGAGATACAGCATTAATTTTTTTATGCATTTTGAAGCTAAAGGACTGTACTTGCAGATGGTAGGTAGAGTGTCATGAAGTAATGTACTCTACTGGGTTGTTGCAATGTTGACTTGAAGCAACAAAACTCCCACCCGCTTATGGCTTTTTTTTTTTACTTTAATCGATATCAGAGTGTAGATCCCGCCACAACAAAAGAGAACCGAGGGAGAGGGAGAGAGGGATTCTGCCTCATTGGCTGGAGGGGCCGTGACATAGATAGCAGACGCTCACTGAATATTGGCAGAGACGAGGGAGGAGGCTGTAGCCAGGTCGCTGTGATTGACCGCCCGCTTCTCTCACTCACTCAGTGACGGGATGAGAGCAACTCACGTCGCAAAAGCCAAGCCCATAATTTCCTGTCTGCCACAAATTGATGTTCTACCCTATGTTCCAAGGGCTTTCAACCTTATTTACAGTGTAGTAAGGAGATGTTATCAACTACCATTGTATAGAGCTAAGCCCAAAATAGTCCTTTCCAACAAAAACCGGGTTTCACCCGGATGGTCTGAATACACCTTACGATGCAGGACTCCTCATATAATAAAATATTTCCAGGCATATTTGCTTCCTCAGGTCTTCATATTTGTATAATACAGTATGTGAAATTTGGTTAAATGTGTTTCTCCTGCACTGTTCTGTACCGTGTATTGTTGTAATGTGTTTTAATATTTGACTTTACCTTCTCATATAGTTTGGCAACTCAGGTGGGCCACTTATCAACTTGGATGGTGAAGTTATTGGTATCAACTCTATGACAGTCACCTCCGGTATCTCTTTTGCAATCCCCATTGACTATGCCAAAGAGTTCATAATAAAGGCAGAAAAGAAAAAAGCTGATCTTGGTAAGTACAGTAAAGTACATTGATTATGGCTTGATCATATTTAATACTGTTAATATATCATAATCACCACCACAGTTTCCACACTTTCATATAAGGTATTTATAAATTTTATAAAATGTTCTCATTGCTTGCAAATATAAATAATTATCATGAAAGCTCATAATTGACAGAAGGCATTACAGTACATCTTATATGGCCTCTAATTAAATAATGTATTGCTGTTTCTTTCTTTTTGGTCAAATCCAAATTGTAACTTATTGTAATTATTTCTCTTTGATTCTTAAACTTCTCACAATCCCTTGATAATATTTTTTTATCTTTATCTTTAAATCTTAACCCCCTACCCCCTGGTTGATGTTCTGGAACGTCCATCTAGGGTGCCCCGGTTGACATTCTGGAACTCTTGCCTTTTAGCGCCATTGTTTGAATGCCCAGCACAGGTTATTAAGTTCCACCATGACTATTTGGTGGTCACGCCACACGCAGGGTATCGTGAGGCTCAGTGCGGCTAGTACGCATTAGCCTGTCGCTATTGAGAGTCGTCCCTCAACCTGGCGACAGACTGCATGTGTCACCGAGCACTTTTATGAAAAACACTGCAAATAAAATAAATTGTAGATGAATTATTTATAGGAAATAAGTATTATGATCAGTAAATATATGCCTTAATGGCCATCCCGGACACAAAGGCAAGCAGAAAATGGCCTCCAAGTGCGTAGTGACCACGAGCGCTCCGTCAAAACAACACTGTCCCCTTATCTCCCTCACCACTCTGGTCCCAGGGAAGTTGATTTTTATCAATTTACCCCGCGTGGGGGGTGCGGCACCCTAGCCCGGGGTGTAGGGGTTAATCCCCAGTGCTCTGTCTTCTTTGTATTTATACTTTGCCATTATTTACAGTAGTATATTGCTTTATTAGACTAATTATTGTATAGGTTGGACTGGACTAATGATAATCCTGCGTGAGAAAACTTTTGCACCTTCCTACCAGTACTGATAAGCTCATGTGGCACAGGTCGGACACATGCTCCACATTGTGAAAAGCTTTTTGTTCTATAGATATAAAATCCACCTCAGTGTACTCAAGTATTATTTATAGAGGAATAAATGTGTTCATAAACATTTACTTTTATTAAATGACTTGGGAAGAAGTTGTAAGACAACCTCCCAGGTCAGAACCTGACAAGAGAGACCCCACAGCATGGAGAGCTGCCATCCAGTGATCATGACTAACTCATGTAAGTTTGGAAAATGGTCTTAAAGCATTTCGTCTTATTAACTCTCCTCCTTTAGTCGACAATCTCTCTTCCCTTTTACTTCGCCACAATGTTACTTCACTCTCTCTCTTTTACAGGTACTTTAACGGGCAATGTTCGGTGGATCTGGCATCCTGTGTACCGCCGGCAAGGCCGTGGGTTCGTAACACACGTCTTGCCCGTGGTGCCCACAGTTTCTCTGTGGATGTTGGTCACACTAGAATAACCCATTATAGTACATCCTTCTTTCTTCACACAGCCAAACTGTGGAATGCTCTGCCTTCTTCTGTGTTTTCACGCTTATACAATCTGTTTCACTTTAAAAAGCTGGTTTTCCGGCATCTTCGCGGTGTAAATTAACACAGTATACCGGTAACCTTTTTCTACTCTATTTTCAATTTCTTTCTGTTGTTTTTTTTTCCGCCCCCCAGGCCCCGTTGTGGGTCGTTTGACCTGTGTCCGGGTGGGTTATTTCCTTTAAAAAAAAAAAAATTTTGTATTGTACTCACTGATGGTCAGGTGGAGCGAGTGTGTGATGGGTAGTGGAGAGGAGGAGGGTGGCTCCCCTTCCCACTCTGACTGGGGTTCCCCCTTGGCTAGTATCACTAACACTTGATGGGCGCTTGGGAGCCATTCTGAATGGTTACAGTACAGTATTTATAGCAAAAACACTTAAACACGCACGTACGCTGTGGAAGCTTTACGAAGACTAGGGAGAAAACGCTACACTCGGAGACGCTGTCATGCTCCGCAAGGGAGCGTAGCGCGCCAAGATGAGAGAGGGTGGCGTGCCATACAAAGTAGTCCGTGTTGGGTGACAACGTTATGACGAATCGGTCGGGTCGTAAAACGACATTATCGGAATCACGGGTATCTAAGAGTAGCAACGTTATAACGAAACAACATTGTTTGGGACAATGTTAAGCGAGGACTGGGTGTACCTGTACAATGATTGGGCAGTCACATATAGCCAGGGCAATTACCCAAGATTTAGGAGTGCTTGTTAGTGACCACATTGTATAGCAAGACAACAATCACAGCTGCTCCTACCTCTTGTTTTTTGTTTTTAATTTTTTTACAAACACTGCCACACCCATCAACACTGCCACACCCATCCTCTTCTTTTAATTTCTTTGGAAATGAAAACAAAATACCTGTAATGGTATACTAATTTGGCACTTTTTTTTTTTGCAGCCAAGTATCCCGAATCCAGCTATTCTGACCGTCGTCGATACCTCGGTGTGACGATGCTTACTTTGACACAGTCTATCCTTCAGGAGCTCCAGGCTCGAGGTAGTGCACCACAGAATGTGCCTCCTAACGTTACCCACGGAATATTTATATGGAGAGTTGTTGTTGGCTCTCCATCATACCAGTGAGTATAGTACAGTATAGTACACTATACAGTATATGTGTGTTATGTAAAAGTTTGTAAGGAATAGTAAGAGTTTGTTCACATCCTCATAACTGTGCTCCCTTCTATGCCTTAGGGTAGCTGGCATGAGAAACAATATGATAACAACAGTGGACTAATTATGATTTTCAGTGTTTTTTTAATTTGATGTTGTTTGTAAATACTGTATTGACAAAATGCTTTATGTAGGAAACTATTGAATAAAGATAATTACAGAGCGGGGTTGCAGCCTGGAGACATAGTAACTCACATTAACAACCGTGAAGTACATTCATCCCGTGATGTATTCAAGTTCCTAGAAGGGAAGGGAGACCTCGCCATGACAGTGATTCGCAATGGTCAACGCTACAGTGTCGTGGTGGTCCCAGAGGAATAGTGGCACGTACAGTAGTAGAATAAATGAACTACAGATTAACGTATGGCACTCAATGAATTATCTATTTTTATACTCAAAAACATCTTGTACTTTGAAACTTTAATAAAAGAAATCTGTTGTACAGTATTAGGAGTGGGGATAAAGGGAGGTGACTGAAAGTTTGCAGTGACCTTAATAAATCATGTCTAGAAAATTGATACTGTACCTAAATTGTGGGAAGTATTAAGACACTTGACTATGCGTGCTAGAGCGGAATATTGAATATAAATATGAATAACGACAGATAGTGTTGGAAAGAGGATACTGGTGAGTGATATTTTGCCAAGACTATATTGTATGTTTTTAGATACATATATTTTATTGTATCAGGTACAGTATATATGTTGTTGCTGGGGGACTGAAGGAGATGGGATGACCTCGAATGGAAAGTGCAGCTAAAGAGAGATTGATGAGTACAGTACCAGGCAAACTACAGTATTAAACATTTATATTGTTCACATTTTTGGGGCTGTAATAAATTACCGGTATGCTTTCCAACTTAAGTCATTTTTAATAGAGAATTTACTCGGATAATTTGGTATTGGAAGGTCTATGTAACTTTCCATGTTACAGTGTATTGCATCTTTACCTGTGCAGACCATTGTAGTCTTACAGAGCCATGTCTCACACAGCACATATGAGAGTACAGTATAGCCCAGTTAGAATCAACAATAATTAAAGAAAGCAGTGGGAGACTTAATTTATTATTTGCTGTACAGTGCATTAGTTTCCTCAGAATGAAGTACTGCGATGCAGTTGTTTAAGTAAGCATAAGATGTTTTCAACTTTGGAGACTCACTGTGGCACGATAATTAATGCTAATCTTCTAGAGCCACTTAGTTAAACTTAATTAATGACAATTCGGTATTGATGAGGGAGAAAATAGTATGAAGAGTTCCGCCTTGTTATATAACCATAAAAGTTTATAAATAATTGTTGTTTTCTGTTCATTATCTCATTATTTAGAAATTATATGTATATAGTACTGTACAGTAGTTATCTTTGTTTATACAGTATGTTGTTAATGAAATATTGTGTATATGTAGAACATTAGGGATTTATTGACCCTTAAACGATGTGTACCTGTACATTAAAAAAAAAAAATCTGAAAAGGACATGAGCAGCAGTGGGTTAAATACTTGAATAATGTATAGTGGTAACTTTTACTACAAGAGGAAATCTTCCCAGAGATTACAAATATCTAAATTTTTATTAATATGGTAATCATACCCAAAAGCCGTGAGCAGGCAAGCAAAAGAAGAAGACTGAAGTACGATATGCAGTTTGAGGAAAATAAAGACAATCAAGCTAACATATACTATAATACAGAACAGTATACTGTACTGTGCATATATACAGTATACTGTACTGTGTATGCAGTGGGAGAAAAATAGAAGCGTGTTGGCGTAATATACGGGGAGCCAGCCGAGAAAAGCTTATTGGCTTAACCTGGTGGAGGGAAGCCATGATGTGAGAGGGGGTGTTTGTTCCCAAGAACTACATCGACCTAAGTATCACAATATGGTCCCCTCACACTCTCTCACCAGATGAAATTTTATTGAAGTATGAAAATACTTATTAATTTTGCAATGCTTATTAATCTTTGTAAGGTTTCTTCATGTATCATGCTCTTCATAAAAGTGGATTGGAAAAAATTGCTAAATAAGGTCATCTTTAGGTGTGTTTAAAGTGATTAACAAACTATGGTACAGTACTATGCAACTGACACATTTAGTCTTACACCAGAAGACACCTGATGTTGGTGGCCAATTAACCAGACCCAGGGTATTGTGTCTGTACTTAAGGTCGGGGCCTCCATGGTACACCTTGTGCACTTATTGTGAGTGATCTAACCATTAAAGGGATGCTGCATGTGTGCCCAGAGTCATCTACAGGGTGGGAGGGAGGTGGCACCTGTTATCAAAGAGTGACAGGTTCACGTATTCTGGCCGTCAGCAACAACAAACACATCTGATTTGCTAGCAACTATATATATATATATATATATATATATATATATATATATATATATATATATATATATATATATATATATATATATATATATATATATATATATATATATATATATATATATATATATATATACACACATTCAGTCCTCGACTTACGACGGGGTTCCGGACCAACGACCAGGTCGTAAGTCGAAAAGGCAAAAATAGTACGTAGAAAATCTAAAATTAAATACGGTACAGTAAAAGTAATCAATAATGAAGAATGAATAAAGTGTTACTGTGCACTTACCTTTAATGTAGTCAGTTGAATGCACACGGGGCCTCAATAATTTTTTAATTAAACATGGAGACTACATTAATTGGACGAAGCAGAGGAGGAGACAGGGCTGGGTGGGTCATCAATTTTGCTTTCTTCAAACAGGCTAACATACTTGCTTGTTGAAGGTATTGGATCATCTTTAGAGAGTGAAGAGGCAGCACTGGTAGGGTGTGAGGAGACAGCAATGGGGGACTTCTTAAAATATATGTCCAATATAGACTGCACAGTTTGCCTTTTCTTTTCATTTTAAATCTCCCTGTAGCAAGCAAGTGCCACTTGGATCATTCTGTCAACTTTTGCAAAACACACTACATTTTGATCCATTCCGTCAAATTTTTGCATCCCCTTATTAATTGTAGCAAATGCCGGTACATGCCCAGTACTTGCCAACAGTGCGTAACAGAGACGTGAACGATCGCCCAAGCGGCTAACGAGCCGATCAGTGGTGAAGAGGATAAAAGAAAAAAGGTGAGGGTTTATAAAACGTCTAATGGCTGCATTCTGGGTACACCGGCGTTCGCTTCTTAGGAAATACACTAAGGTAATAATTTAACTCTAACGAGCATCCAAACAAGTTGCCGGAAAAGAAGAATTTACACACTGTAAGCTGAGAGGCTTCAATGGTCGAAACACAGTTTTATGGGCGGGATGTGGCGCCAAATGGTTTATTTATCAACTTAGCCACATGGCGTAGTGGAGAAATAAGGAAAATGGAAGCATTTATCTATGTAAATAATTAAAACATTATAACAAACTACCACAAAAAACAGCTATTTAACGTTACTATACACATAATACACGTCCATTCTCAATAATTTGACAATATTTTATACAGATATTGAAACAATTAGCCATTATATTGCCAAAAAATCAAATTTACCGAATATGACCCCTTCACCATATCAATTCAATGATTTTCCTCTTAACGTGATTAACTTTACCATTACTCGCGTACCTACACTGTCTGTTTATGCTGTGTGGGGTTTTGAGATATTGGTTCACACTCAGGATGGGTTGGAGACAGGAAACTCACAATGTGCTCTCTGTATACATATAGTATTGGATGTGCAATGCAGCTTGGTGCTAGGGGGTGGCAGCGTGAGTTCAAGCGTGGTGTAGGAGAGAGCTGGTTGGTGAGGGTGCTCAGAGGAGAACACACAGCTTGTAGGGCGGCATAGTCGCCGGCGGGAACGAGGGTGTAGTGGACGTCTCCCCTACAACTGCCTACAACTGCGTAGTCACAGCCACCACCTGCTACCGCCTTCCCTAGCAACCAACCAGATGTTACCGTATCTTAGCAACGGAACTAGTCACCTGCGACTTTCTGGGTTTTCCCAACATGATTCATAGAGGACTGGCGGCTGCTGCTGGGTATATAAGCTCTGTCTCTCCATTGAGATTCATTCTGACCATTCTTCTTGAACAAGCAACACCTCCTCCTCCGCCGCTGCCTTCGCTTCTCCTCGCCTGCCTGGCGGTCCTCGCTCCCGCCAGCGAGCATGGCGACCCACCAGCTGTCCTTCTCTGAGCTTCCTCACCAACCAACTCTCATTCTGCCCATCTTCCTGAACAAGCAACACCTCCAGCACCAGACTGTCTATCATATAACTTATATTATACAAGAAAACCACATTAGAGTTTCCTTCCATCCTGAGTGCTAGACAACACATCAATATCTCGATACCCCTACAAGGGCCACCAGGCAGGAGCGGAGGAGGTGGTGTTGCTTGCTGGTGGCTATAGGTAGAAAGAGGTAGGTCACGTGGGGTGAGGTATTATATAGCGTGGGTTGATAGTTGACCTCCGCTGGTTGCCGACCTAGGCCATGAGGCTCAGGCTGGGGAATTAGAAGAGGATCGGCTAGTCAGCGACACACGATGTTTGTAGGGGAGGAATCCACTATAGCTGAACCAATGTGGATTTGTATGACAGTTTTGCTAAATAATTAATATATATATATATATATATATATATATATATATATATATATATATATATATATATATATATATATATATATATATATATATATATATATATATACAAGTAAATCACTGTAGGTGCGCGTGATCTAGGTATATGCTGATAACCACAAGGAAAGAAGAAAACACAAAGTTCCCAAGCGCTCGTGTAATTCACATCATTAGTGTGTGTGTGGAGGACGGGGAAGAACAGCAGTGCTACCCTGAGGGAGGTGAACAGAATATGTTCGGGAGCTGGCCGGCCCGGCTTCCTCAACCACCATGAACTCAAACACCTAGTATAAACATTAATTTTAATTAATATATTAAAATTTAAGACACATTCGACTCAATTTATACTTAATATTTTATATAATGAATATCACAATCTAATTAGAGAACATAATTCAAAAGGAAAAAAGAGTCAGACACGGACTCTATCAAAGTTGACGTGTCTCTACTCAGAATCTATTGGTGCCTAAAAACACTTTTAAAAGTATGATGTTTTATTTTGATAAATATATTGCGCTTTTATATTAAATTTTTAAGAGAAAAATTAATATTAAAAAATTAAAATTCTGAGATACTACTGTTTTATTCTCAAATAAAGCCGATTTTCTTTCAAGAATAAGCAAATGGCCACAAAACTTTTTGACGTATCGTGAAATAAACTTAATTCAACAGTAGATAGTTATAGCGAATGAAACTAAATACACACAAAAAAATCTTAAAACAAAAAATTAACTACAACTATGTGGAAGTAGTTTGTGGGGATTATAGGCGGAGGTGACAGATGAATGTTGGAACAGTCAACAGCTGAGTTGTGCCATGGCAGGATCATGGAGCGAAGGCCTCTGGCAGTGCTCTTTATTTTGACCGTGTTGGGTATTGTAGCGGCTAATATTTCGGATTATCGATTATGTGCAGATCCAAAATGTGAAGGTGAGTTGTGAGAAGATATTAATTACGATTAAATTAGGTACCAGTCCAGAGTGAAAGGGGGAAGGATTTCGTGTCCAACTTTGTGTTTATGTGAAGTGTCTTGGCGAGATGCTTTATCTTAACTTAATTACTTTAATTTACCTTCTACCTTGGAGTAATTAACAACGGCTACAATAAAGTGAAGGAGTATTATTATTATGTCTTAAGATATCGCCGTATTATTCAAAAGATAAAGTATTAGTTTAGTCCAGTAAATGTGTTGCATGGGGTGTGGAAAAGGTTATTGTATGAATGTTTTTATTTTAATATTATATGACCGCCACATTCCTGAATAGTGTTTGGAATACAAAGACCAACTTGATACATTAAGTGGCTAGCTGCAATTAGTAACATGACAGAAGTTAGAAGCATATGGAAATTGGGCAATGGCTTATGTTAACTTATTATTATTGCAGTGGATATTTGGCCGTGACTGGCTGTTTCTACTAACACCCATTTTACTGTGAAGTGCAGTCTGATTGGCTAATCGTCCATTACCGGCTAACAATGCGAGAATGATGTGTGACCGTGACTGGCGGCATTTGGCATTTATTTCGCCACGAGTCGATTGTGTGGCTATAAACATAACTAACCAGAATTTGTTCGATTTTGCTTATTTTTTCCACAGTTCTTGTCATTATAAGAGGCAACATTTACTGGAACTTAATAGAACCTAACCTAACCAACCAAAGAAACCTACCTAACTTCCTAGCCTGGGGCGGACCCCCCCCCCCTACATATTAAACAGAAAGTACTTAGCCAATCAGAGTGCACTCACGGTAAAATAATGTTATTAGGAACTTAGCCGGTCACGGCAAGATGTCCTCTAAATATCTGCTACGTGTTACCTGTATTATCATTTCGGTCATCCAGCGAAGTTTAAGTTTAGCTTTTAGGTTGGGTTGAAATGTTTTTCCGTTGTCTTTTTATGTTTTGAGCAACTTCCAAATACAGTAGGTGGATGATCGAAACGATAGTTTAACCTATACAGTGGTCCCTCAGTTAACAAACACAATTCGTTCTAAAAGGTCATTCGTTAACTGAAACCATTGTTTCAATGGGATTTTGGGTAATTGGTTCCAACTCACCGAAAATTACATACATAGTGAAAAAAAATGCAGTAAAGTACACTTACTCTGAGGTGTGTATGTAGAAGGCTCCTGGTTGATGATGATGATGGGAATTAGAAGTGGGGGTGGAGGAGAAGGGAGAAGAGATGGAAGTGGGGGTGGAAGAGAAATCACCCCAGGCTTGATGCCGTCATTTCACCCATAAAATTTTAAGTTCACAAGGTGTAATTCGAGATTATTTTCTTTAAATCTACACTGCACTGCACTATATATTGTCAATATGTTAAATAAATTTCAGAATGACCAATAATTGTACTGTAAAAACATAAAAATAGTTTATGTTCAAGAATCTCAAGCAAGATGTTTCCTCCACTGAGCAGACACAAACTGACGCCTTGGTGGGTGAGTGAAGTGGCTGATGGGCGCACCAAAAACTAGTTCCCTGTACTGCAATTATGTTAAATAAGTGTTAAAATGACTAAAAAAAATTTAATATAAAATTTGGAAAATTATTGAATAGTACAACCTTCTTGATATTTACTTCAATTTTAACGAATGTACAGTAAACCCTAGAACCGATTTCTGTATTGGCGGACTAATCTTCCAGCTGGTGAGCAAGCCAGAGCATGTCGAAACATTTTCGTAAGAATTTCGTTATTGGGTAACCGAATTGTTTTTCGTTAACCGAAATAAAGATTCTTATGGAAGGTAATTCATTAACCGAGGCGGGTTGAGGAGCTGCTGCTATCAAAACTTGCTGTGGAAAGTCAAATACTGTACAGTATTACCACTCGCTACAAGACGCCACTTTTAATATTATTGAGCAGTGAGGCACACAAGGGTATTATTGCAGTTTCACTTCCAATTACTGTAGGTTAGAGCAATTTTAGGTTTACCAGAAATTATATCGTCTACCACAATGATTAATATTTAAAGTTAGCCACACCTACTTTTATATTGAGTCTTGTATAGGGAGAAAGAGAAAAAAATTAAAATAATATGTTCTATAGTGTTTCCGTTTGAATGGATATTTTTCGGGTATTTTAGCTGTGGTAGTAGGCAGCTACCAAACATGGAGGTACTACCGCCTGGGAAGATATTGGAAGCTTAATGTGTTGTCTAATGGTAGACCCTGCTGCCATATGGCACTACAAAAATTGTGACCAAGTCCCAGGCTGCTAATCTGACTTTCTGCCTTATTTACATACAATTGCAGGGTCTCAATTGTTTCCCTTAAGCTTTGACAACACAACATACATATAGCATTTCCCTCTTTGATTTTTACATGGATTGGTCCTCCGTCACAAGTCACTGACCCATATCAAGGCACAGAGGGGCATGTAATATGTATTGATAATAATAATAATAAATTTTATAAAACATATAAATTTAAAATAATAATAATAATAAGGAACCATAAGAAATACAAAATGAAAATAAAAAGATCAGTAGTGATAAAACATTTATTTATTTATTACTGTATTACTGAATTACAGTACCTGTATTATATATATATGGTACAGGGTATTTCTTTCTCTAATCTTGTATTTGTTTTATTCATTTTATTATGATAACTATTGTTATTTAGTTTATTATTGTGTACTACTGAAATATATTCACCATACAGGCCTGATGTGGGTGGGTGACAATGCCTAGGTGAGCTTTCATTACCCGATATAAAAAAAATAAAAAAATAAATACAAAATATTAGTTCAAACTGGGCAGAGGCTTTGTGAGGTAAAATACCAAAAATAACTGGAAACAAACCATTGAAAACCTAATGTAATATGTTAAAATTCTGTATGGATGCCTCCTCATCCTGAACACCGAAAACAACACCACCACATTAAACCCCAAAACAAGGCCATTACATAACAGCTTGCAACAGGACCACCACATACTAAACACGAGAAAGCATGAATAAAGTTAAACTGTTTTATAGTTTCAAGGGTATTTAATGGTTAGATAAAGTTTTCCATTTTTTCCCCTCCACCCACATTTTCCTTCTACAGTACTTGAGAGCCTACTTACTTTGAACAAATGCTGCTACACTGTTGTCAATTTTATAGGTTAAAATAGTTGTATTTGTTTTAATGTCTGTGGCTTAAGATTTTTAGGTTAGGTAAGGTTTGGTTGGTTGGTTAGGTTAGGTTTGGTTGGTTAGGATAACTTAACAGTTGGATGTGCAATAAATGCTTACATGTTCAAAGCGTGCAATACTGTATAGGTCTAGTGAACAGAGTTGGATAACTGTAGAAGAGTGCTTTTTGAGGCAAAACTTATGACCCAGTTTGGCAAGGTCTCCGTTATGGCTGAGTTGGAACATTTATATAAACCAGAAGGAAGCAGGCCAGCCCTTCTTTAACTTTTGTGTTACCACACCAACAATTTATAAATGTCTTAGCTGCAGTAAGGAAGATATATATATATATTATTATTTTCTATAGAAATAGCAATGATTATCTGTATATGTAATGTATTTTATGGGGCAAAGGGAGGCTGGGGAATGTAAAATATATATAATAAAAAAAAATGGTGTTAAAATAGGCAGACGTTCTGGAACGTCACTTGGGGCCTAAGGGTTAAGCGAGGACTTATTGTACTGTATTGTAGTTATATTTTGTGATTTATAATGTGCTTGAAAGTGACTGAACACTCCTGCACCAAAAATTGGAAGGATGTAATTTATTTACACAAACAATTATTATAGAAAAAGAACAAGAAAAAATCACAGAAAATGCTCATAGAGGCACAATATACTGTACCATACATATCTTTATTTCATCCCATTTCTGCACTGTACTCTATGATCATAAGTATAGGCATCGTAAATAATGTATACTGTATATTGTACAGTATTGTACTTGTACTTTATTGTAAATTTTCACTAAGAAATAAGATTGGAAATACTGTACTGTACAGTTTACCCGGTTTACTCAGGCCGAAAGGTGAGCTGCAGGTACTGTACATTGCAGTACAGTATAAAGTTAGTTTGGTTTTGATTAAGAACAAATGATTTACCCCCACTGATGGGTTCTGGTGAGCCACATTAATTACTTATCACCACCATCGCCATTTTCTACACTTGTGTGGGTTAGCTATGATTATCTGAAGGCAAGGTGTCCCGGACGGTTGTCATCAGGCAAATTTGAAGCAAGGTTATTGCTGGATGCCCATCCTGTTCTCAACTGAAGAGCACTCTTAGCAGGGTCACTCCTCCCTCAGGTACTGTAATCAACCATTTACAGTGCCTGCCTTGGCCACCTCTGGGTTCATAGCTCAGAGGTGAAATGGTCACACCTCTATGTTAAATAAATCTATTTTATCTTGGGATGCACAGGAATAAATCAGTCATGTCTTTGAAGGATGTCAATGTGTAAATTGTGTTGCAAATTAGTGATCCATTATTATTTTAAAGTCTAATATTGATGTGTTATCAGTGTAAATAGAGTACAGACTATAGTCCACCAATATGATCTTATCTAACTTTATCTTTAGTTATTCATAGATTGTACATATATCAGGTTTTTCTTGACAAAGAGATCATAACATAAGTCTTCATATTTACTCACACAGAACTGTACTGTACTGTATCCCCCTGTACTGTGCTGTACTGTACTGTACAGTGGTCCCTCGGTTAACGAACACAATTCGTTCCAGAAGTTTGTTCGTTAACTGAAACCATTTTTTCAATGGGTTTTTTGGGTAATTGGTTCCAGCTCACCGAAAATTACATAAAGTAAAAAAAAATGCAGTAAAGTACACTTACTTTGAGGTGTGTTTGTAGAAGGCTCCTGGATGATGATGATGATGTGAATTTGAAGTGGGAGGAGAAGGAGAAGGGAGAAGAGAAGGAAGTGGGGGTGGAGGAGAAGCATTTTACTGCTTCTTGGAAGGTGAGTCACCTTCCATGAAAATGTCAGGAACCTCTGGACTGACAGATTCTCCAGCAGGAACATCCTCTCTCCTTCTTGAAGTGGAAGGTTGAGGGGTAGCATCTTTTTCCCGATGCCTTTTAGTGAAGAAACTGTCAATTTTTGTTTGTGGGGCATTTCTCCTCCTCATCATTTACTGATTTTTGAGACCACTCTGTCCTCAACATTACACAAAATAGGTCCTGTTGTTTCCACATCTGGGTGCCTTGAAGCCAGTTTCCTGAACTTATCCCAGTAGTGAACAACATATTTCAAATCTGAAGTAGACATGGTCAGTGGTCATCACTTTCCCTTTCCTCCTCACCACTGTCAGCCTCTAACATCTCATCCAGTTGCTGCAAGTCATCAGGAGTAAGTTCCTGCTCATGAGACATCACAAGCTCTTCCACATCATCCTCCTCCACTTCGAGGCCCAATAACTGACCAATGGACACAATCTCCTGGTCCAACTCTGCTTCTTCCTCAAATCCCTCAAAATCATGGACTGCTGATGGCCACAGTGCTTTCCATGCAGAATTGAGGGATCTAATGGAGACTTCTCGCTATGAGGACACAATCAATTTTACAGCCTCCAGGATGTTATTCCAGAATTGTGCCAGTGTTAGTTCAGGATCTGTGGAAGTTGCCTGATGACACCTCCTGAACATTTTCTTCATGTACAACTTCTTGAAGTTGCTGATCACATTCTGGTCCATTGGCTGCATGATTGATGTAGTGTTGGGGGGGGCACGTGGTCGCAGGCTGGTAGATTGAATGTTTGTTCGGGTAAGGCAACGCCAGCACTGTAGTTGAAGCCAGCGGCGATAACAAGAACTTAAAAACTTTTATTACAAATTATATACAGTATACCGTATCACTCTATGAACGTGGCAGAGTGTATTTCTTGTGTTTGCCCAGAACCGTCAACTCGTCCATTAGGAGGGTCTTTTCTTAAATGTACATTCAGTTTAAATTTAGAACTGTGGGTAAATCTGGTCGTAAAGTTCCACTCGTATATACAGTACAGTGCAGTCAGTCCAGTACAGTGCAGTTCAGTTCAATACAGTTCAGTACAGTTTAGTAAAGTATAGTACAGTACTGTACAGTATATTGTTGGATGCCACCTTTCATAGAGACCATAAGTGGAGTAAGACAGTAGGTGAGGTTTACACTGAACTGTCTAGTGCTAACATTTTCTATTGTTCATGTCAGCAGAGTGAAAATCCTCACAGTTTGGATATTGTTTATTGTTAACTCAGACTTAATTTAAATGGTAAATAAAACCTGAAAATACTGTACTTGTTAACCTTAAGGTGTTTATGGCAGTTCTGTATGGTGCTAGTACTGTAGTGGTAATGGACTTAACATTCCAAGAGAGCTTATGGTATGACTTGTCTGGTGTACAGTATTATTAAGGCTTCTGGCGGGACATGGAGAGCTTTGCGGTAGACATGATAGGGATCTACACTCGGCACATACATGTTTCTGCATGTTATTAGATATTTGAGGCTAGTGTAGTTGGCTGGTAGACATTATCTTGAACCATTTTCCTGGCCAGACACATTTGTTTGACACAATTTGAAATCATTGGATTCGTTATTATACAATACTGCACTGTACAGTATATTGTTACACAGTACAATACAGTATTTATCATGTAGGAAAAAATTTAAAATGAATGGACATTGACCATGAACATTGGATTACTGTACTGCAATTCACAGTTGTTTCATATTGGCTGCAGTTTGGTAATATTTACTGTTATTTCCCCAGAACCAGTGTCGAAGGGAGTAACGCTCATTAACTACCCGAGCAACGAGGAGCGAATTCTGTCCTTCCCGGTAAATGCTGAGGTGACAGTGTACAGTAAAGAAGCTGGTGAGAGGAAAGACCTGTGGGGAGTGAAGGTAAGTGATGCTAATGTGACAAATTATATTATGCTGCTGATACAAGAGTACTAAACATATACACTACAGTACTATATACAGGTCATGACAATAGGTTTAACTTGCTGGGAAGGAACAGTACTGTACGGTACAGTAGATGTTGGACTATTTTGCTGGTACAACAGTAATACATACACAGTGATGCTACAGCAACACATTTATGCTGTGACTAGTGATCTCGTTATAGTGATTCTGTAGGAGTAAAAATTAGGTATGACAAATTGGCTGTACAGGGTATATAATTTGAGACCACTACTGTACTGTATGGTGATAGGTTACTCCATACTTAAGGAATTCGGTTAAAATTTGGTTTAGTTCAAACATGGAACTTCTTATTTCTGTTTATATAGGGAGAAAGAGCCCTCCGCCAAAAAAAATATTCTATTAAGATTCTGCCGCAAAGTATTTTAACCGATATCCCCCCCACCTCCAATTACCAACACTATTGGTTGTTTAAAGTGGACAGGGCTTTGGAGGAGAGGGAAAATGTGGGGTAAAATATTAAAATGAACACCAAACAAACCATTGAAAACCTAATAACCTTCTTAACTTGTAAAAAGGTTAAGAATCACTTTCAAGTTTATGGATCCCTCCTCATCTGAACACCGAAAACACCACCACCATATAATCAACACCATAAACACGAATAAATGAAACTTTTAATAGTTTCGGATTTTTACAATTGCACATCTCCTTATAATGTTTGGAATGGGGAAGAATTCTTGTATCAGTTCTTACTGTTTTAGTTTACTCATGTTAATATCTGTAGATAAAATTTCAAATTTTTTTTTTTTGGCTTTTCAGATAAAAGGAAAGAGGGGATATGTGCCAAAGCAGTACATTCGAGAGAAAAAAATATTTAAAATAGATCTCGATTATGAAGTGCCGACCGAACCCTTCATTGACGGAGAAATCCCCGTCGATAACAATGGTAAAAATAACGAAGATTCCAATAAAGATAATGATGGAGCTGAGAGAAAATTAATGAAAAATGAAATAAGATCAAGCCAGGAGAAAATTGCCATAAGTGCTGAGGATGTGGAATATAACCGCTTAAAAGTTGATGATCACCTTGAAGAGAAAGAGAAGGCAAGTGATGAACCTACACCAGGTACAGAGGAAGTGTTGAAGAAGCAGGCAGATGTTAATGATGGAGCTGACACTGAGGGTGTTGAGCTGGCCAGAGACACTGAGGGTGTTGAGCTGGCCAGAGACACTGAGGGTGTTGAGCTGGCCAGAGACACTGAGGGTGTTGAGCTGGCCAGAGACACTGAGGGTGTTGAGCTGGCCAGAGACACTGAGGGTGTTGAGCTGGCCAGAGACACACAAGATGATGAGGATTACTTTGCCGAAGAGGAAGTTTTAACTAATGAAGAAAATAAAGTTGATGAAGAAGGTTATGTTGACAAACAGGAGGTGGAAGATGTTAGTGATGTGTCAGTTAACATAGGGAGGGAGGAGGAGGACATATCAGTAGTTCCTCAAGAACTTGGAAGCTCAGGAGATACAGTTTCAGATGATAAGTCCATACAAGTTCCTCCTTCACCAGCCACACCATCTCCAGTGGAAGATCATTCCATTAAGAGTACTGAAGCTATTGATGAATCAGATGATGAGAGCTTACATGATGGAGAATTATCTTCAGCAAATTATGAAGTAATTGATGGTACAACAGTATATTTTGATGAAGATGCTGTTACTGCTACGCCTGTTGCCCCTGATGTTGTGTTTCCCTCCATTGCTCTTGAGGCTTCACTGGTAAAAGATGAGAATTTGGTTTCAGTTCATCCACACCCCTCTCTGTCTCAGGCATTACACGTCATAACTCAATCCGACAATATTGATATAATACCTTCGGCAGCACCAAGCTTTGAAGATGCCAGATCAGCTGTTCCAGATATTGTTGGTTCATCTCAAGTACTTGAAAATTCTGAACAGTCTACAACCAAGGTACCTCAAGCAGAACATGAAAAGCAGGTAAATGAAGGTAAGCCAGATGTTATTCCATCATCATCATGGTTGTCTAGTGCAGCTTCAACAGTATCGTCTTGGATGTCTGGTGAAGAAACAAAGGTAAATGAAGGTGGCAGTAATGGGGAGAATGAAAACATGGATACTATCACCCAGGAAATTTTGGAGATTGTCAGTGAGAGCAACATACCTTCCCCATCTGCTGTTGACACTGCCAGTGAAAAGATCGTTCCTGCAGATGCCATAAAAAATGAAGAATATGGAGAACCAAAACCAGAATCTGTAATTGATAACTCGGATGTTCCATTTGAAGAAGTGGCAGAAAGCGGAGGGTTTTTTTCTAATTGGTTTGGCAGTTCAGAAAACAATGATAATGCAAAGGCTGATGAATCTATGAAAGTTTCTGACTCATTGAAATCTGATGCAGCATCTTTTGAGACTAATGATGTAGAGCCTGATAATAATAATGCTTCAGAAGACAGTAGATCAGGTGATTCAGAAGCAGTTCCTACTGACACTCTTTCTAAAATTGCATCCACTGATCATGTTGATGTCCCTGTAGATGAAACTGAAATCCCAGAAAATAGTGCACAAACCCCTCACTCTGCAGATATTGTAGATATTGATGCTTTCAACACCCAGCAATATATCCCTCCCTCAGTAGATGCCAATCCTGATTCTTCAGCTTCGCCCAGCCCGGAGCAGTACTCAGAAATAACCCCCAAAACTGATGGCCAACCTCCTGTGGGAGATATGACCCATGATCTTGGTGATGTGGGAAAGAGTAGTGAAGAGGATGCGGATATTGATGATGCAGGTATGGATGTTTCATGCACTTTTGTGGGTGGGGAGTCTGATAGGTGGAATATTGATGAGGGAGATGGATTTATCTTGGATGAAGTGAATGTTGGAAATGGGGAATCTATTGGAGAGGATGAAGCTCGTCATACATCACCAAAGGATGCTTCTGACATGAATGAATTAAAAAAGAATAGTGAAATTGAGTCTTTGAGTGAGGTTGCCTTGAATAATGATGCTGTGATTAGCAAAAATTTGAAACGTTTTATAGATGACAAAAATGTTAATCACTTAAGTTCAATAAGGGGTGAAGATGCTGCCAGTAATAGGCATGAATCAGATGACAGTACTTTGGATATTTCAAGTGTATACCACATAGATGAGAGTCAACTTAGCATTACTGATTCAGCAGTGGTCATAGATGGTCAAAGTAATGGAAATGGTGATTTTTATAAGTCTGGTAATGATGATGCTGTGTATGGTGGCAATACTTATGAGGAAAATGAAATAAAGAAACGTAGTAAAAGTGTAGTAGAAGACAGTTCTGTGTCATGTAGTTTAGAAGTTTCTTCAGTATCAGCGAGTGCTTGTACATCCTCAACAATGGTTACAAAGAGCATGTCACATGTAGAATCAGAAATAAAGAACCCACATCCCTCCTTAAAATCCTTTAATTCAGAGTCTACTGTGTTTGAATCAGGTGTTTCTGACCCTACTCTTAAACAGTATAGAACTGAATTAACTAATTTAGATAAGTTAATGGACGTTGAGGAGGAAACAGTTGAGGTATTAGAACCTTTAGGAGATGTAGATGTCACCGACCTTCTTCAGACAGGTTTAGTGCACACAGAGGATTATAACAGTACTGATGTAGAGGATCCTCCCACTTCCCCCTCAGGTGAAGATGAGGAAGAGCCCGGGCCCAGTACTGCACGACCAATGTATGCCGAGCCTCAACCTACATCCCAAGGTTATTCCTCGGTAGACCCCGACGATCTGGCACGTCTGGCAGGTGAGTTCTCTGCTAAACAGTTTGCTGTTAACTTGCTTCATCTTACTGGCCTTGTATCTAATGACACAGACCACCTGATCTGTGTTCATTTTCGAACCAATGATTCATTTCTCAAACTATTAGCCAATAGCATCATCGGACATAACACACGGAAGAAAAATGTACACAGTGCTATTAAACTGATTGAAAAGCTGTTTACTGATGTAGACCAGGGATATGCTACGCCAGAATATTTTGAGGAGAAGTTGGAACTGTTGTCACGTGGCAGAATTTTGGCAGATAAGGAAGAGTTGGCTAATTATGTTAATGGAAAAGAGGGCATTTTGACATCAAATGATCCTAGGGTAGTCGAAGATACAGTCGTTGTTGATCTACCGAGCGATATGTACTCGCCACCGGTGGCTAGGGAAACTGATGATATTTCTCATGATGTTAAGATTGAGCAAACTGATGGTTCAACTCACATAAGTGAAGCTGGTATAGTTGAGAATAGTTCATTTGACAATGGGATTCAAGTTGAAGATTTGGGAAGTGAGGATAATTTAGCTGATACATTGATTGGGGATGTTGATACTTTTGTATGTGAGGAAAGTGAAACTCTTTCAGCTGAGGTTTCTGTTTCAAAAGGTGATGCTGCTCTCTCTCAAACTGAGGTCGAAGTAGCTCATGAAGCAATGGGCGATAGTCTACGTGAGTTAAGTGAGGCATCAGTTAAGGGATCGGGTTCTTCTCTACCAAAAAGTGACCATAGAGAAACTGTTGCTGAGGCACACACAGTTGTGGGTGAAACCGAAAATGGACTTGAGGCTGAAAGTTTGGTTGAGGTTGAAGCTGGGATAGAGGAGGAAGTTGTTGTTGAGACTATAGCTCTGGCCAAGACTGAAATTTTACAGAATGTTGAAAGTGGTTTTGGGGATGAAGGTGTGAGTGGTGGTAAAGGGACAGTCAAGGTGGGGAAAACTTTACCTGTAATAATGGTTGGAGTTGAGATGATTGAGACTGAAGCTTTAGTTCAGGCTGAATCTCTTGTAATTGACAATCAACCTGAAGTTAAGACTGAATCAATTGTGGTTAAGGCTGAATCTGTTGTTGAATCTGTAATCAGTGGAGAAGCAGTTGATATCATCTCACTTGAAGCCACAGTTGAGGATTCTGAAACTGTAAAAGCTGAAGTAGCAGTTAAGGATGATGAATGTACCATTTATGAAGCTGACGTTGAGTTAGCTGAAGCCATCACTCCTGAGGCTTCATTAGAGATTGATGATATTAATCCTGAAGCAGAAGCTAAGGTCAATTTTGTAGCTGCAATTAAAGTTTCTGAAATAGCTGGTGATAATGATCTTGCCATTCCTGAAGTTACAGGTGAAGTTGATGGTGACATCATTCCTGAAGTCACAGGTGAAGTTGCTGGTGACATCATTCCAGAAGTCACAGGTGAAGTTGATGGTGACATCATTCCAGAAGTCACAGGTGAAGTTGCTGGTGACATAATTCCTGAAGTTGATGGTGACATCATTCCTGAAGTCACAGGTGAAGTTGCTGGTGACATCATTCCTGAAGTCACAGGTGAAGTTGCTGGTGACATAATTCCTGAAGTCACAGGTGGAGTTACTGGTGACATCATTCTTGAAGTCACAGGTGAAGTTGGTGACATCATTCCTGAAGTCACAGGTGAAGTTGCTGGTGACATAATTCCTGTAGTTGTTGGTGACATCATTCTTGAAGTCACAGGTGAAGTTGATGGTGACATCATTCCTGAAGTCACAGGTGAAGTTGCTGGTGACATTCCTGAAGTCACAGGTGAAGTTGCTGGTGACATCATTCCTGAAGTCACAGGTGAAGTTGATGGTGACATCATTCTTGAAGTCACAGGTGAAGTTACTGGTGACGTCATTCCTGAAGTCACAGGTGAAGTTGCTGGTGACATCATTCTTGAAGTCGCAGGTGAAGTTGATGGTGACATCATTCCTGAAGTCACAGGTGAAGTTGCTGGTGACATCATTTTTGAAGTCACAGGTGAAGTTGATGGTGACATCATTCTTGAAGTCATAGGTGAAGTTGCTGGTGACATCTTTCTTGAAGTTGCTGGTAACATTCCTGAAGTCACAGGTGAAGTTGCTGGTGACATAATTCCTGAAGTTGATGGTGACATCATTCCTGAAGTCACAGGTGGAGTTAGTGGTGACATCATTCCTGAAGTCACAGGTGAAGTTATTACTGAATCTGCAGTTAAGGCTGCTCAGTCTACCATTTATGGAACTGAAGTTGAGGTTGCTGAAGCCATCACTTCTGAAGCTGATGTTGAGGAGGCTAAAGCTATTGCTGCTGAGGTTACTGAAGCTATTTTTCCTAATGTTGAAGTTCAGATTGCTGAGGTTGAAGAAGTTGCAGTTGAGTTTGTTGAAACTATCACTCGTGAAGTTGAGGTTGAAGCTGTCATTCTTGAATATGCAGTTAAGGTTACCGAAGCTATCACTGCTGAAGCTGAGGTTAAGGTTGATGAAGTTAAAATAACTGAAGTTGATATTGTTGAAGCTATCATTACACATGCTATGGATGAGGTTGCTGAAGCTATCATTACACATGCTATGGATGAGGTTGCTGAAGCTATCATTACAGATGCTATGGATGAGGTTTATAAACCTATAATTTCTGAACTTGAAGCTGAAGTTGAGATTGCTGAAAGTATAACTCCGGGGGTTGAGGTGGATGAAGCTATAAAGGCTATAATTCCCAAAGCTGAAGTTATTACTGACACTAACCTTGGCGAAGTTGCAGTGGAGGCTGCAGAAGCTATCAATGCTAAAGTTGATAAAGTTATGATTCCAGAAGCTGAATGTAAGTTTGGTGAAACTTTGATTCCTGAAGCTGAGGTTGACATAGCTGAAGTAATATCTCTTAAAGCTTCAGTTGAGGTTGCTGAAGTTATCATTCCTAAATATGAGATTGAAGTTGTTGAAACTATCAATTCTTCAGCTGAGGTTGACGGTGCTTATGCCATTACTCCTGAAGCTGGAGAGGTTGCTGAAGCTGTTATTTCTGATTATACAATTGAGGTTACTGAAGCTGTGATTCCTGACATTGAGGTTGCTGAAGCTATGATTCCTGAAGGTGAGGTTGCTGTAGTTCTCAACCCTATAGCTGAAGGTATCATCCCTGAAGATGAATTTGAGGTGGCCATAGCTATCCCTCTTGATGAAGTTGATGTTCCTGAAGCTGTCATTCCTGAAACTGCAGCTGAGGTTGCTCAAACTATCCTTTCTAAAGTTGTTGCTGAGGCAATTTTTCCTAATGCTGAAATTAACATTTCTGAAGTTGCTGAAACTGTCATAGCTGAAGTTGAGGTTGCTGAAGCTGAAGAAACTATAATTCCTGTAGCTGAGGTTGCAGAAACTATCACTGCTGAAGTTCCAGTTGAAAGTGTTGAAGCTGTGAACCCTGAATCTGCAGGTGAGGTTGTGAAAGTTTTCATTCCTGAAATTGAGGTTCCAGAATGTATCATCCCTAAAGCTGATATGAAGGTTACTGAAGCTGTCACTTTTGAAGTTGAGTTTGCTGAAGCTGTCATCCACAGATCTTCATTTGAGCTTGCTGAAGCTGTCATTCCTGAGGTTGAGGTCACTAAAACTATTGTTTCTAATGCTGAGGTTGCGCAAGCTATACCTCCTGAAGTTGCTGAACCTAACACTCTTGAAACTGAGGTTGATATTTCTGAAACTGCTGAAACTATCATTCCTGAAGTTGAGGTTACTGAATATATCATTCCTGAGGTTGAGGTTGCAAAAGCTATCAAACCTGATGCTGAGGTTAAGGTTGCTGAAGCTATCATCCCAAAAGCTGAAGGTACTATTCTTGAAGCTGAGGTTACAGAAACTATCACTCCTGAAATTCCATTTGAGGTTGCTGAAGCTATTGCTCTTGAAGATGATGTAGACTTTACTGAAATAAAGGTTGAGGTTCTTGAAGCTTTAATTCCTGAAGCTGTAGTTAAAGATGGTGAATCTGAAATGTTTGGGGAGGATGTTGCGGATTTCAATAAAATTTTGAGGCAGAAACTTCTCCCCGGGTTATCAAATGATGATGATGGCCATGTTGTGTTGTATCAGACTTTTACAAAGGAGGACGTCCTTAAGGGCACTGTGGCTTTGGGGGGTGGAGCCTTATCACATGAGGTTATGGTGGAGCCAGTTGATGGAGAGAGTGGAGCAATGTTGGAAGTATCTGGAAATGAAAGAAATGAAGCATCACTTGAAAGTATTGAAGAAATAGTGATGGGACCTATTTTGAAAGAATCTGCAGTAGCCCTATCAGAAACTGTGGCATCCAGTGTCTCTGCCATTCTCCCAGAGGTGCAGAATAACACCGTCACAGGAGAGAGAAGTGCAGGCATCGGTGATCACCAAGCTGTAGCTGATGGTGTGGGAGAGGTGCCTGGTGGCGTAGTTGAAGATGTATTAATGTCTCTACCATCAAGAACTGAATATCATGGATCAGATCACAAGCCTAATGCTGATATGGATTTATTGTCCGATTTGTCAGAAAGATTAGATTTTGGGTTTGAGAGAGGCAATCATCGATCAAGGAGAAGTACAGACCTGAACCCCAGACAGATTGTGCTTCAAAATGAAGTTTATGATCTTCCACATCAACTTTGTTCCTTTGACATATTTAGTAGCAGCATGAAGAACACAATATTTGCTTTTGGAATAGAGGTAAATGATACTAAAATATTCAACGAATTTTCAGAAATGGTTAATTATCTAGAGAATGTTATCGGTTCACCCGGAGAGTGCAAAGAAGTGCACATCGTTAGGAGTTCAGTAATGGGACAGGTCAGCTACAGGGTACTGCTTGGCCAGTCTCCTACAACACTTTATAACTGTAAAGTTTTTGGTACGGAGGCTGGCACTCGAAATATGAATCATTGTACTTCTCCACTTACAGATGGGAAACCTAAAGTGGCCATACTGAAAAGAAGTACCATGGCAGAGGGGCCAGGA